CCTGTCCTATGCCAAAGTTTTCATTGTATTAAAAAACTTAGTCATTATTTTAGCTAAAAACTCAATCATCAATCAAACAGGTGCTTTTGCTTCATTGTTTCAGCTGAAAAGAGGTATTTCACCTGTAACGGAGTCAGTGTTGACACCAAACCTTTATTGCCTCTTATTTCAAATTCTAAGAGAAGGTTTCAAAATGTAATGACATCTATATTCCAAGCCAATCTCCAGGATATATTTTTAGTTAAACTTGTTGACAACTACAGTTTGACAAATTCAGAGTGCAGCTGCAAAGTATCACTCTGTAACAGGATTTGCTGACACCAAATGTTACAGAGTGATAGTATTTTTAGCGGGCATGTCAAAATGATACAAAGTTGCCGATGCACGAACATTGTGTTTAATATTAAGTTTTGGGTTATCATCAATCATTTAGAATTAAAAAGGACCAAATTTATCAATTGAAAGAATGAAAACTGTGCACCATTGTACAAGCTGTAAAAATGTCACACAATTTTACCTAAAAATGTCATAATTCTGGCTAATTTTTGATCAAAATTATACAAATGCATTGTGGTGATTTATTTTTTTTTTTATTTCAGTGGGTACATAGTGATATGGGCAATAAAGTAAAAACACAAATATTAGCAAGCTGGTTATTTTAACATGGAAATGGCCCTTGAAAGGAAAGAACATGTGCATTATACCACTGGCCTCCACATTTATGTAAACACCCACATGTACACCCACATTCCCTTTTTACACAGCTAATTTCTCATGCAAGTCAATCATAAAATACATGTACATGTATACATGTACGTGCTCCTGTAATTCCCTTATGGATACCCTTTTCAATGTCACATTTGCATGAATTGAAAAAATGAAAGGGCAAATTATATGGGTCCTGGCGCACGCAGTGAGCGTTCCTTCTTGAGCACACAGAGCACATTGATGTACAGTACAATGTACATGTGTCCCAAAAGTAAAATTGTGAATGAACGACCAGCACCGGCAATATAAGAGAGACTATATAGTTGCTCGTATTGCCTTAGGGCTTAGGGACGTGGGCTTGGTTAAAAAAAAAGAAGCCAAAAAAAAAAGAAGAAGCCACATCATCGATTTACTTACGCATCAGAGATGCAGGGAGTCAGATGCACTGTGTGTGTGGGAGGGCGATGGGGATTCTCCTATGACCTTTGTATGAACCCCAGGCAGTGCAGTGGATGTATTTTGATTTCTGCCCACAAAATATTGTTGCTGGCCCTTAAATCAACTGCTTTTCTTTTCTTTTCTTTTTCTTGAGGGGGAGGGGGGGGGGGGGGCTACTACATTTGTGTATATTTTTCTTTTCTCCTAGGTCCCCCCCCCTTCTTCCTTTTTACTACTGCTACATTGGTGTATGTACATGTATGTGTGCTGAATTTGTCCATGTCTGACGTTTCCTGTGTGATAATGAACAAAATGTAGATGTTTTTGTTTATAAATAAATGTAATTTCTTAATGTTCTTATTGTATCACTGATGTGAATAACAATAAAGGTATTTCAATATATATGTATGCACATGTTGTACATGTACGTGTACATGTACCTGAGGGTAGAGTAAATGGTGTTGACATGTTTTCAGTGAATGTTTCTTGTAGCACAAACATTTACACATAAATGGTACATGTCTATTTGATCATGTGTGCTAAATTCAAGCTGCAGAGAATTTGTTTCTAAAAAGTGGGGGAAAAATGAATACTTTGCTTCATGTTAAGACTCTTGTAAAAAGAAATATACATGTACATGTATGATGTAGGTAGTGCAGAGTGACTTTTAATGCACGCTAACAATAAGGCGAAGTAAAAAAAACATGTTTCTCGTCCCCGCCCGCTTCCTTTTTGGAGGCCGCCTGGATTTTTTTATTATTTTTTATTCTTGAAAAATGAAGTAAAAAAACACAGAAAAAGTCCACAAATTCATCGGAAAATAAATTGTAGATCAATACAAGTCTAAATGACACTATAAATATGTTCAGTTCTCTTGTCCAACTTATCTTTTATTTTAAAAGTGTCTTTGAACAGTGGAAACATCAACAGTTGCAGGAAATTTTTAAATGGCGGCCATCTTGAAACAAATAAAAAATAAAAAATAAAAAGCCCCGCTTCCTCCTTTTTTTCGAAAACCCGGACGAGAAACATGTTTTTTTTTTATTCGGCCTAACATGGCTATTAAAAGGCACTGTCACATACTTTGATTTGGGTACTGGGGTGGTGTATTACTGGAATTACTTTTCAGTTTAAAAAAAATAACAGATTTCAATCTTCTGATCAGATAAATCTTACAAAAATCAGTGATCAACTGATGCATTAATTTGACTGACTGACTCTTTTTTTGCACATGTTCAGTACAAGCATCCAATCTAACACACAGTTCGCATACAAACAATTTATTTCTGGATTATAATTTCTCTTCTCAATTTGGGAATCTATTTCCTCTGCTACTATGTATGCATGCATGACATTATGCACGTGTTAATACCCGGTACATGTTGCATAGTTTAGCACATCTGTGTACAGTAGCAAAACATGCTAGTACATTTGTTCATCTGGTGCATGTGACTCATTCAACATGAAGCCCTTATTCCGTATCAGATTTCTCTGAATTCTGTTCACCTGCATTAAATTAATAGTAAAAAGCTCAGTGTCTTCAACGCAGGGATCCAAATAACGTTATGCTGTGCATACATAATACATCCTATAAAATGAATCAATTTGAATACAAAATATGAGAAAATATGCGGTAATATGTACAGCTACAGGTAATCACACCACATACTGTACATATACAAGCACATGTACATGTAGATGTTCACAGCGTAGTACCGTACAACATGTACATCATTAGATTAATTACAGGTAGTGTAGTGTGTGACATTTACTGTCAAGATGTCATTTTTCAGTACAGTAGGAAGGGTACGGGACGTCAACATACCGTATGTACCGCACGTTGTACATGTACATGTTGTACCGATACATGTATAATTTGTACATGTACATTGACATGTACATTGACATACGTGTACGTACAAATGTATACCTCGGTTTTTAAATAAATATTTTCACAGTACATCATTAGAATACTAAGTGCAGTGTGTGACATTTACAGTGTACTGGTACATGTATCAATGTGTCATTTTTGGTACAATTGGAGAAGGGTATCAAAGATAGGTCATGTACATGTACTGTATAATATGTGGGCGATAATATGTCACCGCATTATGGGGAAGTTTTTTATCGTTAGGCAAATAAGGACCAAGTTATGAGGACTTTCTGCTGTCCCCACAGCGTCTTCGGTCCGCATAGTACCATGGGACAACACATGTGTAGTCCCCACAGTTACGGAACAAGTACATGTGTGGGTGTACACCTGTATTCAATGTATGTACCGTACATGTACATGTACATGTACATGGAGGTGCTTTTAAAAAAGAATTTGTGTTGGATATTTTGCAGGTCAGTTTCCTCTTCTTTCTTGTCATCAACATTAGACATGTAGCATTGCCTAGTTCATTGTGTATGGTCTTGAGATCTTGAGCACATTGTAAGGATCTCTTTTCCCCGATTTTTCCTTTTTCTGTATTCGCAATTTTGTTTGATCACTTGTGTCTATGATTTGTGCGTTATGATTGCTTTGTTCAGAAATGTACACCAATGCTAACAGGTGGTTTCAGGTGGGGGTGGGGGGGGGGTGGGAATAGGGGCATGACACGTCAATCGTGCCGGTCTGCAGATATAATGGGTAGACGTCGGCCTTTGTGAAATGGCTGAATGTTTATTAAATGGTATTTAAAATGTTTGCTAAAAGTGTACAAAATTAAATTATGCAAAGTCACATCTTACTAAAATACCAGTAATATAAAGAACAGGTAGTAAATGCTATTCAGATATTCGGCTGATGATGGAATATTCAAATATCCGGCAAAGCCCAAAGTATTCCTGTGTTATTGTTCAGAGGGCTGCTACCTACATGTATGGCTGGATTTGGGAAACGACTTGTGACATGTGAGCAGAGGTTCCACGGACTTGTGATGGACAAAACTACAGCACTTACTGTCATCTCTCTCATTTTTATCATTGTGTCTGGAGTTTAAATACAAATACATCGGAAGTACTCAAATCGCCCTTTGTTTTTATGCCCCGCGGCGAAGCCGAAGGGGCATACTGTTTCCGCCTTGTCCTTCCGTGGGTGGGTGTGTGTGTTAGTGGGTGGGTGTGTGGGTGTGGGTGTGGGTGGGTGGTGTGTGTGTGTGTGTCCGGACAAATCTTGTCAGCGCGATAACTTGAGAAATTCTTAACATATGAACTTCAAATTTGGTTTGTGTATTGTTCTTGGTAATCCTAAGAAGCCTTTTGCATTTGGGGCCAAAAGGCCAAAGGTCAAGTTCACAGTCGCTAATAGAAATCTTGTCAGCGCAATAACTTGAGAAATACTTAACATATGAACTTCAAATTTGGTTTGTAGATTGTTCTTGGTAATCCTAAGAAGCCTTTCGCATTTGGGGCCAAAAGGCCAAAGGTCAAGTTCACAGTGGCTAAAACAATAGAAATCTTGTCAGCGCGATAACTTGAGAAATACTTTACATGTGAACTTCAAATTTGGTTTGTGGATCGTTCTTGGTAATCCAAATAGGCCTATCGCATTGGGGGTCGAAAGGTCAAGGGTCAAGGTCACAGTGGCTAAAACAATAAAAATCTTGTATTTATTCTGAGATCATAGGGATTAGGGATTAATTCATATGAAACCTACAGAAGACACTAATGCTGTCAATGAACGTTCCATGTGACCAAGGTACATGTAAGTTGATGTTAAAAGAATGGTGTTATGTTATGGGAACAGTCACAGTTGCGGGGCATTTGTGTTTGTAAACACACCTGACTTGTTATCATTGTGTCTGGAGTTTAAATACAAATACATCGGAAGTACTCAAATCGCCCTTTATTTTATTTTGATATTCCCACAGAAGGATGTCAGCCCAGACTCCATCCGCTTCCAGCCTCCCAACATTGAGTTGCAGGGCAACGCCTCGGCCTTCAGCATCTACGCCACGGTGCGGGAGTACGTGCTGGAGCGGGACATGATGGAACGGGAGCTGATCCTCATACGGGCCAACTCGGCTGCGGGGAAAAGGGAGGAGTCGGGTCACGAGGCGGAGGAGGTGGCCAAGACGGAGGACGCTCTCAGATTACCAAAGGTAGGGATTTTCTTTTTTGCATTTTTTGACCGGTTAGGGCCACACCATCTTTAAAAAATGCGTGGGTTGCGTCACGTGTGCGTGGACGTTGGGTTACTAAACCAACAGTCATTGACGTGATTGGCCATTGAGAAACATACATTATTTACAGATGGATAAGTTGTATTCCACTCACCCCCCCCCTCATATCTTTGATTTCCGACGTTAGTAAAGAAGCACATACAACCTGAAAGTTACAAAATAATCAAGGCGGTGATTCGCACATATACATATACACCCAAGTGTACATGAGTTTGTTTCTGCATTCAATAGGGGATGTTAAACAATAGAGGACAATAGGGTCCCCAATTCCGAAAGGGTCCCCAATTTGGTGATGTGTGCAAAACGTATGGGAGATCTTCCTAAAAAGTACAAACAAAAGAGGGACAATAGGGGGTCCCCGATTGCAGGCAAATACACACTTGGGTGTACGTGTACGTGTACGCAGGCTGGGACTCAGCAGTGCGGGTGCATGTACAGTACAGTGGGCTTAGCGTATGCAGTTGGATCAGGGTTTCGCCGTGTGTGTGGACGTGGAGCCCGGTAAGCAGTATAGCCAGTAATGTGCATGGGGTTGGGTTGACCAGGCCAAACTGACCGGAAACATTATAGATATAAACCGAATCCGAACCAAACCCGATCTGAACTCTCCCATAATCCGACCTGACCCAACCCCTCAAAAATTCAAGCCAAAACCGACCGAAACTGACCCAATCCGAACGAAAAAGAATATCTGGCTTGGGCAACTGTGTACAATTTTTGTGCCTGAACTTGGTCCTACCGGGCACACTAACTCTTCAATAATATTGCACTGCATGAATTTCTGTTTGAATTCCAGTTTATTTCGGTTTATTTTGGGTTGTTCACAAGTTGGCTTAACCGACCCGACCCGAAAATCGCAAACGCAAAACCCGAAACTGACCCAACCCGACTGAAATGATGGAAAAACCGACCCTACCCAAATATTGGTTTCGGGTCTGGTCAGTTTGCACAACATTAATGGCCAGCTCCTCAGCCCTCAGTCAGCTACGGCACGCTGTACAGCACATGTAGCCTTGCATTCAAGGCCAGCAATCAGTCACCCTATTTGTATCCTAATGCATCTTCCATCTGCCTTTGTATACTGTTACAGGTTGTTGGTATTGGATTGCGTAGTGTGTTTGTCCTCATCCGAGACACCCACAGTTCCTACCCATTGCTGTGCGCCCGTGCTCTTCAAGCGTTGCTGGATATGCTACAAGGGCAGACTCCGGAGGGCCTCTCTAAGGAACCTGACGACATGATTGGTAAACAGTGATCACATGTCTTTAAGTGGACAACTTCGCACTTGTTTACAAAATTATAATTTTGGTCACTGGATTTTGACTTACAGCATACTGTTCAATTATGCACTGCGTGAGCTATTTTTTAAAAAATTTAACCCTAGAAATTAGATATCTGTATTTGTCTGGCAACACAAAATTGTCACTTTTAAATGAGACATTGAAAAAAAATATCGCCGCTTTTTTTAGTTATGAAGTCATTACTGAAAGAGATTGAAATTCATTTGTGACCAACAAGAATTCAGTTTTCATGGGGTAGACTGATTGCTGCCTCCTATCACAGTCAGTAATGTAGGCACTGACAACCATGTATTTCTGACCATTTTGTGATTGATTTCAAGCAGTGTTTGCAGCGGACTCGTTTTATTTGTGAGATTTTGCGGAGACGATGGTCAAATTTGACCAGTGTCTGCACATGGACTTTTGATTTTGGACTGGAAAATGGACTTTTGATTTTGGACTGGAAAATTTACCAAGACCGTGGATAAGAAAACCGAGCTAGACATAAATGTATTACGCGATCGGCTGTCCTGTGGACATTATGGAACGTTGTTCGCTAATACCAGTTAATACTGCACTGTCCGCACTGGACTTCCATCTTGTGAATATTGACCCGGTCACTTTTACTGGGCAGAGTTTGGCCAGTACAAGTAACTTCTTGACATGGGAAAAGTAAGCAAGAAGAAAGATTTCTGTGCTGTTTGAACTGGACATAAAATGGCAAAAGCAAGTGCACATTGCCAAAATAAGACGAATGCGGACACCGATTTGAAGTCCTACTCTATGAATTTTACTGAACTCATTCATGAGTTTGTTTTCTTTTCATGCTGCAGACTCCCTGTTTGAGCTTCTCTTAGACCTGACCATAGACCACCGGCAGGAAGGTCCTGAGAACCTCCCCGGCCTGCCTTCCATCTCCTCCCTGAGCTGTGCCTGCCTCCTCAGTCTCATCATCGCCAGCGGCAACACGGGCAAGATGCTGGCCGGCATAGCGGCCATCCTCATGAGCACGGGGAGCCTCTCCCAGCAAGCTTTCAAGGTTGGTGCCAGTGATTAACCCTGGCTCCTTAAAGGCATTTTTGCTAGGATGCAACCTCAATTGTGCAAAATTATCCACTCCATGTAAAAATTGCATACAGCCTCAATCCTGCAAAATCCTCTGTTATTTCTTGAATGTGGTCCTTGGAGGGGTGACCACTGCCTTGATCCTGCAAAATCCTCCAGCAATCACTGTTAACAAGTTGAGGCAAAGCCAATGACATCCTGGAGCAGTGCGGCGAATTTCAAGTATAATTCTAGGCCTAATTTTATGCACTTCTGAGCATATACAACACAAGGTTGTTGAAACAGTGCACACTTGACACAGTGCATCCTCCAAAATCAGCCACACATTTTTGCCATATAGCCTCAATCCTGCAAAATCCTCCATTTTGCAAAAAGGATTTTGTAGGATTTGGGAAAGTTAGGGTTAAGCATGATTTCTTTACAAACATTTTATAGAATTTTTGCACATGTTCAATTCCCCTTTGAAAAATACATGAGATGCCTGATGATGGATCATCATGCTTCATGCATAGCAACTGATCTAGCAATTTGCACTGAACAACCATGCAATTATATAAGTAGCTGCCTTTGCCATAGCTGCCAACTAGTACGATTTTTTCTTAATTATTACGAATTGTTTGTTAAATTACGAAAATACGATTTGCCACTAAAACATGACGAATTTCCCATTTTCTACCTAACGAAAAAAAAAAAAATGTTAAAGGGAATATACAACATTTGCAAAGATCGAAAAATAAAACTACCAAGTTTTTGCGAAATACCTTAATAGGATGTTGGTAAATGACAGTCTAAAGCATCCTGTAAAATTATGGCACCTGGTATACTGTCATTTTCAAGAAAAGTGGTATTTTTGTATCAATTTCCAACGCTGATCGGCCGATCAGCGTTGGAAACAACTGACTTTTTTCAAATACTGGCCCCAATTGACCATTGCACTTGTTTGCAATCGATTACAAACCTATGAACGGGTACGAGCCAGCTAGACTGGTTCCCTGACCTTACAATTCCCCAATGTATGTAAACTGCTCTGTTTCTTCTTATATGGAGTCAGGGAACCAGACTACAGGAAAATGATCGTTTTTCTTGGTTTTTATAGCATTTTCGAACCCAAAACCTCCAAAAAGTCAGTGTAACTATATTTGCTTTATATTTCCAAACCCCCAATTCCATCCATTTCTGAAAATTACAGCAAAAGCAAATGATGTATGTTCCCTTTAAGTATCGTTTTTGACCGAAAACTTCTGGCGAAATGTTGCGATAATGGATGGACTGGTGACAAGTCTAATAAGAATGCAGTCAAGCACCTGATAGACATCAATGCAGTGTGCGCAGTAGAGTACTTGAGGACCAGACTAAAATATTTTTCAATGGTGTGTCATTTGTGTGCATCTCGTGGATGTGTGGTTGTGTGTACTGTATGTGAGTACTTTTCAGTGACGATCGTGAGCATTTAGTCGCTTATTGCCGGGATGAGACCCATCAGTGCGAGATTTTAATCATGGAATTTAATAAGAGTATGGTTGGAATAATTGGTAATAGAGTTTGAGTTTGTCACAACGGACAGAAAAGATAAATCAGCATGCGTTTGCAAGGTATGTTGGCGGGATATTTCTATTGCATACGGTGGCCATAGATCATTGTGTGTAAAAACATGATACGAACTCGAAACTCAACATCGATAGCATGCATCTCCAAAAAAATATGCGCACATGTTATTGATGTTATTATTTATTTGACTTCAACAAACAAATACAGACATTAAAACAAAATTAATTTAAAAATTTTTTTTTTTTTTTTTTATTTTATTTTATTTTTTTTTAAATTATCTTTTGGCCTACACTCCATTATTATTCACAACAAGAAGGGTATGCACATGTATGTGTACATGTAAACCATGTACCTGTACTCGATGTTGGTAAAGCTTTTGATAAAACGAGAAGTTGAAAATGACCGCGCGGGTTGATTTACTAATTGGGATTTTGAAATGTTGGCAGCTATGCTTTGCTATCGTAGTGAAATTATCCTGATGCTGTGCGAGTGCCTTAAATTATGGGAGTACCATAGTAGTGAGTAGCACAGCGGAATTAACATTACAGTTCAACCCAAGATCATTTTGCAGTTAATCATCCATTCTTCGTTGCACTACAAGAGCACAAACTCGAAGTTTTTGAAAGCTGTGACATTAATAACCAGTCACTTCAGACTGAAATGACATAAGTCCAAAAAATATCAGTCATTTCAGACTGTTTACATTATCCCTCCTGCTGTTGGAACAGTCACATAAAGTCAGAAGATCAATCCTCTTCCCCTGCCATGCCTTTTACACAGGCTAGTCACCAACAGTCAGATCATATTTCCAGCAAGCACTGTGACTAGTCAAATTCAACAGACAAAAGCAGGCAAGAAGTAGGCACAGCTGGCTTATCAATCACCTACAAAGCATAGCTGTATCAAGTTACATAAACAGTCACAGCCAGTCAATTTTGCTTTAAGTAGGCTGGGAGCTCTTAAAGGGAATATACATCATTTGCTTTTGCTGTAATTTCCAGAAATGGATGGAATTGGGGGTTGGAAATATATAGCAAATATAGTTACACTTACTTTTTTGAGGTTTTGGGTTCGAAAATGCTATAAAAACCAAGAAAAACAATCATTTTTCTGTAGTCTGGTTCCCTGACTCCATTTAAGAAGAAACGGAGCAGTTTACAAATATTGGGGAATTGTAAGGTCAGGGAACCAGTCTAGCTGGCTTGTACCCGTTCATAGGTGTGTAATCGATTGCAAACAAGTGTGATGGTCAACTGGCGCCAGTATTTGGAAAAAAGCCAGTTTTTTCCAACGCTGATCGGCCGATCAGCGTTGGAAATTGATACAAAAATACCACTTTTCTTGAAAATGACAGTATACCAGGTGCCATGATTTTACAGGATGCTTTACACTGTCATTCACTAACAGTCCAGCAAGGTATTTCAAAATGATTTGGTAGTTTTATTTTTTGATGTTTGCAAATGTTGTATTTTCCTTTTAACTTTTGAAAACAGTCACCTGATTGATTTTGACTGAAACGACAACTTTGCACAGATTGTATGTTTGTATAGGAGGGTTTATGATCTTAAAAACATGGCAAGTGCATTCTAAGTGTTTGTCTCTGTGAGTAAAGAGGACATGACACGCACAATGGGAATTGTGGTTTGTAATGTACCTAGTTGCTAAAATGATATCTTTATTTAAGTTGGATTATTGTGTGTTTTTGTTCTTACAGGTTCCTTCTATCTTGTCAAGTCTACAGCGCAGTGTGCATGCCGTTCTACTCGGCAAAACACACTTCCCTGATTGGCTGACGTCGGGCATTCCCAGCCAATCACAGCTGGACTCTTGGGAGGTGCAAAATATAGACATAGGTTAGTTTCCCTACTTCTGAAGTTCTTGTTAAGTTTTTTTTACAAAATTCTTGTGGTTTAACCCCATGCATACGGGAAGCGGCCACGACTGCTAATCCTCATTGGAATGCAGTTGCCAGCTGTGGTATGCTGTGGCACATGGCTAGTGGGTAGTTCCACAGCTGCTGCTTTTGTGCAGTCCCGCTACCACACAAAGGCTGTGCAGTCATGCGGACCACTTGCTCTATGTGTGGAGGAATGTCCCCATTATAACCCGTCCTTAAGGGGTTAAGGGAATAACAGGTTTACGCATTCATTCTTGAGCTGAAAACAGATGAATCACTTAATGTTAAATTTAGAGTTTAGTAATACATGTACATCAAAGTTAACTTCGTAATGGAGAACAAAATAATCAACTCTTCAACATTATGAAGCTAATAGAAAAGTCGCCTGAAATTCGTTCATAAGATTGACTCTGTGTCGTGGAGATTTTGGATTTTGGATTTTGCCCTTTGCTAATGTATATATAAACACTATATACTCATTATTTTTCCTGTGGCCTTGCGAGAAATAATTTACCTGAGACTTTAAATTCAAACCTTTTTTCTAAATGGCATACATTTTTTTTTCTTTTTCAGATGCGTGTTGTGATAATAACAGTGCAATAGCCAGCGATGGCTCCTACCTGTACATACACACAGACACAGGCCTGTACAAAATAGGCTCTGGATTCTCCAGCACAATCAAGGTAAGTTAATGGATTGTTGGTGTGGGGGGGGGGGGGGAAATGAAGGGTAGCCCTGCCAAAGTTCCCAAGACAGGATTTGATTCATAATAATAATAATAATAATAATTTGGGAGGCTAATCATTCTTACTGGCAGCTGAGAGATTAAATTGCGAAGGACACGGCTACAACGTGGTCAAGCCGCTGTCTTGTAAAGGTGCCTTTTTTCAGCCAGCGACATTGACCCATATGACCAAAGTGTACAGCCTGAGATCAAAAGTGTTTGATTTTTCCGAAGGGAGGAAAATCGGAAGGCCCAGAGAAAAACCCTAGTTGCACAGGAGAGAACCAAAGCACAACTCTACTCACATATGGCATGTATGGTCCGCGGACGGGATTCGAACCAGGCCAACAGTGGTGAGAGGCGAGCGCTTTACACACAAGCCACCCATGCCATTCATCTTGTTAATAGTGATCTCTTCTGCCTTGCCGCCTTGGCTGAACATATGGTGGCATGGGTGGCTAGTGCATAAAGCGCTCGCCTCACACCACTGTGTCCCTGGTTCGTTCCCGGCTAGAACCATATCGTCGTGTCTGTGCAACAAGGTGGCCGTACGTGAAACGTGAAATGGGCTGTACGTGAAACGCGAGTTTCAGAATGTTCAAAGGTCGTACCTCACTTAAAATAACCCGGATGTACACACAAAGTCAGTGGACGTCGCGATACAACCTTGTTGCACGGAGCGTATTCGCGCGAGATACGACTTTGTTGCATAATGGAGTTACGACCTTGTTGCACCGACACGACGATATGTACAGTGTAAGTAGAGTTGTGCGTTGGTTCTCTCCTGTGCCACAAGGTTTTTTCTCCTGGCCCTCCGGTTTTCCTCCCTCTGAAAAAAATCAAACACTTTCGACCTCTGTCTGTGCTTCTGTGGTCTGATATGGGTCGTATGGCTGGCTGCCAAAGTCGCCTTTACATGCCAGCGGCTCGACCACGTTGTAGCCACTTCCTTCGCAATTCAGCTTCTTAGCTGCGAGTAAGGATGATTAGCCTCCCAAATTATTATTATTATTATTATTTGTATTACATGTGAGGGACCTGCTGTACCAGGGGAATAGAATCCAGATCCAATCTTTGACCAAGACTTCACGTCAGTATAAGGCCGTATCCAAAAGTTGTGGCTGGGGCTGGGAATAACAAGAGTGCCTATGGAAGCCACTGGCTTGTGGCTATAGCCACTTCCCCAATATCCAAAAGTTGTGGCTGCGGCTGGGAATAACACGAGTGCCTATGGAAGCCACTGGCTTGTGGCTATAGCCATTTCCCCCATATCCGAAAGTTGTGGCTGTTGCTGGGAACACCAAGAGTGTCTATGGAAGCCACTGGCTTGTGGCTATAGCCACTTCCCCAATATCCAAAAGTTGTGGCTGCGCATGGGAATAACAAGAGTGCCTATGGGAGCCACTGGCTTGTGGCTATAGCCTCTTCCCCCATATCCAAAAGTTGTGGCTGCGGCTGGGAATAACAAGAGTGTCTATGGAAGCCACTGGCTTGTGGATATAGCCACTTCCCCAATATCCAAAAGTTGTGGCTGCGGCTGGGAATAACAAGAGTGTCTATGGAAGATACTGGCTTGAGGATATAGCCACTTGCCCAATATCCAAAAGTTGTGGCTGCGGCTGGGAATAACAAGAGTGCCTATGGGATGCCACTGGCTTGTGGCTATAGCCACTTCCCATAAACTGCCGGCCACAGTGTGTGTTACTCCCTGCCACAGCCAGTTGATTCAGACACGGCATTGCTTGTGTAATCATCGTTTATTACAATTTTTGTCCCGTGTTGCAGGGTCATATTTATGCAGCCAACAGGGAGTTTCACTCCCACGAGCGAGGCTGGCTGGGCCTCGCCAGGGGCCAACTCCTATATAAGAACGTATCACAGGATCAGCATAGTGGGGCTGGATGCGAGGCGGTCGTAGTGGACACTGAATCCCTGAAGGAAATTGGGACTTTTGAAATCCCCATCATAGGTAGGTGGATATGCGTTCAAACGGTGTGGCATGAAATTTGGACTCCTTATGAGCTACTGATTCCCACTGTGTGCCAGGTGCACACTTAAAGGTAGAGCAGATCATTTGCAGCTATCCAAAAACTAACTGACAAAATTATTGTTGAAAAACCTACTTGGTTTAAAGATAGTTACGGCAATTAAGTCCTTGTGAAATTATTCTTTCTGACATGATGTCATTTTGAAGAAAACAAGGAGAGAAGGCCATTTTTCAAAGATGCGTCAAGTGACACATTTTTGGAAATTTCAGTCAGCAGTTGGTTTGTAATGTGAACCAATGATAATGATATATTTCTTCTTGTCCTTTCTGAATTTAGTGATATATTTCTTCCTGTTTTTTCATCTTTGCCGTAGCCCAATAATTTTTGACTTGCCAGCCGGGCAACTTTAGGGAATAGTTTGACTAGCCTGCCGCTGTTTTGACTAGCATTTGGCTAGCGGGCCACCACTAAAGTCGAACCCTGGATATCACTAGATTGGAGGGGGGGGGGTGTAATCTTGGGGGGGGGATGGTAAAATCTTGTGTCTGTTGTCGGTGTCAAAGATAATTTACTTTGACACTTTGTAAGGTTATGTCCAGCCCTCCCCTACCCACCCCTCGATCAGGCAAAAAATTCCCTGCTACCTTCCAACACCGATGTTCTATCAGGAAATTGGCTGTTACACACCCCCATTCAAATTGGTCTTGCCATGCCTCTGAATGCCATGGTCCAGTGGTTGCTGTGTTTGACTCATGTACAATGGTGCGTGGGTTCGAACCCTGCCAGCAACATGGTGTTTGTGCCCTTGGCCAAGACACTTAACCACAATTGCCTCTCTCCACCCAGGAGTATAAATGGGTACCTGTGAGGGTCGAGGACCGATTGAGCGCTGATATTGGCTGCCGCGTGGTCCCATGGCCTGATGAACCTGGAATAATTGTAAAGTGCTTTGATACAATGGAAAGCACTATATAGGCTTAGGCATTACAATTTATTTGTTTTTCTTTATTTGATATTGTCAGCCCTACATGTGTACATCTATATTGTGTATGCTTCCCCATGATCAGTTTCCCTTTTAAAGAGTCGTCCAACATTATCTTCCATGTACAGGTAACAATTTAATTAATTGAGTGTTATGCTTTGTTTTAGGAGGTACCTCCGCGTCTCTCCTTTTCAGTGATGGGGATAACATCGGATGTGTGTCCGCTGTAAATGATGTAAGTTTTGGTCACTTCTATTTGTTTTTATAATATCACTATATTGCTGTTTTACAACCAATAGTAATTGAAACAAAATAACTTAAAGCTGTTATTGGTATATCAAAACTCATATAAGGCTGAGTTTCAATTATAGTGAAAGGACTTTCCCTTGGCGAAATTCTGCTTGTTAAAAGTCGGTGATATTAAGTTACCTCCCATCGAGATGACCAATTTCAATGGCAATATTACATTCTGAAACTTGCACAATATATTTTATACATAGAAAAAAGACTGTTGCTGATAATAACTCTCATTCAATTTTGTGGTCGTATTTCCATTTCAAGCTCTTGGTAGGGCTGGGCCGAATATACCAAATATTCAAATATGTCGATCATCCACCAAATATCCGGATAGCATTTTTGGCGAGCTGCGAAGCAGATGCGAGCCTATGTAATACCAATTTCCGTCCGTCTGTCCGGGCGCCCGTCCGTCCGTCCGTCCGTCGGTCCGTCCGTCCGGCCGTCCGCGTTTAGATAAAAATGTTGAAGTTTTTGGTTTTAGTTAACTTGGGGAAAAAAATTAAATGCAGTTGTCAGGTATCATCTCCAGGCCTATAACTTCAGTTAGGTTCATATCATTGCAGTAAATTTTATGATTTTATTGAGGAACTTTAATTCAAGGAAATGTTAAAGCTTTTAATTGTTACATGTACATGTATACTGGTATAACATGTACATGTGTGTATACCGGTATAACATGTACATGTACACTATGCATTTTGGGGATGTGCATGAGCTTCTGGTTTGATCTTTTAGTTTATGGGGTTGGAGTAGGGATGGGGTAGGGGAGGGTGGAGTGGGGTCGGGGTGGGGTATAGGGTTGGAGTTAGGGTTTGTGTGAGTAGGATGAGTAGGGGAGCTATAGGATGGGTGGGGCGGGGCGGGTTGGGGTGGGGTGGGGTGGGGAGAGGGGTTGGAATACTGGGTTTGGGTGGGGTGGGGATTTGTAGGGGTGGGGTGGCAAAAGGTAGGGAGAGACAGGTAGGGAGAGGATGGGCATGGATGTAGGGGTTGGGTTAGGAGGGGGTTGGGCAGGGGGCGGGATATAGGATCGGAGTAGGGGTTGGGTTGGGGATGTGTAGGGATGGGTTGTTGTAGGGGTTGGATAAGGGGAGGGGGCAGTATATAGGGATCAGAGTAGGGGTTGCATGGGGTCAGGTGAGGATGTATGGGTGGGGGAATGGGGTGGGCGGGATATTGGAATTCGAGTAAGGGTTAGGGTGGGGATATGTAGGGGTGGGTAAGGACAGATAGGGGAAGATAGGGTAGGTGGGTGTAGGGGGTTGGGGTAGGGAAGGGTACGGGTCAGGGGAGGGGGAAGGAGATAGGGATTGGAGTTTGGGTGGGGTTTGGATGTGTAGGTGATAGGGTGGGGATGATTAGGGGAGGATGGAATGGGTGTGGGTAGGGGGTTGGGTGGGGGAGGGGGAGGGGGCGGGTTGGGGATGGGGTAAGGTTTTGGGATGGGGTAAGGTTTGGGGGAGGTGGTGATGGTGCTGTGTCTACATGTACATGTATACCCATTCTTGTTCTGCATTTGTGGCGACTACACAAGAATTTTCCCATGGTAATACAAGTATGGGGAGCAGAAGACACTGTTGGGGCTGCAAAAATCCACAACTGGGTCCTAATTACCCTAACAATGGAAAACTCCCCCATAATACAGTGACGGCTAACCTATATACACATGTATTTATTAGGTAATCTGTTGACTTTTTATGTTGACATTTAAAAACTGACCCCTACACCTAGGCACATCAACAAGAATCCTGATCCCCTTCCATCATGCCCATCCCCAACCCTACCTTCAGCCTCCCTTCCTGCCTTGGACAGCGAGCCATGGCGGCTTCGCCGTTCTAGTTCCTATTTTACCCGTCAAAAATGTGAGCAGTCTTGAGCAGCTGAAGATAAATGCCCAAGATGTCATTTTAATCGTATAAGTTTACATCTTTTAAAATCTTTCAAGTGTCAATTGTCAGCTACATACAAGAATGTATTTCAATGCATACATGGTGTTCTTAATGTGTATAAGGCTCATTGTGCACATAAACCCTGATCAGTGGACTATGTAATTCCTGATTGAGGCATGCATATTTCAAACAGGGTGTGCACATGCACTTCCTGATTAGCACATGCGCTGGCGTTCATAAAACTTGTCTTGTGTTTCGTGTTTCCAATATTTGAATATTCAATACAATCCGAGGTCTAATAATCAAGTACTACCGTAAATTATAAAAAAAAAAAAAAATTGCGCAGCCGTAGCTCTTTGACAGATCTCATCACATATTCTGTGGATATCTTACTTGTTTGTCTTCTTAGGACACCTTTGTGGTGCAGAGTTTCAACCCCCAGAGCTCCCCCGTGCTGAAGACCGGGGAGCTGCCGGTCAAACTGGCCCGGAAGTCCCTCCTGGCCTACGGTCCGTGGCCAGGCAGCGGTGATAAGGAACTGCATCTGGAGAAACAAGAGATTGGTAATTAAGTTGTCCAACACTTTTATCAGAGGATTTTGTTTTGGCCTTAGAGTTTACCACAATCACTCGTGTAATTCAGTATTGTATTGTTATTTATATTTGGACTACTTCTATTTTCTTACAAGTGTTACAGTATAAAAACCTTAACCGAGTTGTAAAGTTTCCACTATTACCCATTTTTTTTTTGGGGGGGGAAGGGGTAGTGGAACAAGAAAAATGGTTATAAATGCAAGTAACCTGACTTTTCCTTAATTTTTTGTAATATCTGAATGACTTTATTTCATTATTACCCTTATTTCTACAGTTTTCTCTTTGAAAAATCATTTGAATTGAAGATTGTGCTAAATTTGGGCATTGCCAGACTGTGTAATGCGAGTCACTTTTGACCGTGACCCCTGTCATTTTTCTAATTAGAGAACGTCGTGTTAACCCTAAAAGTAAAGGGCCGGGTTATTTTGACCATCTCACAGCCGTGGGGGGGGGGGGGGGGGGCAGATTCCCCCGTCAGATCTCGGCCATCGAGTGACAAACAATTATGAAACTCGATACATGCTTAGAACAACTTATCATGAACACACCCAAGAAATGTCATGACTGTAGGTCAAAGGGTTTTGGAATTATTGCTAATTAATTATTCATATGCACAAATGGTAATTCTGCTTTGTATACACAAGGTATATTGGGAAATTTATTTGTCACGGCACGTTGCGCCGGAAATTTTTTTGCTGCGCAGCAACCTGTGGTCCGAATTTTGTTTTTAGTATCAAAAGATGTGCAAGACTCGAGGCTAAAAAGTCAGAACAGCTCGGATTGCGCAAAAAAATTGTTTTAAGGCTATCGCAGAAAAAGTTGAAGGGGCGGGAGGGCGAAATACGCCCCCGGCCCTTTTAGGGTTAAACATCATGCAGTAAAAGAATGTCAGTTGGTTTTTGTTGACACAAAAAACAACAACAACAGGAATACAATGTAACATCACAGCATGAAAATGAAAAAAAAAGGGGCACCAAAAGATTAATGCTATTAGTTGCCCACTTACATTTGTGGAAGTTTTGACCACCATGCCTGCTTGTTGTTTAACCACAACACACTGTGCTGGCTTGGTGTCAGCCCTTGGCTGTACTTCCTATATTAAACTTGGAGGTTTCTGAAATTGTCACGGAAGATTTGTTGGTGGTTTTCGTTCCCCTCCAAACATTGTACTTGTTTTACCCATAACTGGGGTGCAATTTCGTGGTTTCTACTTACCAAAAACAAAAAAATATACCTGCGTATCCGTAGAAAAAAAAATCCTGCTTCCAGTTAGCATATGTCATGGGTTAGCAGTTGATTTGGCTTATGCTTATAAATGCGTCCATCCCGTAGCTAAGGATTCTGTGTTTACGTGGTTAGCTCAGAATTGTTTTCGTTAATAGCGCTGTTAGCACAGAATAGTGATTATAAGCGCGGAATGCTGTGGTTAGCAGAGATACATGTATGAAATTGGGACCAGGGCTAAACTTCACGAAGCTGCTTCGCAGTTAATGTTGCTTACAAGTTTCTGTGCTAAGCATGAACCCGCTGAGAACCAGTCATCAGTAGTTTGCAATTGCATGACAATTTAGCTGGTAACCTAGTTTGCTAAGCAGATACCTTCTGTATTTGCAGTTCTCTGCAAAAGAACATATTGAAATAAATCAGTGATGTTTTCAATTTTATTATTGTTATTATTATTAAGTATTTGTGGTAATGAAACCAAGGATTCCTCAAAAGTACCCTAGGCACTGTAGCTCGCAAGCCTGCAGAAACCTGCAGGAAAAAAAGACAATGAAAAGAAATTGCAGTTTTAGAGGTGGGAGGAAAACCCCAGAATGATATTCTAGGGGAAAACCTATGGAATCGGACTGAAAACCAATCCACATTGGCCCAGGCGGGATTCGAATCCGGGTCACAGCGGTGGAAGGCGAGGAAAGTACCACTACGCCAACCTAAATCCCTTTTATTATCCCTTTTAGATATAATATATCTTTTCTGATAAATTCATCCTTTTATCTCCCCACAGAAACCGGAATGAACAGCGAGGGCATGTACGTTGCGGCCGGCAAAGAGTTCTCTCTTATCAGAACAAACTCGGGAAAGGTATGTGAGAATTTCATCAGCAGTATTTTGAAACCACTTTTCTGTTGGGATAAAATGTTACTATGGCCTCTCACAGGCTTTGACTTTGCTGCCCAACCCAGAACAAATTGTAAGCCACAGGAAGAACAGATTGTAACATTCCGTAACAATTCCGTAAAAAACAAATCCTAGCTTTGGTTGCTGTAAACAGTCAGGTAAGTGGTCCTTTACTTAGTCAAAAAAAAATAAAGATTGTAGAAAATGCAATGTTTGAGCTGCCGCAAACTGTAAACTGACATGGATTTGCATCTGTTTATATCCTCAAATGGCGTCATGACAGCGCCCGCGTTAGTGTAGGGGCTAGACGTTGTTATGGTTTGATACGCGATAACCCGCGGCCGTGATAACCCGCTCCCGCGAGAGGGTGCCATCACGACCAACCAATATCGTCCACGGACTTGTCAGAACTACGTCTAGGGAATCTACTGAAATCTCCCCCCGAAGAATGGGGGAAACTAGTGCGCATGCGCAACTTCTGCAGGCAATTACGGTCCATTTTCTGTCCTACACATACTACTCACAACAAAAGAGCTGACCAGTGAAGTTGTGCAAAGGTCTTGCCGCATCTTTTATTGCACTGGAAGAAATTTGAGAGTTTGCTTTGGAACTGCTATAATTGTTTGAATTGCGTGCTTCATATATGTGACCTGCTCTGTCAAAAGCAGACGCTTCTGGGCAGAGGTTGAAATTAAGAAATTAATGCTGTGAGGGTGATTTTTTTGGATTTTCTAATTCTTGCATATTTGTAATCCTGAACATGTCTAAAATATACTATAAAAGTTTGAAACCCTGATTTGAACTCTAAATATAGTATTTTTGATGATTTGTTGAGGTATATTAGTTAAAGAAATGTCTGGTTTGTGACGTTCGTGGCCATTTTCTACGTCTTCTACTTTTCGACACAATGAACTTCAAAATAACATAACTTTGCCCAGGAATTACAGGTTTCAAAAATTAAACCACCAATTAAAAGGAAAATGTACATATTTTAACAATATGCAAAAGTCTCATTTTCGACCTTATGCCCAGAAAAGTCTGATTTTGACAGAACAGGTCACATATTAGGCCAAACAGGTGTGCGCGCATTACACAACCAATACCAGTTTCCCTAGACGTTGTTCCTGTCAAGTCCCTGGGCGGTATTGGTTGGTTGTGATAGCGCCCTCTCGTGACGGCGGGTTATCGCGGCCGCGGGTTGTAGCGTATCAAACCATTAACAACGTCTAGCCCCTAGACTACGCCTGCGTTCGCTCAAAAGTAAGTCCAATTCAAACCGGACGTGTTTTTCTTGTTGCAGGTTTTGTTTATGGGCAAGGCCCAGAGTCTGGGCATCAAGCAGACCGGTCAGCCCAGCACCAAGTGGTCTGAGCTACCCATCACCAAGTCACCCAAGATAGTGCAATGCAGCGTGGGACATGACGGCTACCATGCGGCCCTACTAGGGGAGGACGGTAACGTCTACTTTGCCGGGACGGCCAGGAAGGGAGAGGATGGGGACCAAGGTACAGCACCAATAATTGTTTTTCTGAAGTCTCTTCTTGGTGACAGATGACAAATTGCCACAAGAACCGTAGCAGCCCTTTTACTAGTCTTAGTCTAAGACTGGATTTGCATTTTTGTTCCCCTCATGCATTCATATGAAGTATGCTTGGAAGTTCTTGGGTCCGAGAGCCAGTGGTCCCAAGACTAGATTTGATTCAACTTGTTGATAGTACCCTCTACCAGTCAAGCTGCTGAGGCGACTTGACTGTTAGCCAGGGATCGGGACAGACTGCATTAGAGGGACACATTTCAAATCCAGGCTTATAGGATGATCGGGCATCTTATTTTCAGTGGCGTGACCGTAGTGTGACCAACTATAAACCAGCGTAAGGGAAAAATACAAAATTAGACAAGTGTCAACTCAAGGCATTAGCCTGAGGTACCCCACAATACCCTGCTGAACCCTGTAAACCTCGAGGTAAACCACCGCGAGGTACACCTCGAGGTAAACCTCGTGGTAAAGCCTCAAGGTAAACCTCGAGGTAAACCTTGAGGTAAACCAAGTTACCGCCAGTTTAATTTTGCATTCTCCCCTTAACTGGTATGCATATGTTTACGTCGTTTTGTGTGACAAACTTGAAATGAATATTTCAGTTGTGGCGCTGGAAACTAAACTTTGGATGCTGGTTTTGTACGATCACTTGCAGATTTGGTTTAAACCAGCAGGCTGCGTTCAGAATAACATATTTTTCCTTTTTTAAATTTTACAGTGAAGGGACGCCGGCAACTCAAGCCCTCCAAACCCAAGAAGATGCTGAAAATGGACGGCAAGACGGCCGTGTACGTGGCCTGCAACAACGGCAGCACGGCGGTGGTGACCAAAGAAGGCGAGCTGTATCTGTTTGGCAAAGACACTCATAATGCTGACAGTAGCACAGGTAATGTCAAACCAGCTCAGGAATAAGTCCAGTTAGAGTTGCGTACAATCATTTGCAGGGGTGTGAAATCTCTGCTATTTAGCGGATTTCCGCTTTTTTGTTCAGCGTGCCACATTTTGTTTTCCGCTTTTTTTCTTCCGATGGTCCAGATTTCCCCCCGCTTTTTCCCCGCGCGTAAGCTTTGATTTTATTTCCGTTTATTTTATTTTCTGCCGCCGCCGAACGCACGCGATCCGCTCTCTACAAGCTCTGGGGTGCGTGCAATCGCAAGCGAGTATTCAATGTACATGTACATGTACATGTACATGATACGTACCGGTACATGTATAGTACGTACGTGTGTACTATACGATGCCATGTGCATGCATTTTTCAGCTCGAAGCCGCGTGTGTACAATGTATTGTACACAACATGTAAACAGCATCCGGGGAACCAACAGTCATTGCGCTGTGATTGGCTGCAGATAAATATGAATATTCACACATGCGCCATGAAGCGCGTTGGGACTCTTTGCGGCCGTTCCTGTGTCTATGCATGTAGTGACACGCGATGATCTCCACAATAACTCGCTGTAAACATCGTCTTGTTGCAAATATAAAGCCTTGAAATAAGACTAGTAAATTGTCGCCGTGCCGCGCCGGTAGAGGGCATCATGCGGGGCAAAGTTCATGTGTGCATTTCATTGCATGCACGCATCCTGGCCTGCTGCGTGTATTCCGCTGCATTACGTACATCATACATGTACGTTAGTGTGCCGTTTCAAATGTTTCGAACGTATTTTGACATTATTAATTCCGCAAGATGTCAGTGCAACACAAATGTGTTATTATCCAAAGAGGTTCGGAGTTTGATACGGACATTGACAAGACCGATCCTCAGGTTACGAATCCGTGGAAATGGATTTGGATGGAACACATGGTTAATTGGCAGAAATTAGGCGACTCGATCAGAAACCGGGACACGCGATGACGATGTGTATCATCTGCAGTAAGGAGTTAAAATATGGAAAACGTGGTCGAAACGTGGTCGAATTTCCCAGTTTTCATATACAAGTTGGCCATTTAGGCAGTTTCAAGCCAATATGAAGGAAAAGTTAACTTAAAAACATGCATAATTTGCAAAACATTTTCGACCAATAGTTGGCCCAGGCATGCCAGGAGGCTTTAAAATCATGTTAAAATGCACCACAGAGCATCTACATTTCAAAAATTTTCCGGGGCCCTTGAGCGAGCCCCGAACCCCACGCCGTAAGGGCTTCGCGCTACGTGCTCGCAGGTTCGGTTATTTACAGGTTCAGCTATTTTCAGCTATTTTTTTTTTACCCCACTCACACCCCTGCATTTGCTTTTTGGCATTTTTTTGTCATTTGAAGCAACAAAATCGCTCAAAATCTTAACTAACATGCTTAAAAACAAAGCTCAGTGGATACAATGCATTTTGAGAAAACAGAAAATGTATGCTCAAATTTTTTTGTCTCTGGTTTAGGGCCATTCTTTGGTCACTGTGTGACATAAAATTGTGCTCGTCTGATTTTTGAAGCTTTACCATTTACTTTATGTCATGGAAATATGTTCATGCAAACAAGAGATCTAACAAATTATAAAAGGCTGTGGGTTTTTCACTCATTCCAATGGGACAGGATTTACACAGTTAACTTCATTTACATCAGAGTGAAAGGCCCATGACAATCTGATGCACTGATATCACTAACTGTGTAAATCTCATTAGAATGGGTGAAAAACCATAGCCTTTTATAATCTGTTAGATCTCTGGTTTGCATGAACGGATTTCCATGACATTTTTACTGAATATACACAAGAGTATAATTAATATGCTCCATCAAGATGAAGTACTCATGTTAAGTTGTTTTGGGGAAATTAAAGGATATCTGCTTTAGGCATGCAACTTTTCCTCGGATCCGCTGATTTCCTCGTTTTTTTTCTTCTCATGAATGCCATTACAAATTGAAACACATTGTACAGAGTCTTGTGTGATTTGGAATTTCCTTGTTTTTTTTTAAATTCCAGTTGCATGCCTGCTGCTGGCATAACGTTTTGGGGGACACCCTGAATCAGACTTTCCAAAGATTGTCAGTTGTTCCATGAATTCATTAGTCAAAACTTAGATTTTCAATCCTAGCTTTCAATATATGCTGCCTTCCAGGGTTGTACACCGAACTCAAAAACGTCAAAGTCACCCAGGTGGCCCTCGGCAAGGCCCACACCTGTATCCTGACCAGCAGCGGGGCTGTCCACACGGCCGGCATCAACAACAAGGGGCAATGCGGCCGTGGACCGGCCCTGGGGCATGGCGCTGGCAAGGATGGCAAGAACGCCAACATGGCGCAGAAGGAGGCGGTCAGTCCCGAGGATGTGTGCGGGAACGGCGGTGGTGAGGGGGCCAACGTTGCTGCTGCACAGTTGATGAGAACGCTCATTGCAGAAGGTTAGCTTGAAAAAAAATTGACGGGGGGCGGGGGGGGGGGGGGGGGGGGGGGGGGGGAAAATGTCACACTTTGGACCGTAAACTTTAGAATGGCCTTTATGCATTACAACTGATGAAGCTAGGTTGCACAGAATAAGTTCATAGAAGAAGAAATTATAAATGTTGGTATTTTTTGGGGGGCCTCTGAATATGATGTGTTTTACTAGTGACTATAAATGTACAAGTGAATGCCATACATACTTGTAATTTGTACAGTTTTCCCAAATGAAAAAAAAAACTCACAAATCACCATCCTGTGGCCCACTGTGGCCTCGTGCTTAAGGGCACTGATTCGTGGTCTGCGGGTAAAGCTGCAGGTTGTGGGTTCGAGTCCTGGCGGGGTCATGGTGCGTGTGCCCTTGGGCAAGGCACTTTGTCACTCATTGCTTCTCTCCACCCAGGAGTAAAGGGGTACCTGTGAGGGCAGAGATGGTTATTGTGATTGAATTAGCTTCCTTGCGCCTAACAGGCATCATCGAGCTGTATACTCCCCAGGGAGCTGAGATGGTATTTGGAATGTTTTATGTGCCCAATGAGCAGGGGTAATAATGATGTAGCGCTTTGAGCACCAGTCCTGGTGGATACGTGCGCTTTATAAATATCCACTATTATTATTATTATTATTATCCTGAAATCTTGACAATTCTATACCTGTCAACATCGATTTAGTGCACTTCCAATTTTTAATTTTGTCTTTTGTCACACAATTTCAAATTCAGTTTAAACAAATTCAAACAATGAGCACACGTTTTTTGTCCTGGAGTATTTGATTTTGTCTCATCTACGCCACACCTTGTTATTCAGAAATTAAATTCCTCTAATTGATTTATATATGAGACAAATTTGATCTCCGAATGCTGCCATTCGGCAACAGCTTAGACGAATTTGATCTGTAATGATGAATATTCTCGACCCTGTAACTAAAGAGTGTGACCAAACTATGAAATTGAATGGTAAATGACTAAATTGGTTTGTTAAACGCGTGCTCAACTAATCTCGGACGAAATTGAATGTTAGAGTTGGTGAAGTTGAATGAAAAATGTTTTCAAATAGCCGGTAAAACCTTTATTACCATACGGCGGAGAATTGTTTTGAATTGGCGGAGGTTGCGTTCTTCGAGTGCTTTCTAGTTATAATTTTGTTGTTTTGTGCGTCTTAGGAGAGGCGGCAGCAGACATCTTGGCTCCGGGAGCCGAGGAGGACCCGGAGGAAGAAGAGCGAGATGATGAGCAGTGTGAGCATGAGTGGAAGGCTGACCAGTGCATGATATGCTCGCTGTGTGGCCTGTGCACGGGATACGGAGACTCATGCGTCAATACCTTCCAGCCGGGCAGGAATCCTGGAATGTGAGTACATTGTGGTCATTGGGCTCACAAGGGATTGATGGAATTGGTAGGAGTTTGGGGATGGGTGGGGAGGGGAATGGGAACTCACGTAGCACACCAGGCAGGAATCCTGGAATGTGAGTACATTGTGGTCATTTGGTTCACGAGGGATTGATGGAAATGGTAGGAGTTTGGGGATGGGTGGGGAGGGGAATGGGAGCTCACGTAGCACACCAGGGAGGAATCCTGGAATGTGAGTACACTGTGGTCATTGGGTTCACAAGGGATTGATGGAAATGGTAGGAGTTTGGGGATGGGTGGGGAGGGGAATGGGAACTCACGTAGCAATGCATATAATCCAGGGAGGAATCCTGGAATGTGAGTACATTGTGGTCATTTGGTTCACAAGGGATTGATGGAAATGGTAGGAGTTTGGGAATGGGTGGGGAGGGGAATGGGAACTCGCGTAGCACACCAGGGAGGAATCCTGGAATGTGAGTACATTGTGGTCATTGGGTTCACAAGGGATTGATGGAAATGGTAGGAGTTTGGGGATGGGTGGGGATCAAAATGGGAACTCACGTAGCACACCAGGGAGGAATCCTGGAATGTGAGTACATTGTGGTCATTGGGTTCACAAGGGATTGATGGAAGTTGTAGGAGTTTGGGGATGGGTGGGGAGGGGAATGGGAACTCACATAGCAATGCATATAATCCAGGGAGGAATCCTGGAATGTGAGTACATTTTGGTCATTTGGTTCACAAGGGATTGATGGAAATGGTAGGAGTTTGGGGATGGGTGGGGAGGGGAATGGGAACTCACGTAGCACACCAGGGAGGAATCCTGGAATGTGAGTACATTGTGGTCATTTGGTTCACAAGGGATTGATTGAAGTTGTAGAAGTTTAGGGTGGGTGGGGAGTGGAATGGGAACTCACGTAGCACACGAGGGAGGAATCCTGGAATGTGAGTACATTGTGGTCATTTGGTTCACAAGGGATTGATGGAAATGGTAGGAGTTTGGGGATGGGTGGGGATCGGAATGGGAACTCACATAGCAATGCGTATTGTGAAACGCCAGGGACAAATTCTGGAATGTGAGTACAGAAGACTGTCACTGTAACTATTCAATTTGGGCGTTTTGCAATGTAGTGCACCACCAAGAGTTTGCCATGGAGAGTTCATTTTCCCAGCACATTGTGGGAGATGGTTGACAATTCGCAGTGCAGTCTATTTGAAATTGTTAGGTTGTCCGGTCAGTAATTTCATAAGCGTATGATTCGAGTATCCGTTTGCCCTTTTCTTTTCTTTTTATCAATATGGTGTTTTTGTAAGGCGGCAGAACGCTAAGCCCCAATCCTTAACAAATTAGCTCAAGTTGTCTACTGATACTGATTCGAATGGGCCGTATTTTGTCGACCGTAAACTTGAGAAATGGACTCTCCTTGGCAAACTCTTGGTGGCGCACTGCATTGTGAAATGCCCAAATGATTACGGCTTGAACGTGATTGAATACTCAATTCTTTGATTTCGAGTGTGTGATTTTGAAATGCACTGAACAAGTTCAATGCGCACCATCCTAAAATTGGCTGCCAGGAGGGATTTGTGCTCACCTGCACTTGTCGCAAATTGACGAGCTTGTTATTAAAAATAGGATACAGACCAGGGGCCAATTTCACGGCACTGCTAAGCACACAAATTTGCTTAGCACAAAAAAAGTATGGCTTATAAAAGCAGGTTACCAGCCAAAACTCCACGTGATGTATATTGCTCGTGATCAGTATTCAGCTGTTGTTTGCTTAGCATGAAAATCACATGGAGTCTTGGCTGGTAACCTGCTCTTATAAGCCAGACTTTTTTGTGCTAAGCAAATTTTTGTGCTTAGCAGTGCCGTGAAATTGGGCCCTGGTAGCGATGGCTTAGACTGATTTTAACCCTAACCTCACCCAAAGCTACAAAATACTACTGAGAAGTAACCTGTAGTATGCATTTCTTTCCACACAAGTGTGCACAACACATGTTGTATTCTGTAGTATTTGGTCCTTGACCCCCAAAGAGCCCTTAGGATGTTCGCGTTAAAGAAGAAATTTCAGCTAATATTCCACATTACTTATTTGTTTTTCGTCATCTCCTGGAGATCGCTCACATTTTTTGAATATTTGAATTGCAAAAATGTTATTTGGATATTCGGTTGATGATCGAGCTTTCAAATATTTAGTTAGATTCAGCTCAGCCCTAGGAGACAGTCCACCCTGGGCTGTTAAAACTGAAATGTTGTCAGTTTGCAAATACTTTATTTGCAGAGTACTTAAAGGGAATGTACAACATTTGCTTTTGCTGCAATTTTCAGAAATAAATGGATTTGGAGGATTAGTATGTTATAGCAAATATTGTTAAAATGACTTGTTTCACGATTTGGGCTTGTAGATGCTGGAAAAACCAAAATAACCAATCATGTTCTTGCAGTTTGGTTCCCTGACCCCACTTAAGATGAAACAGAGCAATTTATAAACTTTGCGGAATTGTAAGGTCAGAGAATCAGTCTAGCATACTTGTACCCCTTCACAGGTGTGTAATCAATTGCAAAGAAAACGCGAAATAACTAATTATGAAAAATTAGGAGCACTTTTTGAAAAAAGCCAGTTTTCTCCAACGCTGGTCGGCCGACCAGCGTTGGAAAAATCCCATTTTTCTTGAAAATGACAGCACACCAGGAGCCACGATTTTACAGAATGTTTTAGACTGTCATTCCCTAACAATCCAGTAAGGTATTTTGTGATAATTCGATCGTTTCGTTTTGTGATGTTTGCAAATGTTGTATCTTCCCTTTAATGCATAACTACTGGTAATTGTGTTACAGTTTTTCCCTTCTTTCTCTTATTCAAAAGTGAAACTTTTTATTGCTATAAAAATAGCACTTGATTTCAAGGTGAAACTTGAAAAATACTTAACCCTAACCGAACTCAACCCATCAAAGTCCAACAGCAGGTGTTGTTGAAATCTGTTGGGATAGGTACAGTACCCCTAAACTGATGGTCTTTTACACTGGGCTTGGCATACCTCCAGAAACTAAGTCCAACAGTGTGTGTGTACCATTTCCCATGTGGGTGTTGGAATTGGCCTGGATGGGTATGGTTCCTAGTAAATTATGCTGGGGAGTTAGAGTTAAAAGACCCGACAGTATATATTTTGGAGATTCTCAACTGATCACCCTCTGTTTCCGCTTCTTTCCCCCTGCTCGTACAATGACAGGGTATGCGGTTGCGGCTCTGGCGACTCCGGTTGCACCAAGTGCGGCTGCTGCAAGGTCTGCGCCGGGGAGGCCCATGAGCGTCGTGTCCTGGCCCCTGCCATACCGCCCCGCGACGTGGGACCCGACGGTGGGGGGAACTTCCTGGGCGCCTTGGTCCAGCACGGCAACATCCTGCAACACAAGCTGCTGGCCCAGCTGCGGTACGGGATGAACCGACAGCAGGATGGGAAACACCGACGGGTTGGGTTCATCATGAACCAGGACAAAGGCAAAGGTGAGGGATGCGCACTGTGAATCACTGATCATTAAAGCTATAGTCCATCATTTGCAGCCGTCCGAAAAGTAACTGGCGTAATTACTGTTGAAAAACAAACTTGGTTGAAAGATAGTAAGGGAACTAAACTTCCTGTGAAATTATTCTTTCTGGGAAGCTGTCATTTTGAAGTAATCAACGAAAGAAGGCATTTCCAACGGTGATTCTTAAGAAGCACCGTAGGAAAATTTAAATTAGTAGTTCGTTTTGCTATTCGGCGCAGCGCGCACAAGTATTGGAACGACGCACATACGCGCGCGGTTGTTATAATTCGTCGGATCAGTGCGCTACGTCGCGTATAGCTGCAAGTCAAAACAATTCAAAACATGATTCAGTAACTTTTGATTTGAAATTGAGATCTTAGAATGCTGTTTTTCTCGGAATGTACAGCTGAAGCTTAGCTGAAACTTCATCAGGTTAGTTGCTCAGTATCCTTCATTAGATTTTGAGCACTTTGTTGTTTCAAACGAACAACATGCACAAATTACAAATGATGGACTATAGCTTTAAACTGCAATTCCCCTTTTCCCCTTTGCCTCTACATGCATCCTGTGGAATGCAAGTCAAAGATTTCTATGAACTGTCTGCACATTAACCCTTACAACTTTGAAAAAGAGAGAGGAAATATTTGTGCCATGGTGCATTCCAACCATAGAGCTAAATTAAATTACAAGAGCGCTGGCTCTATGTACAAAGTGATGCCTGCTGGGCGCAGCCATTTTTTTGTGCACAAACCTTCGGAAAACTTGAAATTTTGTACGGCTTGTGTACGGCTATTTGCATATCTGGGTTTGTATTCTACACATGTGCGTTATTGAAGCTGATGCGCGCCCAAGACAGAAATGCGCAAGTAAATGAGCGTTTCATTTTGCTCTGCACAAACAACGTAAACGCGTGCGCGCATCTGCTGCAGATGATTTTGCCGTGACGTTTGTCCCCGTTGTGACACACTGAAGTTTAAGTTGCATTTAGAGTATACTTTCAAAATTCACTCCATCTAATCGCATTATGTTTACAAACAAGCACATGAACTCAAAATGTCTGCATGCAGTACGGCTTCGAAGTCTCTCCGCACGTAAGAATGAGGAGTTAGCACTCTAGTAATTTAGTATCACTCTCTGATGCAAACGCACTGATGCCAATGGTTGATCATAAAGCTAAAATACTAGATCACTTGGTTGCTGTAGAGAATGAAGACTGCTTTACCCATCCATATCGGCAGGAAAGAATGTTGTAGTCTTGCACATATTAACCCTAACTCCCTAGGCCTTTTTGCTAGGATGTAGCCTCAATCCTGCAAAATCCTCCAATGGGCCTCATGGAAAAATAGCATATAGCCTCAATCCTGCAAATTCCTCCGCTATTTCTTGAATATGGTCCATGGAGGGGTGACCACTGCCTGAATCCTGCAAAATCCTCCGGCTATGACTGTCAATAAGCTTAGGCATAGGCAGTGACATCCTGGAGCAGTGCGAAGGATGTCAAGTATAATCAAGGGCTAAATTTATGCACGGCTGAGCATAAACAACACAAGGTCCGGCCCAAGACCCTGACACAGTGCGTACTTCGAAATCAGCAACGCACTTTGGCCATGTAACCTCAATCCTGCAAATTCCTCCAATTTGCAAAAAGGATTTTGGAGGATTCAGGGCGGTTAGGGTTAAAAGCACATCATTTGAAATTCTATTTCATGTATAAAAGTTAATTTCATCTGCGAGTACCAGCTCAGAATGTTTGCCGCTCTGTTGGTGTTTGCAACTTCATATGCAAATGTACATTGTGCCATATGCCCAACCACAGTGGAAGCTTTTACTGTTATCAGCGGGTTACATATTATAGACAACAGCCTGGTGGCCAGGGTCATGGCTGAGAATTCTTGCTGGAAAAAACCCCAGCTTACTTTACTTATCTGAACTGTTTTCTTTTTTATAGTGTAGTGAAGTATAGCTCTTCAAACCATACATGTACGTGGTGAAAAAATCTTGAAAACAATTGCAAGAATAGTGTTATTCTGCTAATTTAATATAGGTCACCAAAATTACTGTTGTCCACATGTAAGTCTAGTGTCGTGATTTTTGTCTAGCTCTGGAGCTCAGTCAAGCAAATGAAATAATACCGTTCTTGGACAAACAGGTTTGGCACGTACAATTTTTACTTGTGAAATGGCTTGTGAAAGGACCCGTGATGTACTTTTGACTGGACTCGCGATTGGACTTGAGTACAACAATTGGTTAGCAGAGCCGTGAAATTGAACCGGACTCTCTCAGAGACATTTAGTATACTCTTAGTCTGAATCTTTTTTTGGCATGACAGACGAGGGTAGCACCAGCGGCGATGACCGGGACGTAGAGAGGGACTATGGGCAGCATGTCATCCACCCACCAGGCCCTGTCACCTTACCCCTGCCAGCCACCCAGGTGGCCTGTGGTCTGCATCATACAGGTATTGACCAGAGTTGCTGTCTCGAGTCATGTGACTTGGACTCGAGTCGGACTCGAGTCGCTATTTTGGTGACTTGTGACTTGACTTGTAAATACCAGCTTTGACTTGTGACTTGACTTGGACTTGCAAACAATGACTTGTGACTTGACTTGGGATTGCAAAAAATGACTTGTTACCAACCCAAGTCAGACGCTACTCGAGCGACCCAATACACTTGAATTAAGCTATTATACTTTTAATTAGCTTTTTCATTCCAGAAAATAGACCTCAGTGACTGAATCCAGTAAAATGAATAGTTCCCACTAGTTTCAAAAGTTTTCAATAAGACTGTCACAACAAACTACAGTTTTCAATGACCAATTGTCTCTTGCTTAATGTATTGGTTGAACAAACTTTGAAAGGAACCTTTCATGAAAAGAAAGCAGGCCATTGTCAATTGCATGTAAAATACCGGATAGCCTAACCCATTGGTAGGCGTTTAGTATACATGAAAATTGATCAATGAAGTGTTAGTATACTACATGTAATCAAGTGAGGAAGTCTTTTTGTCACGGTCATCTCAACATTTATTTCTACAATGTAAAGTAAATTTATTAAAGTATACAAAGGGCTAATATCCGACAGATATGTGATAAACTACAAGAATAGTAATTGCAACACATTGAAAAAGGGGAGTTAAGGAGGCGTGTTCAAAATAACTCGTAAGTTCACGCCAGGTTAATTCTTCAGCTTATTACAGCTGGACAAAACAATGTGCAACTTGACGTGTTCTTGGACAAAGCTACTTGAGACTTGACTTGTTTTTTAGACCAAATGACTTGTGACTTGACTTGTGACTGGACCTAATGACTTGTGACTGGACCTAATGACTTGTGACTTGACTTGGACTTGCAAACAATGACTTGTGACTTGACTTGGACTTGCAAAAAATGACTTGCTGCCACCTCTGGTATTGACACCGACTCAAGTCATTTGATCCAATCCTAGAAGGGACCAGCGGCTGATTTCACAAAATAGTGCATAAGAAACGCAAAGCAAAGCATCACTGGCGGATCCAGGAGGATGTATTAGAGGGCAAACAAAAGAAACCGAGGGGTTTTGCAGCCCTCATTTTTGTTTCTCTGCCTGCAGTTTTATCCAGCTAGACCCACCACTGAGTATTCAAACAAAAAGTTCAATGGCAGCCCACGATGTACTTACAATCGGCCTATTTTTCCGAATTTTTCCCCCCATAGGCCAGTATCATCTCTGAATACCTCAACTTCAACACTGAAAACATATCTCTGATAAGCAGATGAGCAGCCTCCAAATTCCTCCATTTGAAGTCTTTACTGATTGGGGTTTGCATCTTGAAAATCACTCCATCTTTAGATATACACCCGGTGCAGATGATGTCTTCCGACCGAATGTGTTGCACAGCTTGAAGGCCAGTTCACACCTGGAGCAAAAGCGAATGTGAACATGAATTTGTGATGTTTTTTTTTGCAAGTTTTTGCTTTTACGCTGCAAATTCACAACTCTTCAACTCTTTGCAGCATTTTAAGTCTGGCAGATCAAATCTGACATCAAATTTGCATTTGCATTCGTGTGAAGGATGAACCAGTGTTTGATGCGTTCATTGTGCTCGTGGTTGTCTAATTTGTCTACCAAAATCATGTGATACATGAATATTCACCTGACTGGCAAAACATTACATTCAAAGGACCAAGGAGTGACATTAGTGGAAACGAATCACTAAGACAAGCATGTTTCTTGTTTTTTTTCCCCTGTATTTTTTAGTGGTCCTTCTGAAGAATGGTGAGGTGTATGGTTTTGGGCTTGGCAACCACGGCCAGCTGGGCCAGGGAGATTCTGGAAGCAGGTAACATGAACCGACAATGACTGTCATTATTTATGTACACATAAATCAATGGCTTCTCTCAAAACTGTTGAATAAACATCAAAATCTTCTCCTCTATGGAATCATGTTTCTGTCTCACTGGGTGTATAGTCGTGTTCCCTAACGTGGCGCACTTCGAAGCTTACCCAACTTTCCTTGTGTAGTGTTGCCAAACCTCTTTGTTGATAAACCTCAAATTCATGCAGTGAAATACTGGTACTTTTACCTTTTTAATGCTTGCTATTTAACCTCTGTGAACAATTTCGGTTTCATGAAATTTAATCCGAAATGCAAAAACGGTCGCGTCCGGAAATTGGGCACAAATTGGCGGAGTGTTTCCTAACGTGGCGCACTTGAATAAATCTCAGAAAATTCCAAATTAACATTTAAGAATTTCTGTAAACTTGATAAATTCTGATAAATCATTATTATCTCTACTTACAAACCCAGCCAGATGTTTGTCAGAAAATTATTTTCTTATTTTTCGGGGCATTTTCAAAGGGTTCACTTTGCACTTGAAAATAAAATCGGAAAATCACGCCAAAATTATTTTTTCTTTTAACTTTGTAACGGGTAAATAAACTTGCGATTTATGAACGGGAGTGTTTAGAACTTGATGAAATTTCACTTACTGTGAAATTTCAGTTAAAACTTTTGCTCTAGCTAGGCGCTACAGGCGAAAAATAAAAGTGCGCCACGTTAGGGGCCGCGCCACGTTAGGGTACATCAACAATATATATTTTCCCATTTGTGTGAGAAAAAAATTGAAGATTTGCAACATGCCGTTACAAAGATGTCAGACGAGTAAAAGCTCTGTTTGTCAAAACAAAAAAATTTTACCAAAGACATGAGGATTTTTGTGTGTTTTGTTTGTACCATTCTTTCTATAACGTAGCCAGGGGTTTTGTCAGAAACGCAGGAAAAAATGCCATACTGGGCCACCACTCATATTCCTTAAAGCTATAGTCCATCATTTGCAGCCATCCGAAAAGTAACTGGCGTAATTATTGTTGAAAAACAAACTTGGTTGAAAGATAGTAAGGGAACTAAACTCCCTGTGAAATTATTCTTTCTGGGAAGCTGTCATTTTGAAGTAATCAACAAAAGAAGGCATTTCCAACAGTGATTCTTAAGAAGCACCGTAGGAAAATTTAAATTAGTAGTTCGTTTTGTTATTCAGCGCAGCGCGCGCAAGGTTTGGAACGATGCACACGCGCGCGCGGTTGTTATAATTCGTCGGATCAGTGCGCTACGTCGCGTATAGCTTCAATTCAAAACAATTCAAAACATGATTCAGTAACTTTTGATTTGAAATTGAGATCTTAGAATGCTGTTTTTCTCGGAATGTACAGCTGAAGCTGAGCTGAAACTTCATCAGGTTAGTTGCTCAGTATCCTTCATTAGATTTTGAACTCTTTTGTTACTTCAAACGAACAAAATGCACAAATTACAAATGATGGACTATAGCTTTAATATGACCTGAAAAGTACCAAAAGTTGTAAATCTGATGCAGAAACACTGTTTAAGGAGTGCAAATTCTTTGATAATACTCTAAAATGTTCTGTCATGGCCCATAGACTTTGTGCAGGAGCTCTGAGTGGTGGCCCAGTATGGAATTTTTTTCCAAAATGCAAAGGCACTGCAGCTAGCAGGCCTACCTAAAATATGTGACATGGTCACAAGCAGGCAGACTCGGACAGAGCTACTAATGGAGAAACAACTTACCAAAATGACATGGGGAGACATGTTCAGCGATATTGAGATTTTTTTGAAATTTCTGATGCTACTAATGCTTAAAATATTCTGTAAACGTTTCAAATGAAATTTCCTGGACAAAAGTTTTTTTTTTTTTACAACACTTTTAGAGAGGCAAGTCATTTCTCAAACTGACACTTTGTTCAAGATTTTGTTCTGAAACGCCGCAAAAGTAGCGTGAAATTTTTGGACAGTCCGATTTCAAATGGTAAAAACTTAGCTTTGGAATATCCAATTTCAAAAAAATTTAAAGCAAGGTCTATATTTTATACAATAACTCAAAATGGACTTCTTGCCCAAAAGTGCCTGATTTTGACGTACCACGTCACATATTACCGCGTCACATATTAATGAGAGGAGAAGTGTAGGAATCAAGTGTCGGAGGTTGGAGGAAAACTGAAAGCTCATTCTTTTGGATTTTTGTTTTGTTTTCAGGACGGCACCAGTGCAGCTGCAGGTGCCAGAGACAGTCGTCCAGGTAGCGGCCGGCAGCAATCACACTGTGCTGCTGGGAGTATCTGGGAATGTCTACACCTGTGGAAACTTCCAGGTGAGCAAATCACTCTGGTCCTGTGTTTGATTGTTTGATCTGATTGGATCGAGAAAGTTGCTAAGCGATGTTGTTGTCCAGTCCATAGCAAGTCCTCAGAAGTCCTTCACTAGTCCTCAGAAGTCCATCACTAGTCCTCAGAAGTCCATCAGAAGTCCTTTAGTCCCTCGTTAAGTCACAAGCTATTCAAATGAATTGTGACTGTTCAAGGCTCTCCTTTGTTATTGTGCATCCCCTGGAAAACTTTAGAAAGGACTTGTGATTTACCTTTGACAAGACTAAACACTGTAGCTCAGCACAGAAAATATTTGCGATGCGATCAAGCCAAATGAGTCATTTGTCAACCCTGGTCATGTTTTGTTTTACAGATTTGAAAAGAGCACAATCTGAGCATTACTGCTGTAAAAACCGCATGCTGATACCATTGTTAGTTCAAAAACTAATGTGGAAGTGGGAACACCAAGAGATGTGATGAAGTGATGTGAAGAAGTGGCCCTATTGTGGCCTGAATCTCGAAATGAAAATTCCCGACAAAGGACTTATTTAGCTTGATTGCCTCACATTTGTTAAGCATTTATAAGGAAATGTAAGCTGAACAATGGACTTAATGTAAAATTTTGTAAAAAGAATTTCAGTACCCAGGGTTGACTCTTGTCTTTTTAACTTCCTGGGCCAAAAGTTTGTGCAAATTTGCTAGGCAGAACAGTTACAAGCTGTGAGCATTCCTTGACACTTAACTAAGTGCTCAGCATCTCTATAGACTTGACCATGTTTCGTTTTTTTATTTCTTGACAGAAAGGGCAGCTCTGCCGAGCCATCCTGGAGGAGTCCAACGCCCCCGGGGCGGTGTCACACTCCAGGCCGGGCCCCGTGCCGGACATGGGTCCACAGTACGGCCGCAAGGCCACCTGGGTAGGGGCCAGCGGGGACCAGACCTTCATCAAGGTGGACGAGGCCTTGATCAACCCCAGGATGCTGGAGAACTCACTGGTGTTTGCCAACCAGAGCGTTATAGGTCAGTGAAAAGAGTTTTGATTTATATAGGAGAGAGAAAAAAATGGCCTAACTGTGGGCTCGGTGCACAACTACCCCTTGAATGGTAGGGCTGTGCATTTACGGGTAGTACAGGAACCTGGTATCCAATTGAAAAAAAAACAAAAAAAACGTAGGTACCCGGGCGGGTACCTGTTAAAGAAACCCAACCCATGAAATTGAAATCTTGGAACTTGCTGTTTAGATTGTTCATAAAGGTCCACACAAAAATACTGCCTCATGGGTGCGTCAATACAGCAAGACACAAGTGTGTGCAGTGAGCTTTATGGCTTTACGGTGTAAATTGCAACTTAAAACTTACTTAGTAATTTGTAAAGTTTGTTACGAGTACCCGATCCCATAAACTGGAACCAGTTCCTGACATCAACAATCGGGTACTAGGGTACCTGGTTCCAATGCACAGCCCTACTCAACGGTAACAAAGGGAGAGTTGGGGAATCCACTATACTGGGAGGACATTTAACCGCAAATACGACGCTCTCATAAGATGCACTAGAAGGCCGTAGTAGTTTAGCTCAGCACAGCATTGCTGCTGTTTGTGGTGTTCTAGTGGCCACAGGACGAGTAAAAATCTTACAGACCATTATCATGTTGCGGCCATCATGATTTTTTTCCCCATTCAAATCATCGTAACCAAAGCGAGGCTGGAAGGAAAAATAGTCTGGTTCCTTTTTCCCCAAAAGCATCATCCAGTAATGTTATTGGATACAGGGAACACGACTGCAATGGTGGCAGCTGATAAAGGTATATTGCTGTTGATCTGTACGGAAGTGTCATTGCCCAAAGGAAGCTAGTGGCATCACTCCTGTGTTCAAATTATTGAACTTTTTAAATGGTCACTGACCTCGCTTTTTATGGCGGACCAATACAATATCTTGATCAGTGAAAACAAATGATGCTTGTAGCACATACGCCGTCAGCTTGACATTTCACACAGCATACTTTGCCTGTTTTGTTGAAAGGAAAACTACACTACAGGACTTCAGTGCATGTTTGTTAATTTTTGGATTCAGGATAGCTTCAACCTGTTAGTCGCTGTACCGCCCCAAACCACCCTGCCATTTCATCCTTGTAGTGCTCGAAACTGCCTGTGCACTCAATGTTTTTTTTATCCCCCTGGCTGTAAGCTGGAGGGAGATATTGCGATAGCGTATTCCTTCTGTGTGTGTGTGTGTGTATGTATGTATGAGTATGTAAACACCGGCAATCGTGGACCTCGGACTAAAAGGTTAGGGCACAAACAAAACATCCACGATTGACCGAACATCCGCGATTGAAATCCGTGTACAAAACCAATGAGAGCTGTTGCTAAAAAGAGTACGAACAAAGGAATGAGGATACTGCGATCCCCCTACTGCGATCCTTTTGCGCCCGAACCCGCCCTGAAATCGGTGGTCTTTTTGTCACGCTACACATATCATACAGACCCATATGAACAGCGACCTCTATAGTCATATTAGAGTGTAGCTTGGGATTTCCCCTTTCAGATGCAATCACAGCGTGTGTACATGTATGCGTACATGTACGTGCTTGAATGTATACACGTACGTAAGAGAGGTATGGTCCGTCACCCACCCACCGAGTTTTAGCGCCGTGCGACCTGCCACTTCCCTGAATAAGCCCGGACAAACATCCAATCATCCTAACAGAGACTTGCGTAATATTATGTATTATATAACCGACATACAGTTCCTTGTCATTTGATTGGTGGAACTCACATCACGTGACATTCGTTATTGCTCCCATTCACGCCGCAGCTCAAAAAGTACTATCCGCCCATGGGGAATGGGAAATACTATTCAACAGTTAGGATCATGACGCGGTATTTGTGTGCAAATGCATGCTGGTGTGCGCGTTCAGCATTGGGCGTAGCGCGTATTGTTCCAAAGAGCCAGCGTTACAGCGTTGGGTTCAAACATTTTCGTGAAGGGGTGGTTTAGAAGGGAGAAATACATGTTCCTCCAGTTTCGTATTGAAATAAAAGTTCAAATATATCAAATGACAAGGATCTATATGTCAGTTATATAAAACAAATATTGAGTGGCTTTAAACTGTGAAATGGGAGGAATATTATCGCTCGGTAAAATCTGGTCTTTTCCAGTTCACCCGGCTTCGCCTTGTGAAATGGAAAAGTCCAGATTTTACCTTGCGATAATATTCCTCCCATTCCACGCTGAGCCACTCAATATTTGTATAATACAGTGTAGTATAGGTGCTTATCTATAAGGACAATGGCAAACCTTCTGTGGATGTTTCGTACCATGCAAATTTTCCCATGTCATCTAGTTACACGTTGTATGATGTTAGATTTTGAGATGATGGTATTTGTCTTTGGCAGGTGTGGTACCGCGTAACGGTGCCGCCGGAGTGCGTTGCCTGATGCTGAGTCGCTTAGATGGGACGTGTAACAGCTACACAGAGCAGGATACATCCTTCAATTACGAAGACACTAGCGTGTGCCTGGATCCACTGTATAACGTACTATGGTGGTAAGTACTATAAACAGCCAGCTGCTCGCAGATTATCAACTGTTTTCCACAATAAGTTTTTAATTTTCTTGGGAAAAAGTTGGCCCAAAGCATATTGGGTACCTTTTAAAATAGTGGGTTTTATGTCTTTGGCCTGTCTGATGAAACTGTTTTCGGTTGATTGGCTTTTTCAATTGGAAAAGTTCTCGGCCATATTGAGATGTTTATAGGGGAATTTTTTTTTAACAATTTCTTCACAAATTACTTATAAAATGTTTGAGCTGAATTGGATCGATTCAGCACTTTAACCTCCTTTCCCCCATCGTGGTTTCCTTGTTCCCTTTTTTGAAATGCTTTTCAAAAACATCCAATTGAAAGTTTAGTGTTAGAACTGGATTTCGATAATGATCATTTATCACTAGCTTTCTGAAAGGATGAGGTTTGAGTTTGGCTAGGATTTTGATTCGCTATACAGCCCATTGTTTACTCATTAACTCTTTCTTATTTTAAGTGTGTAGTCTTTTATGTATGCCTTTTATTATGGAGAGAAAGGATTGTACAACAGCAAATTGACGTTTGCCAGTTCAAGTTTTATAAATAAACCACTGACAATGACAATGTTTTTTTCATAAAGTGAGTAACCAATAATCTATCCAAGTTAAGGCCAGTTCATACTCGTGCAAATGAGCACAAACCAAAAAGTTCCACAGTCATGTCAAGTGTTTGCACTGCAAATTTGCAACAGTTGAACACATTTCAACTGCTGCAAATGTTGGCATGATCGTTTCATAATGTCAGTTTAAGTAAGATTTGAGGCTTTGCATGGTGGAGATACAAAATAAAGGTTTGCGGAAACACTGTGTGCGAATAATTTCTCAACTAAGAGAATGGTTCTGAAAAGAACCAGAGGTATAAACTTGACGTTCCGGTCAGTATGCTCTGAGCGTCTTCAGGAGAGTGCCTTAACTCTAAGAAAGTAAATACTTAAGGAGCAAAAGCGAAATCGATGAAGTGTGAAGTTGCATCCTGTGTGGATGCCAAGTAGCTGGGATCCTAGAGCAAGCTTGGTGCCCACGGACGTCGAGTTTATACCTCTGGTTCTTTTCAGAACCATTCTCTTAATTGAGAAATTATTCGCACATGGTGTTTCCGCAAACCTTTCATTATTGATGTCAGTTTGCTTCACATTCGCATTTGCGTGAAGTATGGACCAGTCTCAGGACTGAAACTGACTTTGAGATCCCTATTTTCCCCTTCTCGTCCACAGCTTCTCCCCAGCCAGCGCCACCATCACCTGCCACAGCGTCTTCCAGCCCAGCGTCCGCCCCATCCCCACCCTGCCCTCCTCGGCCTCTGTCTTGACCCCTGAGCTGGCCCTGCCTTCCCCTACCCCGTCAGTCCAAGTCTCCAGGTCCCACTGCGCCTTGCACATGCTGGCCTGCCTGGACACCTTGACGGCAGCCCAGGAGGCACAGTTGACCGTCGTGGCCGCTCAGACCGAGCGCCAGTGCATCACCAAGGTCTATTCCAAGGAGGACTTCAACAGCGTCAACAGATTCGAAGGTGAGAGCTGTGGTGACTTTTTTTCCCTCCCACTTTTTTGAATTGTAGCAGAGTTTTAGGTGTCATTTCTACAGCTACAGGTCTGTCTCCACATCAAGGATATCAAGTTTTTCATGCATGTAGGAACATTTGCATTTACCGGGAAACGTACGTGCTGAATTAACAAGATCATTCTTTCTCATAGTGAAGATAGGACTGATAGCAAATACCCTGTGAAATTATTCCACCTTAAAGGTTATGATTTGGAAGAAAACAATCATTGAAGGTGGTTTTTGAACGTGTATCAGCTACCGTTAGGGCTGTCCCAAATGTTCCGAATCCTCGAATATTTGATCTTCAATCAAAGAATAGCTTTTTGCCGATTTGAATATTTGGAGAAAAAAAACCAACATATATACATACACACAAGACTGTGATGTTGTTTTATTGTTGAATTGCTGTGCTTTATTGTCAGGTGCCTCTTTTTTTGTTACGGTAACTTTTTTGTTGATGGTGGTTCATTGTTCACATCCTTTTAACAGGTAAAAGCCGTTATACATTTGCAAAATACTTAGTGCAAAACCCTCCAGTGCCCCATATCAATGCCAGCGCGCAAATTTGAACTGGCGCACTCTGTGTGCAACATTTGACCAGCAACATTTGACTTAAGATTTTGGGTAATTTCGTTGCTTCAAAAAAAAAAGAAAAAAGAAGCCACATAAGGCAAAAAAAAAAGTCTCCGGTTTCTGGTATGAAGCTTGCCCCAAAAGTGGTGCAGTATGTTTTTTTTGTTTTTTTTGCTTTTTTTTTCTTCAAATGTCGGCTGATGACTGCAAATGGTGCCAGACTAAATTTAGTGCAAAATATATGGGAGTCCAGAGAGGCAAAATAAAGCTTTTACTCGATCATAACCCCAGCTCAAAACACGTTAAAATTGTGCAGCAGCAGGATTCCAGCCAAACCAGTGAGTTTGGCAGTTTTGAGACATCATCTTACATTAAAAAAAACCTTTTCTCATTTTGCCGACGCACATCGCTACGGTGACGCGCGCGCATACCAGAAACTGAAGACCTTTTTTTTGCCTGAAGCAAATAATCCTATGTGCCTTTAAGTCAGGCCACTTGTCTCCTAGTGTGAACAATGCGAATTAGCTTTGTGTTCATCTCTGATTTTCAGTTTCACGCATTTAATTTCAGTATATACTAAAGCTCCTTGTTTGTCACACCATGACTACGCAACCAGGCATCAGACAAACAAGAATCTGACATACTTAAACTTTTGCATGACCAGCGAGTCTTGAACATGCAGTGTGGTATAAAGGGGATGCATGCATTGTTGCTACCTGCTCAGTGGGCAAGGTTAATGGCCAAATCCAGAACAGTACATTTTTGTTTAATAATTGGCCATGGCACAGCATGGTATTTAATACTAACGATGACTACAAGCAACAATCGTTATTGTTAATTGCTTAATTTTAACTTGCTATATATTGACATATATATGAATTCAATGAGGCTAATGCTTGGAAAGTGAACACATAGCATGACAAAACTAGAAATTTGCTCTTAGCCTACATCAGGTTTTTAATCAAAATGTCATGGTACAAGCATCACATTGCCAAAGTTTTATAAATTTCTGAAAGAAATCGGCAAAGCACACTAGATATTGGCTATTCACATCCTAATGCAGCATCAATTGTTGCAATATTCCTTAAAAGGAACCCTTGTGAGAAAAGATAATATTTACATATTTTTCTTTAAAATAGCAAAAAGTGTTTACATTCAACTGATCTTCATTTCATAAGTCATGTGTAAGTACATGCAATTCACATCTTTAACCAGTGTATTTTTTGCTAGTTTCTTGGTGAATTTTGTCTTTAAACCCGACAGTTTCATTTTTGTTCTTAAATTGTCAAATGGAGATCTTCACTTTGGTATTTTAAACACAAATACATCTCCCTAGTTTTCACATTTAAATAACATTTCATTACGCAATATCTGACAACATTCCACTGTAAAAAAAGTCAAATAACAAAAAAAATTAATGTTCAACATTTCACTTTACGCTGAATTTTAACACATCAAACAAGATGCACTGACTTCTTTAAGCAATCACCGTCTATAATTTCGGTAAAATGATGTACATGTACAGAGGTGATTGTCAGCTAACAAGCAAATTTGTCCCAAATTATAACAAATTCAAAATTCTCCTTCCAAATCGGTGGTACATTTGCAGGACTTGTTTATGGTAGAATGCACACCACATCACCAAGATTAAAAATAAATGAGCAATATTTGTCAGGTACTGGTAGTGGTGTTCACTGCAATGCATCTTTACAAAGGCCCTAGCCCAAATTTTAATGCGATACCAGAGTCAATTAAGCTGTTGATGCTGATCGAGAATTTCATTTAGCTACAAAACGTGTATGAAATTCTTGATCAACATTAATGGCTTAAATTATTTGTTAATGATATTTCAAAGTGATAATTGAGTACCTGTTGCCATGGCAACCACATAGATGTTTTTATATCCCCCCATTTGGTCGATTTTTTTTAAATCCGGCATCATATACATGTACATGTATCCTTGTTTTATTATTATAAGAAAGAAACATAGAAAAAGATACTGGCTTTTTAAATCCTAATGCAGCATAAATTGTTGCAATATTCCTTAAAAGGAACCCCTGTGAGAAAGGAAAATATACATTTTTTTTGAGAAAGTGGCAAATAATGTTTACGTTCAACTGATTTTCATGTAAATTGTATCTTTAATTAGTGCATTTCTTCTAGTTAATTCTGTTCTTGAGGGGAAAGCTTACTCCTGCCCCACAATCAGCATCAGTACAGAGACCCAAACATTTGGGCCAAACAGCAGCAGAAAAAAGTTTTTTTTGTCAGAACCAAACAAACCAGGTGAATATTCAGTAGGAGAAAGCCACCATATTGATTGAAGAGCACGGGGAAAGCAAGTTTAATAAAAAGAAAATCAAGCAAAACGGCCGTCTGCATCAGCCTGAAGGCAGGTCACCTCGAGACTGCTGTACAGATCACGGACGCAACTGCAGAACATCGATTATCAACCCACTGACATGACAACCACATAGACATTTTTGTATCCCCCATTTGGCCGATTTTTATTTCCCGGCATCACATACATGTATCCTTGTTTTATTATTGTGTGAAAGAAACATGCAGAAAGATATTGGCTTTTCACCTCCTAATGCAGCATAAATTGTTGCAATATTCCTTAAAAGGAACCCTTGTGAGAAAAGAAAATATATCCATTTTTTTCTGAGAAAGTATCACATAATGTTTACGTTCAACTGATTTTCATTTAAATTTGTATCTTTAACCAGTGTATTTGTGCTAGTTAATTCTGTTCTTGAGGGGACGGCTTATTCCTGCCCCACAATCAGTATCGATTATTGGTGGACTGGGAGCCAAACATATGTGCCAAACATCAGCGGAAAAGGGGTGTTTTTTAGAACCAAACATACCAGGTGAATATTTAGTAGGAGAAAGCCACCATATTGATTGAAGAGCACGGGGATTCAAGCAAAACGGCCGTCTGCATCAGCCTGACGGCAGGTCACCTCAAGACTGCTGTAATACTCACAGAACACAGATGCATGTGCAGAACATCCAATATCAACCCACTGGCCAGCACGGGAATCCCACATCTGTGCGCAGTCTTCGCCCAGATTCTGTCCGTTTGGCTCTCCTGTTGCCCAGCTGACAAATTTGCACTCCTTGCCTGCGTCAGCAGCGTACATCCACTGGTCTTCGGTGTGCTTGTCGGTGCAGCCGATCCAGACTTCGTCAATAGAGGGGTGATGATTCTTCATCATCTGCCATATGAACTGATTCTCATTCTGGGAGTTGGGAACCACCAAGCCAGCACCCATAGCAGAGCAGGCCTGCAATGCCTTATCAAACGTCATTGTTCCTGTCAGCAGCTGATAGCAAGAATTACCAAACTGCCATTGGCAATCAGCATGGACGCATACCAGCAAGACTGACAGCCAGACAAACCTCATTGTGGATGTGAAGTTTTGGTTTGGTGGTCTCTTGATCACGAGTTTTTCAGAGTCAAATGTTGATAAGCGACTGGAATTGTCAATCAAAAAGGTTCTAAGCAAAGTTGGTTCAAATACTCTTGCGCACTAATTTACCACATTGTCCATTTTCTTACACAAGAAGTTTGCTTGTCATGGCCTAAGCTAAGTTGGTTTCCATCAATTAGCACTAGTGGCAAGGGGGGGGGGAATTGCAGGTGAAAAGAGAGCTTCAAGAAAACCTGCATATGAAGGAGACTAAGAAGCTGTTGTACTAAATATTGTAGCAACCCAACCCTCTCGCCTGCAGAAGTCCAAGTCCAGCGGCACAGTGAGACATCTACAACTAGGGCGGATCGTCCATCTTTTCAGGCTAGTCCATCCACCTGTGGTTCCCTCCTCGCACTAAGCTCGCACCTGTGGCTCCCAGAAGCTCTAGCATGTGCAGCCACCACACCCTGGGCAGTTAACACTAGATAAGCTGTTTCTACAGACTATCGCTCAGTGTCTCTAAGCATCATCATGCACTTGCATCTCCTTGCCAACACTCTAGTCCATCAATATACTGTGTCCATCATGTAGGCATCATCACGCACTTGCCTCTCCTGGCCTACTCCAAGCAATGACCTTCTAGCCCTTCAATATGCTGCTTGCTTCTCTCTCCTTCAATATTTATTATGGTGATTATATTTGAAGGACTCGTTTATGGTGGAATGCACACAACAGTACCAAGATGAAAAATGAATGAGCATTGATAATGGTCACGTACCGAGGTGGTGCTGTTCACTGCAGTGTATCTTTGCAAAGGCCCCCATTAATGCGATACTAGAGTTACAATCGTTGATGCTGATCAATAATAAGGGAATAAATGTGTGCTCTGGAGGTTTTTATCACTCTGTTTAAGACCACTTAGAGTCTGGTGTACAAATGTACATGTACATTGCTCCATACTCTGTAATGGACAGCTGATATTGTTGTATGTTTTTAAACATTTTTATTCTGAACATTTTGTGTACATGTGGTCAACCAATGAATAATATATCACTACAAAGGTCTTTTCAAATGAAGAGTGACAATTTTAGAATGGCTCTTTTTAAATTTTTTTTATTCTTACATGTACATGTATGTCTGAAGTGAAGTGCGGTTTTACAAATGCGAATTGTCTTTCTTTGAGTGAAAACAACAAACTCTGTTTCACAATATTAATCCAATCACAATGTTTTATACTAAGTCGGTGTCTGCATATATTAAGAAAGATAAACAAAGTACATTCCCCATGCTGAATGTCTTTTTTGCAAGACAAAACTTCACATTTGAATGAGACATTGTCCGAACAAAATCCGTCCACCTTTACTCGTTGAATTAATAATTGCGGTCCGACAGTAATTGTGGGACGGCTTATGCCTGCCCCACAATCAGTATCAATAATGTATGGAGTGGGAGCCAAACATTTAAACCAAATATCAGAGGGGAAAAAGAGAGTTTTTTTTAGAACAAAAGTTACCAGTTGAATATTTAGTAGGAGAACGCCACCTTATTTATTCAAGAGCACGGGGAAAGCAAGTTTAAAATAAAGATAATCAAGCAAAACGGCCGTCTGCATCAGCCTGACGGCAGGTCACGTCGAGACTGCTGTAATACTCACAGATCACAGATGCCAATTCACGACATTGAATATCAACCCACTTGCCAGAGTGGAAACCCCACATCTGTGCGCATTCTTCGGCCAGTATGATTGGTACGTTTGGCTCTCCTGGTGACCAGCCATCAAATTTGCACCTCTTGCCTGCATCAGCAGCGTACATCCACTTGCCCTGTTTGTCCTTGTCGATGCAGCCGATCCAGACTCTGCCATCAGTCATGAGATTGCTTGCGATCTCCTCCCATATGAACTGATTCTCATTCTTGGAGTTGGGAACCACCAAGCCACCACCCATGGCAGAGCAGGCCTGCAATGCCTTATCAAACGTCATTGTTTCTGTCAGCAGCTGATAGCAAGAATTACCAAACTGCCATTTGCAGTTGGCTTGGACACATACCAGCAAGACTGACAGCCAGACAAATGTCATTGCAGACATGTTGTTTTCTCGTCTCTTGATCGCAAAATTTCGGAATTTGGCAAAGTCAAACGTTGAAACTGACCTGAGTCAACCAATGAAAAAAGTTCTAAGCAAAGTTGGTTCAGTCTTCTATCTGAAAATGTTCAGTTTCCCAGTCCTGGTCTAAGTCAGATGTGGTTTTCTATCAGTTATATGTAGCACTGGTGTTACAGGCAACAGTGAGGGAGAATTTTGGGGGGGGGATTGCAGGTGAAAAGAGAGCTGCATGAAAACCTGTTCTTGAAGGAGATTAAGGTGGAAAAGATGTCGCACATTAAGAGTCCCACCCTTTCGACCGCAGAAGTCCAAGTTCAGTATGAGGTCTTACAACTAGGACAGTGTTCGTTCACCGTTGGTCCCCTCCTGGTGCAAAACTCTCACTAGTGGCTCCTATATGACTCTAGCATGTGCAGCCACCACACCCAGGCAGTTAATAATGCAACACTAGATAGCCTGTTTGTATACAGACTGTAGTTCAGTGTCCATAAGCATCATCATGCCTTGCATCTCCTTGCCTAGATTGTAGCCCATCAATATTGAAAGCCAACTTTGATATCCACCTGAGGCGATTTGTGCAGTGTACAATGTACATGTACATTGTGTAAGACAAGAATATGCACTTGCCTCTCCTTGCCTACTCCAACAAATGAAATTATAGCCCATCAGCATACATGTACTGCTTGCTTCTCTCTCCTTGACTTTATTACAGTGAGTACAATTTGAAGGACTCGTTTATGGTAGAATGCGCACAGCATCTCCAAGATTTAAATCAAGTAAAATTGGTCACGTACAGGTTGTCATGGTAGTGGTGTCCACTACAATGCATCTGTTTGCTTCTCTCTTCTCAAATATTTTTACAGTGAGTGCAATTGAATGACCTGTTTTTGGTAGAATGCACTCCGCATTACCAAGTTGAAAAGAGATGAATATTGGTCGTGCAGTGGTGTTCACTTCATTGCATCTTTACAAAGGGTCCCATTTATTGGAGTTAATTAAGTCGTTCATGGTGATAACAGATTTTGTGTTGCTGCAATACATGTACATGCACACGTATTCGTATCTTGTCTTTTTTGTAACTATAATTAGTAATTGAGCCTGCTCACAAGTAAATGAAAAGGTACCCTTTGCCATGGCAACTCTAAAGATGCTTTTGTAACCCCTAACTAGGTTACTGTTTATTTATTTCTGAGGCAGGTTGTCAACAAATATTTGTTGGTCATGTTGCTATGGCAGTTGAAACCAATTCTTTTTCAGTTTTCATCTTTTATCTTTCTAGGTTGTAGAGTACCAAAGTGTGACGTCAGCTATCATTGTTCTGGTTCACTCTGGTTCGCATGCTGATGTCTTCACACACTTAAGCTGTGCGCGTGGAACAGAATACGCGGCGCACTTCGGTACTCTATTCTGTGTAATTTATTGGACGCCTTTTGAATTGAACAAATGGTCGGTATTATTTGGATAGGCTTTTTAATTTGATTATTGTCAGTAATGTTTATTGTAGGGTCCAATCATATAACATCAGAGTTCCACGTGACCATCCAGTTTCCTGTGATTGGCCACCATTGTAGTAGGCAAGCATTTGGTTAGCAGCCACGTCAGGTGTTGTAAACTAGACAGTAGGGCTAATTTTTAAAAATAACCGCACATTTTTTTATGAAATTACAAATGGTCACTGCCTTTGGCAGGTACAGTGGTTATAATAATACCGACCCAGCAATTGGTGTTAGCTCGGCATATTTCTCACAGTTTTTGCCATCCTCACAGTTTGCCTGCTACATGTACGTTACCTACTGCACCTGGTACCATACGATGTTTGCCAACTTCAATGGCAACTCTATTAAAATTTCCGGTACCCGGATGTAGGCCAGGTCATCTTTACTATATTTTTTGCTTCAACTAACTTTTTGGGTAGCTGTTTACAAATGACGTACTCTACCTTTTACCATTGTGTGTCTGCTAGTTTCTTGGTGAATTTTGTCTTTAAATTCAACAGTGACATTTTCTTTTCTTAAATTGTCAATTTGACATCTACGTGTACACATTAGTATTTTAAACACAAATACATCTCTTGAGAGTTCACATTTCATCAACATTTCATCAGTCAATACCTGCCAACATTCGAAAAAGGTCAAATGTCCTGCTACGCTGACAATTCAACAAATCACTTTACACTGAATATTAACACAAGCAAGGTGCCTCAACATCTACAGGTGCATCAGTGGTTCACTGTACGGTATATTGACTATTCCTGTAAATGATGTACACACCTGATTGCCAGCTAACAACCAAATTTGTCCAAAATCATAACAATTCAAAAATCTCCTTCCAAGTCCGGTACTGAATTAATTAATGTGTACCGGTACTCTAAGTTTTCTACCCCTACAAAAAAATGTCAAGACTAGAGCTGTGCTTAGTAAAGAACCTGGCATTTATTTTAGTTCCACAAATACCTTCCTTCCAATGAACATTCATGTACATGTAATTTCTCCATACTCTGTAATGGACAGCTGATATTGTTGTATGTTTTTAAACATTTTTATTCTGAACATTTTTTTCTTTATAGGATTTTGTGTACATGTGGTCGCCAGAGTGCCCACTCAACCAGTGAATAATATATCACTACAAAGGTCTTTTCAAATGAAGTGTGACAATTTTAGAATGGTTCTATCTTTTGAAATTCATTATGTTTGAAGTGCGGTTTTACAAATGCGGATTTCTTTGAGTGAAAACAACAAACACTGTTCCACAATGTTAATCCAATCACGATGTTTTGTACGCATTTGGTGTCTACATAAAGGAAGATAAACAAAGTACATTTCCCACACTGAATACTATTTTTTTTATAGCAAGACACTAAATTCACATTTGGATGAGACATTATCCAAAAAAAAATCTGTCCACATTTACTCATTGAATTATTAATTGAGGCCCGACAGTAATTCGGTTCTTGTGGGATAGCTTCCTCCTGCCCCACAATCAGTATCGATAATGTATGGGCTGGGTGCCAAACATTTAAGCCAAATATCAGATGGGAAAAAGAGTTGTTTTTTTTTAGAACAAAACATATGCCAGGTGAATATTTACTAAGAGAAAGCCACCATCTTTATTCAAGAGCACGGCAACTTAAAGATAGACAATCAAGCAAAACGGCCGTCTGCGTCAGCCTGACGGCAGGTCACCTCTAGGCTGCTGTAATACTCACAGATCACAGTTGCAAATGCAGAACATGTAAAGTCAACCCACTTGCCAGCATGGAAATGCCACATTTGTGCGCAGTGTTCTTCCAGTTCCAGTATGTTTGGCTCTCCTGGTGCCCAGCAGTAAAATGTGCACTCCTTGCCTGCGTCACCAGCGTACATCCACCTGCCTTCTGTGTGCTTGTCAGTGCAGCCGATCCAGACTTTGCCATCAGTTGTGAGATTGCTTACAAACTTTTCCCATATGAACTGATTCTCACTGTGGGAGTCGGGCACCACCAAGCCAGCACCCATGGCAGAGCAGGCCTGCAATGCCTCATCAAACGTCATTGTTTGTGTCAGCAGCTGATAGCAAGAATTACCAAACTGCCATTTGCACTTGGCATGGACGCAAACCAGCAAGACTGACAACCAGACAAATGTCATTGCAGCCATGTTGTTTTTTCGTCTCTTGATCACAAATTTCACTCAAACGTTGAAAGCTGACTAGAGTCAACCAATGACAAAATGTTCTAAGCAAAGTTGGTTCAGTCTTTTATCTGAAAATGTTTAAATGCGCTGTTATTTCTTGCGCACTAATTCATCACATTATCTCCCACCTGACACAAGCAGGAGCAAAAGCGTTTTCCAGTCCTGGTCTAAGTCAGATGTGGTTTTCTATCAGTTAGCACTGGTGGTGGCCTGTTTTAGGTAACGGTGAGGGAGAAATGGGGGGGGGGGGGATTGCGGGTGACAAGAGAGCTGCATGAAAACCTGTGGGTGAAGATATTAAGGTGGAAAAGATGTAGCACATGTACTCAGAATCCCATCCTTTTGACTGCAGAAATCCAAGTCCAGTGGCACGATGAGGTCTTACAACGAGGGTAGTTGGTACACCTTTTTCAGGGTAGTTTGTTCTTCACCTTTGGTCCCCTCCTGGCACCAAACTTCCACGAGTGGCTCCTATGACTCCAGCATGTCCAGCCACCACACCCCAGGCAGTTAATAACCTGCATCTATAAAAACTGTAGTTCAGTGTCTTTAAGCATCATCATGCACTTGCCTCTCCTCACCTAAATTCTAGCCCATCAGCCAATGTTGATAGCCACCTGAGGCAGTTCTTGCAGTAGCAGACAATAATGTACTGTGTCTATAAGCGTAAACACACACTTGCCTCTCCTTGCCTACTCCAACCAATGAAATTCTAGCCCATCAGTGTACATGTACTGCTTGCTTCTCTCTCCTTGACTTTATTACAGTGAGTACAATTTGAATGACTCGTTTAATGGTGGAATGCACACTGCATCTCCAAGACTTGAAACAAGTAATATTGGTCACGTACAGGTTGTCATGGTAGTGGTGTTCACCACAATGCATCTGTTTGTTTCTCTCTTCTTGAATATTTTTACAGTGAGTGCATTTGAATGAACCGTTTTTGGTAGAATGCACTCCGCATCACCAAGTTGAAGAGAGGTCAATATTGGTCGCGTAGTAGTGTTCACTTCATTGCATCATTACAAAGGGTCCCAATTACTGCAGTATTGGAGTTAATGAAGTCGTTCATGGTGATAAAAGATTTTGTGTTGCTGTAATACTAGTACATGTACACCTACCGGGTATCTTGTCTTTGCTTTTTTAATGATAATTAGCAATTGAGCCTGCTCACAAGTAAATTAAAAGGTACCTGTTATCATGGCAACTCTAAAGATGTTTTTTGCATCCCCTACTGGGTTACTTTTTATTTACTTCCTAGGCAGGTTGTCAACAAATATTTGTTGGTCATGTTGCTATGGCAGTTGAAACCAAAATTTTCATCTTTCATCTTTCTAGGTTATAGAGTACCGCAGTGTGACGTCCGCTATCATTGTTCTGGTTCACTCTGGTTTGAGCGCTGATGTCTTTATACATTTAAGCTGTGAGCGTGGAACAGAATACGCGGCCCACTTCGGTACTCTATTCTGTGTAATTTATTGGACACCTTTTGAATTGAACAAATGGTCGGTATTATTTGGATAGGCTTTTTTTTTAATTTGATTTTTGTCGATAATGTTTATTGTAGGGTCCAATCATATAACATCAGAGTACCACGTGACCATCCAGTTTTCTGTGATTGGCCACCATTGTAGTAGGCAAGCATTTGGTTAGCAGCCACGTCAGGTGTTGTAAACTAGACAGTAGGGCTTATTTTCTCAAAATAATCGCACATTTTTTATGAAACTACAAATGGTCACTTCCTTTGGTAGGTACAGTTTTTATAATCATACTGACCCAGCAATTGGTGTTGGCTCGTCATTTTTCTCGCAATTTTTGCCATCCTCACAGTTTGCCTGCTACATGTACGTTACCTACTGCACCTGGTACCATACGATGTTTGCCAACTTCATTGGCAACTCTATTAAAATTTCCGGTTCCCGGATGTAGGCCAGGTCATCTTTACTTTAATATTTTTTGCTTCAACTAACTTTTTGGGTAGCTGTTTACAAATGACGCACTCTACCTTTTTACCATTGTATGTCTGCTAGTTTCTTGGTGAATTTTGTCTTTAAATTCAACAGTGACATTTTGTTTTCTTAAATTGTCAATTTGACATCTACGTGTACACATTAGTATGTTAAACACAAATACATCTCTTGAGAGTTCACATTTCATCAACATTTCATCAGTCAATACCTGCCAACATTCGAAAAAGGTCAAATGTCCTGCTACGCTGACAATTCAACAAATCACTTTACACTGAATATTAACACAAGCAAGGTGCCTCAACAACTACAGGTGCATCAGTGGTTCACTGTACGGTATATTGACTATTCCTGTAAATGATGTACACACCTGATTGCCAGCTAACAACCAAATTTGTCCAAAATCATAACAATTCAAAAATCTCCTTCCAAGTCCGGTACTGAATTAATTAATGTGTACCGGTACTCTAAGTTTTCTACCCCTACAAAAAAATGTCAAGACTAGAGCTGTGCTTAGTAAAAAACCTGGCATTTATTTTAGTTCCACAAATACCTTCCTTCCAATGAACATTCATGTACATGTAATTGCTCCATACTCTGTAATGGACAGCTGATATTGTTGTATGTTTGTAAACATTTTTATTCGGAACATATTTTTCTTTATAGGATTGTGTGTACATGTGGTCACCAGAGTGCCCACTCAACCAGTGAATAATATATCACTACAAAGGTCTTTTCAAATGAAGAGTGACAATTTTAGAATGGCTCTATCTTTTAAAATTCATTATGTCTGAAGTGTGGTTTTACAAATGCGGATTTATTCTTTGAGTGAAAACAACAAACTCTGTTCCACAATGTTAATCCAATCACGATGTTTTGTACGCATTTGGTGTCTACATAAAGGAAGATAAGGCCAAAAAAAAAAATATTCGGTCTCTGGTCAGACCAAAGTTTCGTAATTGACGTGGGGACGCGTTTTTTTTTTTTTTTTTTTTTTTTCTTCAAGCTTGGATTGTACAGACAAGGTGGGGTACTATTTTGCTTTTTTTGTGTCCTCATGAACATTGGTGTCCTCCATAATTTGCCTTGGTGCTCTCGATCATTTGCCTTGGTGCAATTTCCCATTCCTTGGTGCTCTTCGGTAAAAAAAAATTGAGGAGGTGCGGCAATAGAGGGCGCTGTTGGAGCTACCGCGGAACATTTTGGAAAAAAAAAGATTGACGCGCATGATTAAAATCGACGCGCGCGCTGACCAGAGACTGACTTATTTTTTTTTTTGGCCTAAACAAAGTACATTTCTCGTACTAAATATTATTTTTTTTCTAGGAAGACACTAAATTCACATTTGAATGAGACGTCCAAAAAAAAGTCCGCCCACATTTACTCATTGAATTATTAATTGAGGACCGACAGTAATTCTGTTCTTGTGGGATAGCTTCTTCCTGCCCCACAATCAATATCGATAATGTATGGGCTGGGTGCCAAACATTTAAGCCAAATATCAGATGGGAAAAGAGGGTTTTTTTTAGAACAAAACATATGCCAGGTGAATATTTACTAAGAGAAAGCCACCATTTTTATTCAAGAGCACGGCAACTTAAAGATTGACAATCAAGCAAAACGGCCGTCTGCGTCAGCCTGACGGCAGGTCACCTCTAAGCTGCTGTAATACTCACAGATCACAGTTGCAAATGCAGAACATGTAAAGTCAACCCACTTGCCAGCATGGAAATGCCACATTTGTGCGCAGTGTTCTTCCAGTTCCAGTATGTTTGGCTCTCCTGGTGCCCAGCAGTAAAATGTGCACTCCTTGCCTGCGTCACCAGCGTACATCCACCTGCCTTCTGTGTGCTTGTCAGTGCAGCCGATCCAGACTTTGCCATCAGTCGTGAGATTGCTTGCAAACTTTTCCCATATGAACTGATTCTCACTGTGGGAGTCGGGCACCACCAAGCCAGCACCCATGGCAGAGCAGGCCTGCAATGCCTCATCAAACGTCATTGTTTGTGTCAGCAGCTGATAGCAAGAATTACCAAACTGCCATTTGCACTTGGCATGGACGCAAACCAGCAAGACTGACAACCAGACAAATGTCATTGCAGCCATGTTGTTTTTTCGTCTCTTGATCACAAATTTCACTCAAACGTTGAAAGCTGACTAGAGTCAACCAATGACAAAATGTTCTAAGCAAAGTTGGTTCAGTCTTTTATCTGAAAATGTTTAAATGCGCTGTTATTTCTTGCGCACTAATTCATCACATTATCTCCCACCTGACACAAGCAGGAGCAAAAGCGTTTTCCAGTCCTGGTCTAAGTCAGATGTGGTTTTCTATCAGTTAGCACTGGTGGTGGCCTGTTTTAGGTAACGGTGAGGGAGAAATGGGGGGGGGGGGGATTGCGGGTGACAAGAGAGCTGCATGAAAACCTGTGGGTGAAGATATTAAGGTGGAAAAGATGTAGCACATGTACTCAGAATCCCATCCTTTTGACTGCAGAAATCCAAGTCCAGTGGCACGATGAGGTCTTACAACTAGGGTAGTTGGTACACCTTTTTCAGGGTAGTTTGTTCTTCACCTTTGGTCCTCTCCTGGCACCAAACTTCCACTAGTGGCTCCTATGACTCCAGCATGTCCAGCCACCACACCCCAGGCAGTTAATAACCTGCTTCTATAAAAACTGTAGTTCAGTGTCTTTAAGCATCATCATGCACTTGCCTCTCCTCGCCTAAATTCTAGCCCATCAGCCAATGTTGATAGCCACCTGAGGCAGTTCTTGCAGTAGCAGACAATAATGTACTGTGTCTATAAGCGTAAACACACACTTGCCTCTCCTTGCCTACTCCAACCAATGAAATTCTATCCCATCAGTGTACATGCACTGCTTGCTTCTCTCTCCTTGACTTTATTATGGTGAGTACAATTTGAAGGACTCGTTTAATGGTGGAATGCACACTGCATCTCCAAGACTTGAAACAAGTAATATTGGTCACGTACAGGTTGTCATGGTAGTGGTGTTCACTACAATGTATCTATTTACTTCTCTCTTCTCGAATATTTTTACAGTGAGTGCATTTGAATGACCTGTTTTTGGTAGAATGCAACTCCGCATTACCAAGTTGAAGAGAGATCAATATTGGCCGTGTAGTGATGTTCACTTCATTGCATCATTACAAAGGGTCCTAATTACTGCAGTATTGGAGTTAATTAAGTCGTTCATGGTGATTAAAGATTTTGTGTTGCTGTAATACTAGTACATGTACACGTATTTTGTCTTTGCTTTTTTAATGATAATTAGCAATTGAGCCTTCTCACAAGTAAATGGCCACTCTAAAGATGCTTTTGCAACTCCTACTGGGTTACTTTTTATTTATTTCCCAGGCAGGTTGTCAACAAATATTTGTGGGTCATGTTGCTATGGCAGTTGAAACCAAAGTTTTCATCTTTCATCTTTCTAGGTTCTAGAGTATCGAAGTGTGACATCAGCTATCATTGTTCTGGTTGTGCGCGTGGAACACAATACGCAGCGCACTTTGCTACTCTATTCTGTGTAATTTATTGGACACCTTTTGAATTGAACAAATGGTCGGTATTATTTGGATAGGCTTTTTTTAATTTGATTTTTGTCGATAATGTTTACTGTAGGGTCCAATCATATAACATCAGAGCACCACGTGACCATCCAGTTTTCTGTGATTGGCCACCATTGTAGTAGGCAAGCATTTGGTTAGCAGCCACGTCAGGTGTTGTAAACTAGACAGTAGGGCTTATTTTCTCAAAATAACCGCACATTTTTTTAATGAAATTACAAATGGTCACTGCCTTTGGCAGGTACAGTTGTTATAATCATACCGACCCAGCAATTGGTGTTAGCTCGGCATTTTTTTCCACAGTTTTTGCCTTCCTTACAGTTTGCCTGCTACATGTACGTTACCTACTGCACCTGGTACCATACGATGTTTGCCAACTTCAGTGACAACTCTATTAAAATTTCCGGTACCCGGATGTAGGCCAGGTCATCTTTACTATATTTTTTGCTTCAGCTAACTTTTTGGGTAGCTGTTTACAAATGACGTACTCTACCTTTTACCATTGTATGTCTGCTAGTTTCTTGGTGAATTTTGTCTTTAAATTCAACAGTGACATTTTATTTTGTTAAATTGTCAATTTGACATCTACGTGTACACATTGGTATTTTAAACACAAATACATCTCTTGAGATTTCACATTTCAATAACATTTCATCAGGCGATACCTGCCAACATTAAAAAAAGGTCAAATGTCCTGCCACTCTGACAATTCAACATTTTACGCTGAATATTAACACATCAAACAAGGTGCCTCAACAAATACAGATGCATCAGTGGTTCACTGTACGGTATATTGACTATTCCTGTAAATTATGTACACACCTGATTGCCAGCTAACAACCAAATTTGTCCAAAATCAAAACAATTCAAAAATCTCCTTCCAAATCAGCTGCTGAATTAATCAATGTTTGTACCAGTACTCAAAGTTTTCTACCTCTACAAAAAAATCTCAAGACTCGGCAGGGTTGGCTGATTTAAATCACGTTAATTTAAATCACTGATTTAAATTGCGATTTAAATCAAATAATTTTTTAAATAAAAATCACTGATTTAAATCACTTTTTTGTAAAAATCTTATTTTTGGCAGTTAGCATTGGTGGTGGCCTGTTACAGGCAACAGTGAGGGAGAATTGGGGGGGGGGGGGGGTTAGCAGGTGAAAAGAGATCTGTATGAAAACCTGTTCCTGAAGGAGATGAAGGTGAAAAAGATTGCACATTAAGAACACCACCCTTTCGACAGAGAAGTCCAAGTCCAGTGGCACGATGAGGTCTTGTTCGTTCACCTTTGATCCTGTCACGGCGCAAAACTCTCACAGCACAAAATTCTCACTAGTGGCTCCTAGGACGGTATCATGTCCAGCTACCACACCTCAGGCTGTTAATGTAACACTAGATAGCCTGTTTCTATACAGACTGTAGTTCAGTGTCCATAAGCATCATCATGCCTTGCATCTTTCTTGCCTTAATTGTAGCCCATCAATATTGAAAGCCAACTTTGATATCCACCTGAGGTGATTTGTGCAGTGTAAGACAAGAATATGCACTTGCCTCTCCTTGCCTACTCCAACAAATGAAATTCTAGCCCGTGAGCATACATGTACTGCTTGCTCTAGGGTGAGTACAATTTGAAGGACTCGTTTATGGTAGAATGCGCACAACATTTCCAAGATTTAAATCAAGTAAAATTGGTCACGTACAGGTTGTCATGGTAGTGGTGTTCACTACAATGCATCATTACAAAGGGTCCCAGTTACTGCAATATTGGAGTTAATGAAGTCGTTCATGGTGATACATGTACATGTAAAAAAAGTCATTCAGCTGTAATACATGTACCGGTTCATGTACACATACTCATATCTTTTTTTTTGAATGATAATTAGCAATTGAGCCTGCTCACAGGTAAATGAAAAGGTACCCATTGCCATGGCAACTCTACAGATGCTTTTGCAACCCCTACTAGGTTACTGTTTATTGATTTCTGAGGCAGGTTGTCAACAAGTTGGCAGGTTGTTGCTATGGCAGTTGAAACCAAAGTTTTCATCTTTCATCTTTCTAGGTTATTGAGTGTCAAAGTCTGACATTAGCTGTCATTGTTCTGGTTCACCCTGGTTCGCGCGCTGATGTCTTCATATATTTAAGCTGTGCGCGTGGAACAGAATACGCGGCACACTTCGCTACTCTATTCTGTGTAATTTATTTTATTGGACGCCTTTTGAATTGAACAAATGGTTGCATTATTTCGATTGGCTTTTTTGTCTCACCTGAACGAAGTTCAGGAAAGAGACTATGCAATCACTATGTCTGTCCGTACATGTATGTCAGGGCGTACGATCTGATACACGGTCCCCTCTGGAGATATGTGTTCAATAGGGAACAAAAGATTGTATACGTCTCCACAGGGCAATTTCTATAGATGAATAAGTCTCCACAAGGTTCTCACAAAATAAATATATGGATTTTACTCAAAAACTAGGAATTTCCAAGTTGTGTTGATCCATCGCAAATTGAAGTATTTTATTTAAGGGATACTAAGTCCGAATTTCAGCCCAGGAAATTAATTCTGGTAAAAATAGGAGCATTTTGAAAGTACACTTTCAAACTTCAAAACTTTAGTACATGAGAACAAAGGAATGACTCCACAAGGAAACAAATTTCAGTATGCGCGTATCCGTCCTTATGTATGTTATTTTGGTTAAAGTTTAAAAAAATTGGTCTCATTTGAAAAGTTGAAGTCCAATTGGAACCGAAATGGGGTCATAGATGCAACATGGCAACCTTCATATGATAATAATGTCAAAGGTCACATCTGGTTTCCTTGTGATCGGCCACCATTGTAGTAGGCAAGCATTTGGCTAGCAGCCATGTCATGTGTTGTAAACTAGACAGTAGGGCTTATTTTTAAGTAAAATAACCGCACATTTTTGTATCAAATGGTCACTACCTTTGCCATGTACAGTTGCCACAATCATACCGACCAAGCAATGGGTGTTGGCTCGGCATTTTTCTCACAGTTTTTGCCATCCATCAAAGCTTGCTTACTACATGTACCTACTGCACATGGTGCTACATGTATACGATCTTTGCCAACTACAGTGGCGACTCTTATTTTCCGGTACCTGGATGTAGGCTAGGTCACGTGGGTCAGCCCTATTAGAATTTGTTTGTTATATTACATAATTTGGCTTCTGATAATTTGTGGGAAACTACAATGTAAGCTGCTGGTGGCAATACTTGTACCGGTAGTTCAGCTGTCACACCAATTTAACCCCGTACTTAAAGTACGGGGTTAAATTTGTGTGACAGCTGAACAAAAAGGTGGCATCCCCAGCTGACACCCACAGCTCCTGTAATGAAAACGGTGGTTGCAGTCTTGGTGCTGATTCGCTGCGGCACGTTCTGCCCCTCTCCAAGGTTGCCATGTTGATTCAGATGAAATGAAGCAGTTAATAGGCGTTGGGGAATTGTCAGGTCAGGGAATCTGACTAGCTGGCTGGCACCCTTTATGGATGTGTAACCGATTGCAAACAAATTGTGGATTACTTTTTTTATGTGGTAAATTGGGGGCAGTATTTCAAAAAAGTCAGTTTTTTTTTTTTCCAATGATGGTCGGCTGACCAACGTTGGAGATTATTAAAAAAAATCCACTTTTCTTGAAAATGACAGCACACCAGGTGACAGGATTTCACAGGATGCTTGAGACTATTATTCACTTACAGTCAAGTAAGGTACATGTATTTCATAATAGTTTGGTAGTTTTGGTTTTTTGATGTTTGCAAATGTTATGTATTTAAATCAAAATGTCGTAGAACTTACAAGCATCACATTTCCAAATTTTATTATTGTCTGAAAGAAACATACAGAAAGATATTGGCTTTTTTTACATCCTAATGCAGCAAAAAAGTGTTGCAATATTTCTTAATAGAAACCCTTGTGAGAAAAGAAAATATTGACATATTTTTCTTGAGAAAGTGCAAGTAGTGTTTGCGTTCAACTGATTTTTATTTTGGTTTGTATATTTCACCAGGGTTATTCTGTCAGTTTCTTGGTGAATTTTGTCTTCAAATTCAACAGTTACATTTTTTCCTTAAATTGTCAAATTGAGATCTACACACTGGTATTTTAAACACAAATACATCTCTTGAGATTCACATATCAATAACATTTCATCATTAAAAAAGGTCAAATGACCTGCTACTCTGACAATTCAACATTTCACTTTACACTGAATATTAACACATCAAACAAGGTGCCTCAACTACAGGTGCATTAGTGGTTCACTGTACAGGGTGAGTAAAAAAAAAAAGGAAGCCCAAATGGTGCCCCCTATTTTGTAAAGAATTTCTGCAAGTAGCGCTTTCCAGATCTAGGATATGAAAGCAGAATTAGTAAGCTTTCTTTTAGTGAAAGAATGATTCAAATCGCTTATGCACTTTTCCATTTATGGAATTTTGAACACAAAAGACCATTTTGTAACCTTGTTCACGGATCACATTTAAGGTACGTAATATTTCAATAAAAATGAAAACATGTCGATCCTGAAAACGATATCAGAATAATCGCATAAGTCACCGGGGTTGCCAAGTAGAAGGCAGGGCAAGACTATAAACTATTGACATTATGAAGCATGGTATTTTAACATTCTAGTCAGCAGGTTTTAAATAAATGTGTGCCAGTTATGGTTATAATTAATAATAATTGTGCTTATATATCGGTAGCGCTTTCCATCGTATCAATGAACTCAAAGCGCTTTACAATTACCCCGTTCATCAGGCCATGGGACCACGCGGCAGCCGATATCAGCGCTCAATCGGTCCTCGACCCTCACAGGTACCCATTTATACTCCTGGGTGGAGAGAGGCAATTGTGGTTAAGTGTCTTACCCAAGGGCGCAAACACCATGTTCCTGGCAGGGTTCGAACCCACGGACCTTCGCACATGAGTCAAACACTGTAACCACTGGACCATGGCGTTCATACAGTGATGAGAGTGTTCTGAGTGGTTTTTTTTTTATATGTGAATACTTTTTGTTTGGCTGAAACATCACATGCCTTTGTTGTGATCCATGGACAAGGTTAATAAACGGTATTTGTGTTCAAAATTCTGTAAACTGGAAAAGTACTTGAGCGATTTGAATGAATCTTGCACTAAAAGAAAGCTTATTAATTGGGCTTTCGTATGCTAGATCTGGTAAGCGCTACGTTCTTTAAAAAATAGGTGGCACCATTTGAGTTTCCTATATTTTGACTCCCCCTGTACATGTACATGACTATTCCTGTGAATGATGTATACGTGATTGCCATCTAACAAGCAAATTTGTCCAATATTACAACAATTAAATAATCTCTTTTCCAAAAACAGGTACAGAATGAATTAATTTACTTCGTTTCATCTTAAGTGGGGTAGGTTTTCTACCCCTACAAAAATTGTTAAGACTAGAGCTGTGCTAAGTAAAGAACCCGGTATTAATTTTGCTCTTAAAATGCCTTATACTGCCAGTGTAATTGCTCCATATACGCTGTAATGGACAGCCAACTCATTCAACGTTGTACATGTATGTGACTTTCTTTTTTTTTCATTGTATTCTGAACATTATTTTATAGGATTTTGTTTACATCTGGTCGCCAGAGTGCCCACTCAACCATTGAATAATATATCACTTCAAAGGTCTTTGAAAATGAACAGTGAGATGTTTACAATGTCTCTGCTGCATGACCAATGCAATTCTACTCAAGACAGAAGTTGTCACTTGAAGGGAAGCAACTGGCTGTTTATTGAATGTGGGAAATGGGATGACGACTGCTTTGTATCGGCTGACACAACACTCAGCAATTTTTTTCAAACCACAAAGAGACTCTGTCAGTTCAGAGTGGCAATAGACCAAACCATTAACAACTTCACGCCGAGATCATTTGTGCCGAAAATTTTGATGTTAGCAAAAAACAAAATTGTCCAGCCAACTTCTGATGACAGATGTACAGCCAATCGCCACAAATACTGATTCGCAAGAGTCATTTCAACAGTATTTGTCAATATTTCTTGCCAAAACCTCATATGTTCCAATACTCTGGGGTGTGCACTGGAGCGTAAATTCTACAATAGGCCGTGCACAACGGCCAATTCAAGATCAACGCTCCTCCCACTTCACGGACTTTGTGTGTTACTGTGTGGATTAGCGTGTTAAGATGTCACCAGGAGGCGAGTCGAGGCAAGTCAGTCTTGACCTGTCAGCTGTGCCTTGTATAAAAACAGCCAGTGCGTGTTATCACGTCCTCCGACGCGAAATGGTTAAGCCCTGCCCTGTGATGTTGTCGTGACCAGTCGCAGCCATTTTTCTAATGTCTGACATGCATGAACAACTTCATGTTCCAGCCGTGCACATGTGCGTATGATGCGCACAGCTGTAACATTCAGTTTTGCATGAAAGAGGCCCATGTACTTGTACATGAGCAGTGGGTGGGGGCTGAATGGATTGGTCTGTTTCAGTGGTTACAATTGGGACAATGTTGCTGGCTGCAGTAAACAAATCTTTCTGAACCACTGAAGGTAATTCAGAATGCTTACATCTAGTGAAATTCATTTGAATGCTTAAGTGCAGCATTAAAAATGTCAAACTCTTTATCCGAGTGGTACTCATCAACTCTATACCACAATATTAATCAAATTACAATGTTTAACACTCAATGAGGTCTACATGCTATAAAGAAGATAAAATACATGCTATTTTTTGTGTTTTATCCCCCAAAATAGATTCCTTTTCTACCGGTACATTGCTGTTTTTCTAGCAATATAGACGTTATTCACATTTGAGGGACACATCTGTCAAAAGAAAAATTTGCCCAGGTTTAGTTATTGAATTATTACTCTACAAATTTGAATAACTTGCAAACCGACCACAATGATGTTCATGTGAGGATGGCTGGTTCCCGCCCCACAATTCGTATTGATAATATATATACGGACTGGAAGCCAATCTTCTCGCAACGCTGATCTGCCCAAAATAAAAACTTTTGTTGACAGGATGGCAGACACCAATTTTTTGTTTTTAATAAAAATATTCTACATGTAGTTGAAACTTCATGAATTAAGAGAAAACAAAAATATTATATTTGTTGAAGAGCATAGTACATTTTTGAAGTCAAAAAGATTAAGCAAAACGGCCGTCTGCATCAGCCTGACGGCAGGTCACCTCTAGGCTGCTGTAATACTCACAGATCACAGACGCAACTGCAGAAGGTGTACATGTAATGTCAACCCACTGGCCAGCATAGAAATCCCACATCTGTGTGCAGTCTTCCTCCTGGCTGTTCCATGGGGTTGGCTCGGTTGGTGCCCAGCCGAGAAATTTGCACTCCTTGCCTTCGTCATCAGCGTACATCCACTGGCCTTCTTTGTGCTTGTCGGTGCAGCCGATCCAGACTTTGCCATAATGCAGGAGATGATTTTTAATCATCTGCCATATGAACTGATTCTCATTCTGGGAGTCGGGCACCACCAAGCCAGCACCCATGGCAGAGCAGGCCTGCAATGCCTCATCAAATGTCATTGTTCCTGTCAGCAGCTGATAGCAAGAATTACCAAACTGCCATTTGCACTTGGCATGGACGCATACCAGCAAGACTGACAACCAGACGAACCTCATTGTGGACATGAAGTTTTGGTTCTACGGTCTCTTGAGCACAAATTTCAGAGTTTGGCAAAGTCAAACGTAGAAAACTGACCAGAGTCAACAATTCAAAAATCAGAGCGAAAATGGTTTAGTCTTTTACCTTTTGCATGAGCAAAGAGAGCTGCACAACCCTCTTCCTCTACCATGCCTTTTACACAGGCTAGTCACCAACAGTCAGATCATATTTTAAGCAAGAACTGTGACTACTCAAAATCAGTCAACAGACAAAAACAGGCAAGTGGTAGACACAGCTGGCTTATCAATCACCTACAGTCAACGCATAAACTTTCACAGCCAGTCAATCCTGCATTAGGGTTGGGAGCTGTGTTGAAAACAGTCACTTGATTGATTTAAAGTGCCAGAACAACTTTGCACAGATATTGCTGTCTGCATCTGAGTGTTAAGGTGGACAAACTGTTGCAGATTGACCAGACCGTTTTGGCCGCAGAAGTCCAAGTCCAGTGGCACGATGAGTTCTTTCAACTAGAGCAGTGTGTGCACCTTTTCGGGTACCGGTAGTTTGTGCTTCCACATTTGGTCCCCTCCTTGTGTAAAACTGTACACAGGTGACCTGTGGCTCCTATAACAAGTCCGGCCGCGACACCCAAGGGTGTTATTGTTAACACTAGCTTCTATACCGACTGTTATGTGTAGATAAGCATCATCATGCCTATACATCTCCTCGCCTACTTCAACCAATGACATTGTAGCCCTTCAATATGCTACTTGCTTTTCTCTCCCCGAATATTTATTATGGTGATTACGATTGAAGGACTCGTTTATGGTAGAATGCGCACCCCATCACCAAGATTAAAAACGAGCGGTATTGGTCACATAGTGGTGCTCACTGCATTGCATATTAACCAAGGTCCCCAAATTAGTGCGATATCGGAGTTAATTAAGTTGTTAATGGTGATCAAGAATTTCATCTACTACATGTAGCTGTAATCCATATATCTTTTTTAAAATGATAATTAGAAATTGAGCCTGTAACTAAATGAAAAGGCACCTGTTGCCATGGCAACTATAAAGATGTTTTTGCAACCCCTACTTGGTCCTTTTTTGTTTTATTACCCAGGTAGGTTGTGGAAAGCTCATCTGTACATGTACCGGTAACTAAATGTATAAGTTGGATAAGGTCTTTGTCAGCATAACCTGTTAGGCTCTGTATCGCCCACAAACACCTTGCCCATTACTCACTGTACCACCCGAAACCGCCTGAGTACTCAATGGATTAATAGATTCATAAGTGAGTAAAAATATTGAAATACAAAGTAGTACACGCTCATAGTTTTCTTGAAAAATGTATCAAAATGAGCGCTTGCAGTAAATGGAAATCTGTTGCCTAAAGAAAAAGGTTTAGATCTGTGACCTTAAAGCCAGAGTCCATCATTTGCAGCTATCCAAAAAGTAACTGGCGTAATTATTGTTGAAAACCATACTTGGTTGAAAGATAACAGGGGGACTAAACTCCCTGTGAAATTATTCTATCTGGCAAGCTGTCATTTTGAAGAAATCAACAAAAGGAGGCCTTTCCAACGGTGCTTCTTAAATTCAATTTAGTAGCTCGTTTTGTTATTAAGCGAAGCGTGCGCAAGCATTGGCACGACGCACAGGAGCTCGCGCGGTTGTTATAATTCGTCAGATTGTGCACGACATCGCATTGCTGCAATCGGCTCAGTGAGAATGTGTCTCGAACGCTGAATTCAGGCCCAATTCAGAACATGATTCAGCAACTTTTGATTGGAAATCGAGATCCTAGAATGTTGTTTTTCTCGAAACATACAGCTAAAGCTGAGCTGAAACTTCATTGGGTTAGTTGTTCAGCACCCTTCTTTAGATTTTGAGCACTTTTGTTGCTTCAAAGGAACAAAATGCACAAATTACGAATAATGGACTATACCTTTAAGAATCTCCATAGACCCCATTCACCAGCACCCCCTGAGCGCTTTCAAAGAGAGATTTGGAGGAGGTTACTGTAACGGACATTGAAATGGAAATTTATGCGCAATGGTAAATGATTTCAATGCTGAGAAACCTTTAAACTGGTCAGTAATGAGGTCTGAACATGTAGATTACTTATGTGGTACCCTGCGCTGGTCACCAGTCTAATGTCATAGCTGGAGTTTCACTTGAGCTTTATACATTTCAGGTTTTGAGTTGAGTTTCATGGACAGCAGGGGGTCACCAGCCTGCGCATTGTCTGCCAGAGCTCCTTGTTTCTCTAATAATAAATGACCACATTCAGCTGGCTGTTCGTGAAAATTACAATTTGCACGATCTCCCCAAAATCGCCAACTTGGTGTGAGAGCAGAACAAAAAGGTCGAGTCCCCAGCTGACGCCCACAGCTCCTGTTTTTCACAAAGACCACGGTTGCACTCTTGTGCATGTTTTACTGCGGCGCATTCTGCCCTTCTCAGTCCAAACATTTGAGCCAAACATCAGGGGAGAAAAAGGAATATTTGTTGGGAACAAAACGCTGTAGGTGAATATTTACTGAGAGAAAAAATGCGATATTTGTTGTAGACCACGAGGAAAGCAACTTTAAATAAAGACAATCAGGCAAAACGGCCGTCTGCATCAGCCTGAAGGCAGGTCATCTCTAGGCTGCTGTAATACTCACAGATCACAGGTGCAACTGCAGAACATCCAATATCAATCCACTTGCCAGCCTTTCCATCCAACATCTGTGCGCAGTCTTCGCCCCCGTAGTCCTGTCCGTTTGGCTCGTTTGGTGCCCAGTCGATGAACTTGCACTCCTTGCCTGTGTCAGCAGCGTACATCCACTGGCCTTCTGTGTGCTTGTTGGTGCAGCCGATCCAGACTCGGCCATCAGAGGGGAGATGATTCTTCATCATCTGCCATATGAACTGATTCTCATTCTGGGAGTTGGGAACCACCAAGCCAGCACCCATGGCAGAGCAGGCCTGCAATGCCTCATCAAACGTCATTTTTCCTGTCAGCAGCTGATAGCAAGAATTACCAAACTGCCATTGGCAATCAGCATGGACACATACAAGCAAGACTGACAGCCAGACAAATGTCATGGCAGACATGATGTTTTTTTTCGTTGGTGATCTCTCGAATTACAAATGTCAGAGTTTAGCAAAGTCAAACGTTGAAAACTGGACGAGTCAACAAATGAAAAAAAAAAAAAAATTCTTATCAAAGTTGGTTCAGGCTTTTATCTGAAAATGTTCAAGTACACTGTTTTACATATATTTCTTGCGCACTAATTTATCACAATATCTCCTACCTCACACAAGCAGGAGCACAGCCTTTCTTCAGTTTCTCATCCTGGTCTTAGTAAAGTGTGGTTTTCTATCAGTTAGCGCTGGTGGTGGCCTGTCACAGGCAATGAAGTGGGGGATTGCAGGTGAAAAGAGAGCTGCATGAAAACTTGAAGGAGATTAAAGTAGACAAACAGTTGCAGATTAAGAACCGAGTGCTCCCTTTTGGTCGTGGAAGTTCAAGTCCAGTGGCACGATGAGGTCTTACAACTAGGGTAGTGCGTACACCTTTTCAGGGTAGTATGTTCTTTCAACTCTGGTCTCCTCCTGGCACCAAACTTCCACTAGTGGCTCCTATGACTCCAGCATGTCCAGCCACCACACCCAGGCAGATAACACTAGATAACCTGCTTCTATACAAACTGTATAAGCATCATCATGCCTTGCCTCTCCTCGCCTTCTCCAACCAATGACATTCTAGCCCTTCAATATTCCACTGGCTGAATTGCTTTATTACAGTAAGTACATTTGAAGGACTCGTTTATGGTAGAATGCATACCCCATCACCAAGATTAAAAACGAGCGGTATTGGTCACATAGTGGTGCTCACTGCAATGCATCTTTACCAAGGTCCCCGGATTACTGCAAGATTGGAGTTAATTAAGTCGTTAATGGTGTTCAAAGAATTTCATTAAATGTAGCTGTCATCCATGCATCTTGCCTTTTTGTGATAATTAGCAATTGAGCATGCTCAAAAGTAAATGTAGCGAGAGCACACTCAGATTTATATTAGTTATTACATATTTTGGAACCTAAAGAATAGTGACTGATTTTTTCCCCCCACAGTTTCTATTGACAGCCGTTTTGCAAGATTGGTTTAAAAACCCAACAGCAAATAAAATGCCCATGCAATGTAATTTTTGTAGTGCACTCCTTGATAATGCACCTTTGTGTCCCATTTAACCTTATTTTAATTTTCGTTTTGCCATTTTCAAGGGTATTTTGGTGCGTGTTTGGTTTTATGCTGATGTATTTACCATTCATGAGAACAATTGTAATGTTGTGTCGGGCAGAAACTTCAATGTTGAAACCTTAATACTGTTGTAAAATCTACTTTTCTTTGGTCATGTTGTTGATTCGTTGTTGTGCAGTAAGCCAATGAGCAAACGTTTCTCACAGATGTTTTCATTGAGCAAATATTGGGGAACCTTCACAATTTGAATTCAAAACCCCTAAACTGAACAGTGTCTTCCTGAAATGACATCACGGCAACAGTGCCCTCAGTTATCCGGAAAAGCATGGATAGAAGAAGTGCACTTTGCAATAAAATTAATGCAGAAGATCAGAATTATGTACGAATGACATGAAAATGAAAACCCAAGAAGCCAGTATTTGATTTATAAAATGGTTAAACAAGTCAAAACATGTTGCCAAATTTGGGTGTACACAGTGTTGGCAGTTGAATTTTGGTAAAAAAAAATATTTGTTTAGTTTTTCTTTATTTTTATAGTATGTAATTTTTAACATGTATTCATACATATGAACATATATGTTTTTTTGTAAGTGCCAAAATACCCCTATACTACATGTAGTCTTGAATACTTGTTAACTATTGTTAAAGGGAATATACATCATTTGCTTTTGCTGTAATTTTCAGAAATGGATGGAATTGGGGGGTTGGAAATATATAGCAAATATAGTTACACTGACTTTTTTGAGGTTTTGGGTTCAAAAATGCTATAAAAACCAAGAAAAACAACCATTTTCCTGTAGTCTGGTTCCCTGACTCCATTTAAGAAGAAACAGAGCAGTTTACATACATTGGGGAATTGTAAGGTCAGGAAACCAGTCTAGCTGGCTTGTACCCGTTCATAGGTGTGTAATCGATTGCAAACAAGTGCGATGGTCAACTGGGGCCAGTATTTGAAAAAAAAAGCCAGTTTTTTCCAACGCTGATCGGCCGATCAGCGTTGGAAAATGATACAAAAATACCACTTTTCTTAAAAATGACAGTATACCAGGTGCCATGATTTTACACGATGCTTTACACTGTCATTCACTAACAGTCCAGCAAGGTATTTCAAAATGATTTGGTAGTTTTATTTTTTGATGTTTGCAAATGTTGTATTTTCCCTTTAACTATGCAGTAAAGTTCCTTCCTTTTAGTGTGTATACTAGCCCTCCAATTTGAACATGTGTATAATCATATGTACTGTGTACATGGTGTACATGTATATTTACAAATGTCCACTCCACATCAACATTTTGTGTATTCTACTGGCCCTATTTCCAATGTAAATCCTTTACATAATTCCTCTAGATGGTTTGAATTCAATTGAGATGTATTCCTCCTTTCTTATTCTCCTGTTTGTTTCAGGTTACGGCGGTGGTTGGGGCTACTCAGGCCATTCAGTGGAAGCTCTACGGTTCTCGGTGGATGTTGATGTCTTACTAGGAGGGCTGGGGCTTTTTGGAGGACGGGGTGAATACAACGCAAAGATAAAGGTGAGCCGTCAAATTTCATGGCTCTGTTAACCATGGAATTCTGTGCTCAAGGATCGTCATTCTATCAGAATTTTTCCGTATTTCAAGATTTTTTTGTCAGGATTTTGCCTGATGTCAGGATTTAAAAAAAAAGAAACCCGTTTGAAATATGGAATCCTGGAGGTACCACAGAGGTGGTTAAAAAAAATAGGTATATAAATGGGTATAGAACAGAAGAAATTGGTATTTTAAGGATGCCGTTGCCCTGGGGCCATCGACAACCCTCAAACCCTCACACGATAACTTTGTGGATTGTTCATTTTCCCCCAATCTCAACCCTGTTCTATGCTTACAGTATTAGCAACAAACTCTTGGCACTGGGATGTACATGTGCTTAAAAGACGTATATCCTTGCAGAACAAGGAAATTCAGTAACACTTCTTGCAGGAAAAAAAACTGGGGTTCTTTGCTTAGAATAAGCAGAGCCATTAAAGTGGGGCCAGGTTTGATTGTACTAGTAATCCGCATCCGTATTACTTGGCTACTGTATGGCTGGAAATTACACACATGCATAAAGAAGCGGCTGCAGCCACTTCCTGTAGACTTGTGTGTTATTTCCAGCCATAGCCGTGTATATTTGGACGCGGTCTAAGCTGAGATTATTTTAGTGCAGACATTGGCTAAGCACAGATAATTGTTGCTGAGTAAAGCCAGGTTACCAGCTGAAATGCCATGCAATGTCTATTGCTTGGCACTGGTTCTCACTTGCTCTGCGCGTACAATGTACATACGTAAATGCTTAGGAGTTTTGTGAAATTGGGCCATGATGATCAGCTTCCGGGAGAAGCGGGGGACTGATAACTTCTGTATTAATTCCCACCCTCCCAGTTATTTGTGAGGATTTTGTAGGGTTCAGGAGAGAAACTTTGCAGTACGAGGTAATATAAGTGCTAATGTCAATTTCTTGAATCTTGTAGCTGTATGAGCTGGGGTCCAAGGCGGCTGAGTATGAACCTGATGGGGAACTACTCGCCGAGAGCGACGATATCACATTTGAGTGTGGAGCCAGGTGAGACATACACTTACAAGACCACCACGTGTGATTAGTATGGACATTGCTGGGCAGGAGTTGAACTGCATTCAAAACAACACAGGATTATCTTTATGGACAAGGAGATGAACCGCATCGGAATAAGCTTATTTGGCAATTGAAAAAGAAACAATGGTTTCTACAAATGTTTCTGTTTTAAATTCAGCCTGTGTTGTATCATGTAAATTGCAGTACAGCTATAGATGGACTTAAAAGATAAAAAACAAACACACACTGTTTCTTGTTCCGTCTGTATGAGGTACTTGTGGGGACCGAAAACAATGTGGGGACAGCAGAAAGTCCCCACAACTCGGTCCTAATTTGCCTAACAATAAAAAACTTCCCCGTAACGCGTTGTAGGCCTTAACCCACACACACAAGTGTGTGTTTGCGTGCAATCGGAGACCCTCTATTATCCCTCTTTTGTTTGTATCGGTACTTAAACGTTTTAGGAAGACCTACCATATGTTTTGTACACGATCGCCAAATTGGGGACCTTCGGGAATTAGGCACCCTATTGTCCTCTATTGTTCAACATCCCCTACTGAATGCAGAAACAAACTCATCCATGACACAAGTTTGTAAACACCGGCAATCGTGGACCCCCCATTGTCCGCAATCCACATTCCTTTGTTTGTACTCTTAACTTTTTAGCAACAGCTCGCAGTGGTTTTGTACACGAATTTCAATTGTGGTCGCTCGGACCCATTGTTTGTGCCCTAACCCTTTTGTCCCTAGTCCATGATTGCCGGTGGTTATATCTGGTGGTTGTACCCTCCTTGTTTCAGTTAGGCTTTGGGATTTGAACCTCTGTCACAGAGGTGTGGGAAATAGAAATAAAAATCTCAAAATCCAAAGCTATTATGAAGCTGGCAGAAAAAAAAAGTTTTCATAAACCACAAATGGAAACTCACTAGGTGCAAATATAATATTAGGACTAGCGCCCTTGAGCAAAGACATTGACAAACTCGGGGAACCGCCAACATAGGGCTTGATAGCTCAGTTGGTAGAACACAGGTACGGCATTTTAGATGTTGAAGGTTCAAACCCTGCTCTGGCCATTTTGTGTTTCCTCAATTTTATAAGATTATCTTTTTCAGCACAGTCGTACATTTTGTTATGTTTTGTGTTAAATTTTCCAGAGAGAAGTTTCCCATCTTGTTTGATGAGCCGGTCCCCCTGACCGCAGGATGCTGGTACGTGGCTTGGGCTAGGGTCAACGGACCAAGTAGCGATTGTGGATCCGGTGGCCAAACCTCCATCACCACAGATGACCAGTAAGTCAAGTACAACTGTCCTCAAGTAATCAAGTCAAGTCCATCACAAGTCCTCACAAGTGATCAAGTCTCCTTTTCAAGTGACGAGCTATTCAAATGAACTGTGTCAAGAATTCTGTTGTCATTCATTTCGTGTTATTTGTGACTGGACTTGTGATGAACTTGTGGTGGACTCAACTGCAAACTTGGTAATAATGGCAGGCTCTATCTTAAGCCCGGTTCATACTTCATGCGAAAGCGAAAGCGAACGCGAATCTGTGACGTCATGGCAAGTATTTGCGCTGCGAATTCGCAAAAGTTGAACACATTACAACTCGGGCGAATGTCGCAGCGAACGTTTCATAACGTCAAATTCGCTTCGCATTCACATTCGCATGGGAAAACTCATCAAATACAGGCTTTCAAGTATTCCTACTTTTCCTACTTTTTCCTAGTTTCTCTGTCTACCTTGCTCCAACTTTTCCTACTTTCCTCTTTAATTTTCTACTTTTTTCTCCTTTTTCCATTTGAACATGTTCAAAGCTTGCTTCACAGAAAATGCTTCATTGCTTTTTCTCAATATTAGGTTTTTGCCCTTCACCGACTTATAACCACTGTATACTCAGTGTGTTACTTTCCAAGTTGAAGTTGGTAACAATCCATGGGATGGTACTCGAACCCACCTGAGTGATTTTATACGTCAGTAAAGGACAAAAACCTAATGTTGATTTACATCACCCCGACACAAAATTCAATCTGATGAATAAATGCCTTTTCTGTTTGGCAATCAGTATTCACAATGTTAGTAATATATTTTGATAGCAATTGTTCTGAACGTTTTCGATCTGTTTTATTCTGAGTATTTGATGACATTATTTGAACCATTGCTAAGTAGAAAAGGTTTCGGTCTAAGGAAATTGCACAAATCTTAACTTTAAAGGGATCATGGAAAGCGCCCAGTCAGGGCACTTTAAACAAAATAGTTTTAATTGTGAACACCCACACAACCATTTCTATGATTTTGGCATTCAAATATGTTGGCATTCAAAATGCTTTCTTTATTAAAGTAATGCACAAACTGTCATTTTTGTGTCCTTTTTTTTCCCACAGAGTGACGTTCCAGTTCATGAGTTCCAAGAAGTCCAACAATGGCACAGACATCAATGCTGGACAGATCCCACAGTTACTGTACAAGTATGTATGCATGGACTTGTATCAGCAAACATTTGCTGTTGGGATAAACGTATCTCCAATCTTTTTGTCTAAAAACACATTCCATAGAATGCTGTACCACGCCTGCACAAGTGTTTTTCCTAATCTAATGGCTTTGGTTTGCTTTTACTGGATGTGTTTGTGGCTGCAGATCAACCCTTGACCCTAACTCCCTAGCATAATTTGCTAGGAACCATACCCATTCTGGCAAATTCCAACATCCACATGGGAAATCGTACAAACACACTGTTGGACTTAGATTCTGGAGGTATGCCAAACCCAATGTAAAAGACCATCAGTTTAGGGGTACTGTACCTATCCCAACAGATTCCAACAAAACCTGCTGTTGGGCTTTGATGGGTTGAGTTCGGTTAGGGTTAAGGTAGGATTTTGGCACATTTCAATAAGCCGTTTCCCAAACATACAAAAATTAAGGAGACTGTTTATCAACAAATAACTGTCTAATTACAGCACTGAATGGGAATTGGAACCAATGATGTTTAGAGCTGTGTCAAGTATACCGAATATACAAGCAGCATTGTTCTGATCTAGAGAGGATGAAGAAAAAACATGTATGTGATGTTATTTTAGGAGAATAAGTTGCATGGTTTTTTTTGGGTCAAATGCCACAACTTTGTGTGCAATCACGTTACACGCATGATAGGAGAGCTTAGATTCGCCAATATTTAATTAAACTCAAGGTAAATTTTTGACCGGTACGCACAAACCCTAATCAGTGGCCCATTTAATTCCTAATTGAATCTTGTAAATTTCAACTGGCACACACACTTCACAGTTCCTTACCAGCTTTACCAATTTTTACCTGCACACACAGTTTAGGGTGGCAAATGTTAAACCTAATGGACATGTTTCAAATATTCAAACATCTGAATAATTTAGTGAATACGTATATGTGTCTCCACAAATATTTCACGAAATAGATATATGGATTTTACTCAAAAAGTAGGAATTTCCAAGGTATACGTATCGGTCGCAAATTAAAGTATTGTATGTAAGGGATACTAGGTTGGAATTTCAACCCAGGGAAGTAATTCTGGTTAAAATAAGAGCATTGTGAAAATAGCTTTCGACCCTCTCACCTCACAATTTTGTACAGGAGAACAAAGCGATGTCTCGAAAAGGATACAAATTAGAGTATGCATGTACTGTGCACCCATTATGTTCAATAATTGAGTTTATTTATAGATTTATTTATTTATTTATTTCTTTATTTCTGGTAATGAAATCAAGGATTCCTCAAAAGTGCTCTAGGCACTCTACATGTAGCTCGAAATCCTTAAGAAAACTGTATAGAGAGGAGACAATGAGAAGAAATGACAGTTTTAGAGGTGGGAGGAAAACCCAGAAGATAATTCTAAGAAAAACCCCATGGAATCAGGTAGGGAAGGAAAACCCAATCCACATATTGGCCCAGGCGGGATTCGAACCCAGGCCACAGTGGTGGAAGGTGAGGAAACTACTGCTACGCCAGCCTGACTCTCGTGTTTATGACAGGCATACAAACTGAACACTCGATTACAATTCATGTTCGTTTCCATGTTTCTTAAAAAAAGATTAGTTTGGTTTGGCAGCTTGGCTGCAGCTTGAATGTAACTCTGGACGTTGGTTGTTCTCTTGCAGGCTGCCTCAACCTGACATTAGTTCATCAGGCGGACTGTCGTCGCAGACGGAACCCGTCCACATTCTCACTCCACGATTCAGCAATACCGTCAACACGGTAATCATGTTCATTCATGTAAAAACATTATTAGTTTGTATTCTGCGAGTGGACAGTAAAACTTGACACACATAAGAAAACACACGTGTCACAAGGGTTTCTGAAAGACAACCTTTATGTATTAGTTTTCCATTGCATGGACTCTGGAGTCATTAAATCCCAGAGTTCTAACCAGTCACTGAATTTTGAGTCTAGTTGAGTCATTTTAAGGAAGTGACTCGAGTCATTAGGTCAAGAAGGTTGAGTCAAGTCACAGTGTGTGGTTGAGTCGAGTCAAATGTGTGGTGGAGTCGAGTCAAATTTATGCTAGAGTCAATTCAATATTCACTGGTATTTGAACACCATCTAATAAATTACAGAATGGAAGAATGAACACTGGGCACCAGTTTATTATAGATCCAAAGACTTAATATATGCTGCATGGTACCCAATAGACAGCTTCTGCTCGACGTTTCTACCAAAAATCTACGTAACAGTACACAAGAAGTGAAACTTCAGTAATATCTCTGGTTTAGCTTCGGGTCTGGAATAAGTTTCACGCTGACGTCAAAACCAAATTTCAAAATACCAAACCGTTTCTGATTATATAGAAATATATCTAATTATTTTTTTGAAACCAGGACATATATTTAGCCGGAGTTCCATCAAGGGCTAAAGAAATCACCTGAAGGGGATGATCAAATCAAGAATTGGGAAATTTGTTTAAAGTCTGGTTCCGGGATAGTAGTTGATGTGCTACATTATAAACCACAAGATGGGAGTCAGTCATACGATGTGTATATGTACGCAATAAGCAGCCACATCTTGACGGTAACGCAAAGTACGCCAACGTAAAGAACATTCTACTGTAAGTAACTGCAAATTTAATTTTGTGCACAGTTTCGGGACTCGAGTGTTATTAGCCTTCAACTTGAGTCAAGTCGAGTCTTCTGATGCATTAGGGACTCGAGTCGAGTTGAGTCTTCTGATGAGGGACTCGAGTCGAGTAGAGTCATTTGCTTGCAGTGACTTGAGTCGAGTTGAGTCAGTTTGCTGATGGGACTCAAGTCGAGTCGAGTCACCGGAAATTGTGTCTCGAGTCAGACTTGAGTGGGAAATTGACTTGAGTCATTACAACTCTGTTAAAACCGCCAATCAGTCAATCTTAGTAGTCTCTCCTAACTGTTTCAAACTCCATGTATGTTATTAAAATCTTCATCACTTTTTGGCTCGGTGTGACTCTGGAATGCCAGTTGAAATTAACAGGCCACCAAACATACTTTAATAAGAAAAAAAAAAAAAATTTGGGAGGCTAATCATCCTTACTCGCAGCTGGTATGCTGACGTGGGTACAACGTGGTTGGGACGCTGGCACGTAAAGGCGCCTATTGCTGCCAGCCACATCAACCCACATATGACCACGGAGCACAGCCTGAGATCGAAAGTGTTTGATTTTTCTGGAGGGAGGAAAACTGGAGGGCCCGGAAAAAAACCCTCGTGGCACAGGAGAGAACCAACGCACAACTCTACTCACATGCGATCCACGGCCAGGATTCGAACCATGGTCACCTTGGTGAGAGGCGAGCGCTTTACGCACAAGCCACCCATGCCACCCCCCATTTATACTTGAATATTGCCATTATTTCCCCCAATCTTTCAGGAGGTGTTTAAGTCTCTACTGCGCCTGCTGGACTGGAGCTGGAACAAGCTGGCGGAGGGGATACTGGTGGCCCTCAAGCAGGGCGGTAAGAGGCTGCTAGACTTTGCCTTGGACCTGGAGAGACTCATGTACATTGCCACGGCTTGCCTGAGACTACTGCGGAGCTACGTCTGCGAGGTCTACCCAAGCCCATGTAAGATTGCTGTCAATTTTACAATTTAGCCGTGGCTCTGCTTAACATAAGCAAATAATGTAACTGTTGTAGAATATTTCATGCTAGTTAAATTTATTGTATTGCACAATATTGTGGGAACTGAGACTGGCACGTGTGGTCTAGCGGTAGAGCATAGGATTCATGATCTTGGGATTGTTGGTTCGAGCCCCACCATAGCCATGCGTGTTGTGCCCTTGAGTAAGGCGCTTTACCTCAATTACTTCTCTCAACCCAGATGTTAAATGGCTACCGGCATTATTCAATGCTGGGAAGGTAACAGACTCGCTGTGGAGGAGGTGTGGCTGATGTTTACGCAGACACAGAATTTATATTTTAAACTTTTCTTTTTTGGGACTGTTCAGCTGCCTTTAGCAAGAAACAACCCACAGAGAACGGCCAGCTTCCGGAGTCCATCGCGGCCTGCTGTGACCTGCTGAGGCTGATCCTGTCCAACTCCACACAGCCCTCCATCCAGCGTCTCATGGACCGGACAACAACGACAGCGGCTGAGACGCAACGCCTGAGGGCGCTGTGGGAGAGCATCCTGACAGAGTGCCACCGGACGTTCGTCTCCTGCTTCCACGCCTTCTACCCGTCAGCCCAGCTCAAGTGGATGTTTCTGTGTGAGCTGCTGGGCTCCATGGGCAGCGTGAGTGTTGAAAATTAAAACTTGTATACTGAACCTAGCCCCCTGAGGGTGTGCGAAGAAAAATCATATTTATAATGAGAAGATTAAGGATTGTTAAAAGAGAATTAAAAGCTCAGTACACAAACTTTTCAGCGGTTATCCTATTACACGTGTGTGTTGTACGGAATGGCGTGCGCATCTTAGAAAAGCGCAATATGCGGAGTGCGGTATGGCCCGAGGCCGTGCTACATGGTTATATGTAGCATGGCTTGTTGCCATGGATCGACCAATCAGGATCGAGGATTCAAGTTTACTTGAAGATAATTAGTTGTGTTCTCCCTTCATGTATTCATTGTTTCCTAACCATGGGTACATTTTCCCCAATTTTTTATTTCCGTAAAACTTTAACACCCATTTTATAAGATCCTGCCCCAAATGTTAGAATACGTACCCCAATCTTATCATTATTGTTACTTTAAGAACCATTTCATATTTTTGCTGGTCCCAGAGGGCCAGCATAGATTCCTCTTTGTACCTATCTCACTGACTGACGGGCTGTCACTGGTGAGCTTGGCAGTGCTGTCGTACAGGATTACCCCCAAATGGGCTAAATCCGGCCCATTGTGTTGACCTGCAACCAATTTCATGAAAAAGTGTGTAGTTTGCGCCATGCGTAAGCGTTACGCAACAAATTTGTTGCGCAGCTGTGCAATAAACTTACGATCAATTTCACGAAACTCTGGCATAGCTGCGCAACGTTTTAAATAATCTAAACCTCTTGGACAAGGATAGTAACAGCATTTACAACAGCTGTTTGTGTACGAATTTGTTCGTTCACGAAACAGTGGTTGAATCACCTCAGCCCGCCATTTTGAAAGTATTTTTTTTCAGCTTTCTTCGGAATCGTGCGGCAACTCTAAAAATTCTGTCACAAGTAAAACAGCAATTAATGTTCCTCAAACAAGAAGCTGTGAGTTTCTTGTATCAACATTGATAAGTTATGCGATGACAGGCTCCACGGTGATCACAATTTACTTGTACAATAGGTCATTTTCAGTCGCTACGCCACAACTTACGCCACCTAAAATGATTGCGTAGGTTACACCATAAGTTATTGCACAAATCGCGGACTTACGCACTATGTGACTTTTGTGAAATGTTTCGTAAGTGAAATCTTGTGCAGTGTGAGAATTGTTGCACAACATGTGAATAGTCCTTCTGAATCAATTTGAATAGACTTTGGGATAAGCTTTATTTTGCCCCCTTCCTTTGTAGGCGGAGCAGGCAGAGCCCAACGGCAACCTCCTAGGGGCGGTCCTGGAGGCCCTGTGCCACCCCTCGGTGCGCCTGTCTAGCGTCCTGCCCATCCTGAGGGACAGGGACCGGGACGGTGAGGTCCCAAACGTCTTGACCAAGCAGTGCTCCATGGAGGACGCCTCCCCTCTCGCTGGGGCTGCTGCCTCCGCCATCGCGGCCGAAGTGAGTTCAAACTCTGTGGAGCTTGTGGCTCTCATGGAAGAACGCATACAGGTTTGCATGCCCGACATTAACACTCTTTTTCTTGTTTAAGTGCTGTAATTCAACTAACTCATGGTTGTGCTGTGGTTGTGTTTATTGTGTCTGTGGGCCACAGTGTGCTACCTTTTGTTATGCACGATACATTGAAGGGAATGAGCGTAGTGTCCAGACGCCACTTTGGTTTTGTACAAAGTTTATGGAGAGTCAACCGCCTTTTTAAATTATTTTCTAATAAAATCCTAACCGAAATGTTTCTCAATCCCAGATTCATGTTTTTTCCAACATTTTTGCAATGACTGGCCTTCATTGAGATAATATATTATGAAAAAAGTGGCGTCAGGATGCGACATTCTCTCCCATTGAAGGAGTTGTCAAAGGGGGTTATTATTTTCATTACAGTGGAACTTCACTGTTATGAACAATGTGGTTTGGTATTGTGAATTTGGGTCTCAATATATTGTATAATATTACAAAAAAAAAGGTCAGGAGCCATTCTATAGTAACATTTGATACAGAAAAAGAATTGATAAAGTGAAATTGGTTGGAGCGGTGTTAATTATTTATATCTGGTAATGAAAGCAAGATTTATTTTGGGTTGTAATACCGGTACATTGTTGACATGTTCCTATGCATAATTTTCTTAGATTTTTTTTCTTGGTTCGTTAGGCCTTCTGTGTTTTTTAAAATGTGTTTTCAGATCTACATGTACATTGTATACTGTGTTACAGGGTGAATCAGAAAGATAGATACCCGATTTAAAAAAAAAAAAAATTATTTGAAGACTGGGGGGTTGAAAATAGTAGATCATTGGAAATCCCTGTATATTAGCTGCCATCTGGTGAAATGGGCAACATGATATGACAAAATGTCTTAAAGTTACAATGTATCAAACAAAATAGTGGAAAAACAAAGTTTTCCACGGGATACCCAATGTGCAGAGACGTGTCGGTTTTACTACAGACTAGGCGTGAATGACATGCGCACATAACGGAATCCGTAATCATTCTCAGTCATGTGAATGGAATAACAAAATGAGACTGAAACGGTTTCAGAAAACTGCATTCATGTCAGATGTTTGTAAAATATCAGCTTTGCTGTAATCAGAAACATTGTTGAATAAACAAAATGAAAAGTAAAAAAACAAAACCGGGCATTTGTAAGGTTAAAAGTACACGAGTTTGTTTCTGCATTCAAAAGGGGACGGTGAACAATAGAGGACAAAATAGGGTCCTCAATTCCCGAAGGTCCCCAATTTAGCGATGTGTACAAAACATATGGGAGGTCTTCCTAAAAAGTACAAACAAAAGAGGGACAATAGGGGTCCCCTATTGCAGGCAAATACACACTTGTGTGTGGGTGTGTTTTAGCCTGATTCAAGGATCCGTTAACAAATATGATTTTCATGAATTTTGGGAAAAAAATCAGTATCTTCTGAACCACAAAAGCAAAATTAATGAAACAAAAATTAGGTTACTGTTAAAACCTTGTTGTTTGTGTTGCTATCTTTAAATTGCTTTATACTGGTATTCAAGTTGACGATTGTTTTTTTCCTTCTTTATACAGGGTACCCATCTTTTATTTCTCACCCTGTAGCTTATGCTATTTACGTGTGAGATGAACTGCAAATGATATCATGGTGTATTTCCATTATTTGTAGTTTTTGTTGTTGTTTTTGTTTTGTGTTTTTTTTTCCAAAGAGTTTCTGTGCCAGACACAAAATGGCTCCTTCCTTTTGTGCTCCTATTTTGCACTATTTGCAAATGTAGATGGTTGAGATTGGATAATTTGATTGTTGAGATATTTGGTTTGTGGTTTTTGTAAAGATACTTTGCACAACATCTGAACATGGTTGGGAGTTGCGATTTCCGGAGACATCTTTTGTAGTATTCCACACTTATTCACGTATTTCATTCCTCTTTTAATTACATATCTAACCCATTAAGTAACATGAAAGAGTTTTTTTCTCAGTTTGTAAATGCAGCATTATTAAATAATTCTGTTTTTCTGTCTTACAGTTGGATGGGGTGAGGTCGAGCCCCAACTTCCATGAAATCTTGGACAGGCTGCTGAACATACTCATCACTCCTGTCCAGCAGGCACTGAGCAAGGTAAGGAATAATCTGTTTTGAAGCAAACATTTCTATAAAATGACTGCTTTTTCACTTTGTAGGAGATCCACATTTTGTCAGGGATGTAGTCGAGTCCATCAGACGTCCAGTCACAGGCAACACGGATGAACAACGGACGAACAATGACATGCTTATTAAGGAATATACAACATTTGCTTTTGATGTAATCTTCAGAATTAAATGGATTGGGGGGGGGGGGGTGTTTAGTAGTTTAAAGCAAATATTGTCACACTGACTTGTTTGAAGTTTTGTGTTCGTAGATCCTGAAAAAAAACCAAGAAAAACAATCACGTTCCTGTAGTCTGGTTCCCTGACCCCACTTAAGATTATATCATTTATAAATGTCTGGAAATTGTAAGGGCAGGGAACCAGTCTAGCTGGCTTAAATATGTTAAATTGGGGGCAGTATTTGAAAAAAAGCCAGTGTTTTCCAACGCTGGTCGGCCGACCAGCATTGGAAATTGATACAAAAATACCACTTTTCTTGAAAATGACAGCACACCAGGTGCCATGATTTTACAGGATGCTTTAGACTGTCATTCACTAACAGTCCAGTTAGCTATTTCATAATAATTTGGTAGTTTTGTTTTTTGATGTTTGCAAATGTTGTATATTCCCTTTCAGTTATTCTGCACTTCTGTCATTATTATTATAAAGACTGTGAACCATTCAACGAGTACCTTGGTTTTGAACTATCAAATATGTTTCAAAGCCTTCAGAGTATTGCACATCATTTGCATATTTCTGATCTTCAAATATTCATGCAGTTTTGTCAAAGTTGTACAAAATATCATTGTTGGTTTTTCTAAGAAATTGCCGAATGCTGTTTGATTTTGTGTTTCCAACAGAAGCAGTCGACCTGTTACCCACTGCTAGTCTCCAATACCAGCCGTCTCCTTGCCTGCGTCATTGCGGAGCTCTCTGCAGCTGCTATCTCCTCAGATGTAAATACAATCGCAGAGAGTTTGTTAATACATCAGTTATTTAAGTTGCCTCTACTGCAGGTTGAATGCTACATGCATCGCTTGGATATTGTGTTGTAGAAAAATCACTCTCAAACGATATTTGATTAAAGAGCATGCTGAGAATAAACAGAATTTTGACTTTCCAATTTTAATTAGGGCGATTCACAATGCAGTGCACCACCAAGAGTTTGCTATGGAGAGTCCTTTTTTCAAGTTTAAGGTCGACAAAACATGGCCCATTTGAATGAGTGTTAGTAGACAACTTCACCTAATTTTGTATAGATTGGGGCATAGCATTCTGCCGCTTTACAAAAACACCCATATTGATAAAAAGAAAAGGAAAGGGCAAACATATAATCGAATCATGCGCTTGCAAAACTACTGACCGGAAAAACTAACCATTTCAAATGTCCCGTGCTGCGAATTAGTTGATCATCTCCCACAATGCACTGGGAAAAATTAACTCTCCGTGGCAAACTCTTGGTGGCGCACTGCGTTGTGAATCGCCCGAATGAATCAGCTTCCTAAATCTGCTTAGAATGAGTTTTTTTTTTTAAAGTTACTGCCAACCTAACAACCTTAAAATACATTTTTTCTCAATATTCACCACAATGCAATGCAAAGGCAGTGGTACGTTAGCTGAAAATACATGAGGGGAAAAGGTAACGAGCATACAGTGCATTTCATTTAGTACATGTATGTCAAAATAATGCTATAAATGCAGTGCCAAGTATGCAGAGCATTAAACTCATGGTAATGTTTCCCATTTAAGTCCACATAAACAAAGTGGGATCTACCGGTATATTAACATAATACTTTTGAAACTTATTGAACCCTAACATCCTAAGGGCTCTTTGGGGGTCAAGGACCAAATACTTCAGAATACGACATCTGCTGGGGCCAATTTCACGGCGCTGCTAAGCACAACAATTTGCTTAGCACAAAAAAGTCTGGCTTCACAAAAGCAGGTTACCAGCCAAAACTCCACGTGATGTATATTGCTTGTTGTTTGCTTAGCATGAAAATCACATGGAGTTTTTTGGCTGATAACCTACGTTTATATGCCAGACTTTTTTTGTGCTAAGCAAATTTTTGTGCTTAGCAGCACCATGAAATTGGGCACTGTTGTCCACACTTGTATGGAAAGAAATGCATACTACAGGTTACTTCTCAGTAGTATTTTGTAGCTTTAGGGGCTGTTAGAGTTAATGTTGGATGTGCCAACAAGCCATGTATTTATTTTTGAGCTTACCCTGATCAAATCAAACGTCCAGTCACAGGCAACACGGATGAACAACGGACGAACAATGACATGCTTATTAAGGAATATACAACATTTGCTTTTGATGTAATTTTCAGAATTAAATGGATTGGGGGGGGGGGGGTTAGTAGTTTATAGCAAATATTGTTACACTGACTTGTTTGAAGTTTTGTGTTCGTAGATCCTGAAAAAAAACCCAAGAAAAACAATCACGTTCCTGTAGTCTGGTTCCCCGACCCCACTTAAGATTATATCATCTATAAATGGTTGGGAATTGTAAGGGCAGGGAACCAATCTAGCTGGCTTAATGATGTTAAATTCGGGGCAGTATTTGAAAAAAGGTGAGGTTAGGTGAGATTAGAGTTAATGTTGAGCATACCCTGATCAAATCAAACAGGGTATAAGTAAAATCTTCGTTTTCCTTTTTATGGGTGCTCTTTAATAACATGTTTTGGTTTGATGCAGGGTGAGAGCCAGGCCACCGGCCGTCCCCTGTTCTGCACCCCTACCCGCTACGGCCGGGTCAGCCAGGGTCGAGGCTGGAGTACGGGCAACGGTACACCGGACGCTGTCTGCTTCAGTGTGGACAAACCGGGCATCCTCATCGCCGGGTTCTGTATCTACGGTGGAGGGGGACACTACAACTATGAACTGGAACTCCTAGACGGAGTGAGTTTTGTAGGACTACTTTAATGATGGCTTGTTTTTGGTTAGATGGAGTAGTTGTTGCTACTTAAGTGTATATCAAATGAGGTTTTGCCCTTCACCGACGTTTTTTAACACTGTATACTCAGTGAGTATACAGTGTTAAAAAACGTCGGTGAAGGGCAAAACCTCATTTGATTTATATCACCCCGACGCAAAATTCCATCTTATAATAGTTCATGCGGTACCCGCTGCTATGTACATCAGATTCGAACCAGCCAACCGATCCCGTTAGCTCGGTGGTCGAGTGGTGGGACATCTGCACTAGAAAGCAGGAGGTTGTGGGTTCGAGTCCCACCCGAGTGATTTTTTCCAACTTTCACTCGGGAGGTAACACACTGAGTATACAGTGTTCAAAAATGTCGGTGAAGGGCAAAACCTAATTTGATTTATATCACCCCGACGCAAAATTCCATCTTATAATACTTAAGTGTACTTTCCAACAAAGCTACTTCTATTGCTGCTAGTTACTTTTAATTCTTTTGGCTGTGCTAAACAAGGCTGCCTTTCACTGGGATATAATACCTGTTGCAGCATTGATGTTTTTGTTAAAGGATCACTTCCTTTTCTTCCTGCATTTTTTCGTTTGAAGCAAGAAAATTACTCAAAATCTTAAAGTAGGGTGTATACAAACTAACCTGTGGAAGTTGTAGCTCAGTGGCAACTACATGTATACATTCTTTTCGTAAAGCATGTTTAAAGGTGTGCCCGCGGGCACACTTTTAACAGCACTTTCAATTATTGTTTTCTTCTGAACGATGCCATTCTAGGCTGAATATCTGTGTTTAATACATCCCTATTTTCATTTATAAAACAATTTTTCTCATCAAATTGGTCGGTCTGTTTCTGCATTTTTACTGATGTTTTTACCAGTTGTTTTTACAACAGTGAATGAAAAATACAAGCATGCAACTTTTACTGTACAAAGTCTTGTGTGATTTGGAGTTTTCTTGTTTTTCTAAATTCCCAGTTGCATGCCTGATAATATTGAAAAGATAAACTTGATTCCCTTTTGTCCCTCCATACTTGCAACTTTTGATTCCTTTATTTGGTCATAACTCACAGAGTGAGACAGGCGCCGACGGCCACAGCCATCGCTGGAACTCCTTGGAGCTGGTCAAGGGCTCCTACGGCCCCAGCGACCTGGTCAACGACGTGGCCGAGGTCAAGTTTGACCGACCGGTAGCGGTCAAGGTGGGTGCTTAAATCGGAACAGAATAGAAGGCATTCGTCAGATGCCGCACCACCCTAAATTTACTTTTTGGAAAGGTCATGATTGGCTCCTGCATGTATGGATCTGCATTATTAACCCTCTTTGGCTACACTATCATAGCAGTCAAAACAAGGAAGTGACTGTTAGAACTCCCTTCTTAATAAGCCAACTGCGCGCATTCGTAACCTGTGACAACGCACATTGTTTGTCTCAAATGCCCTTTGACAGTACCCACAATGTACAAACAGCCTTTTTGTAAAGTCAGTGGCGCGATGTTGTCAAAGGCCATTTGAGACAAACAATGCGTGTTGTCACAGGTTATGAATGCGCAGTTGGAACTCCTAAAAGGCTTATTCGATATAGCCTTGCTTTGATTGGAGGTGATTGATATGCCGGTTGTACCTACCAGTTACCTCTTTTGTCTTTTGGTGGAATTTGACTTGTCACAGTGCTAACACGAATGGGATCTGACTTTATTTTGCTAGCCTGTATACAATGCATGGCAGAGAAATTGGAAGACATTTTTGACTGTCTGTGAGTGATCTAACAATAGGAAGGTTAAAACATTTTTATATCAGTCTTCACGTGCGGTACCACACTGAAACGAAAAAGGTCATTCTGTAAATTTGGGTCCACTTTTTCCTGACCCTGTTACATCTGACAGCTATGTTTTCATGATTCTGATGCACTACTAATACCGGAGTCTTATACAGGGTGAGTCAAAAAAAGCGGAACCCAAACCCCCAAAATTATATTTCATATTTAAAAAAATATGTAGCACCAAAAATAATAATGACTGGAAAGCCAATTTCATAAGCTACTTTTGGATGAAAAAATTGCTGAAATTGGTCAATCCGTTAAAAAAATATCACCATTTAAACACAATGACCCTAAAACCTGTCTCGTCCCAAAAATGCGATTTCAACAATCGTCGTCACAATTGTCTTCAAACATCACCAGCGATGAAATCTTAGTTTAAACATTAACAATATGCAACAAAGTCCTTTTGAAGGCCCGTCTTTTAAAAAAGTAGATTTTTATAAATCATATTGTTTGCCTAACCAGGGTTGTTAATCAAAATATTGTGTGCTACAGTTGGTGACAGTTGTTGAAACAAGTTTTCTGTGTCATTTTCTTTGTTGTTCTAAACAGTCAAAAACACACAATAAATTGATTTTTTGGACGAGACAGGCTTGGGGTCATTGCGTTTAAATGGTGGTATTCTTTGAACGGATTGAGCAATTTCAGTAATTTTTTCATCTAAAAGTAGCTTTTGAAATTGGCTTTCCAGTCGTTATTATTTTTGGTGCTACTTATTTTTTAAAATATGAAATACATTTGAGGGTTTGGGTTCCTCTTTTTTTTACTCACCCTGTGTAGCGCACGTATCTACCAACAATTAGGTACTCAAGGCGCTGGTAATGCAGTCATCATCCAAGAGTGATCATATGAAGCATAAAACCAAGCAAGTCACTTTTAATGAAACTTGAATGGCAAATTACAAATTTCACATGTAAAGGAGACAGGAAAAATGTTCACACTTTGGCCCCTCAATTTATACTATAGAATGACTCCAATGGATTTGGAAGCCTCACAAATGAAGATCATTATTCACCGAAACGTTTTGGTAATGTCTACAACACTGTGATGATTTGAATATCCTTGGTACTTGGCCATATGGTTGAATACTTGTATACTAGATAACCATCAGGTTTATTTTCGGTTCCCTGTGTAGGAGGGGGTGAAGTACGCAGTGCGGCTCAGAAATCACGGCAACCGAACGGTGAACGGAGACGCTGGCACAACCCACGTCAAATGCCCTGACGGAGTGGTGTTCACCTTCAGCTCCTGCCCCCTGAGCAGTAACGGTACCAGCCAGACGCGGGGCCAGGTGCCTCAGATCCTCTACTTCAAGTAAGTACAAAGCAAGTTGCCATAAAATGTAGCAATTGAGCATCACTATGAATGAAGGGCTTTCACTTTCCTTCATTCGTGGGAACTATTCCTGAATTTAGATTTTATTACTGGTTTGGACCCTTTACAAAGGGGCAGTTCCACGGTGTTGGATGTACAGACCTTTTAACAGTGGTCACAAAACACCATCTGCTGCTTGTGCACAAAATCCAACGAAAGAGGTGCTCTGCATGCAATCACGAACATGAGATTATTGTAAGTCCTTGGCCAAATTCCACGTCTCTTCTTACTGTATGGAGCAAGTGGCTTCTTACTGAGGCAGAAAATGCTGCACTTCGGTGAACTACGTCGTGGGCTAGCAACGGATTTTGTTTCGTATGCATGTGTCTTAGACTTCAATACTTAGGTCCTCCTGAGCAGCTGGGCACACCGGCCCGCAAGATGTCCTAAATGTACTCGGAATGCACTACGCCAGGTCTTCTTAGGTCTTCCTCTCTTCCGCTTCTGCCCGATGGAACCCTCTGCATTGCAGTCCTGGAGTGCCGGTGATTTAGTGGGCACAGAATGTAGCCAGCTAGACATTAGCCTGCACTCCATCACTATCTCCTGCAGTCTCTGGGAATTGGCTTCCTGTAGAGGTTCTCCTTTGGTGACATGATCATGATAAGTGACACAGAGCATTCTGCGCAGGCATCATGGATGAAAGAAGTCGTTGGTGAAAGTTTCTGCACAACTCGAGCTGTGTCCTTCCACGTTTCAGGGAGTTGATCGCAGTGGGCATTGCAGTACGCATGTGTACATCTCATAAATATGGGTTCTGCACTTACAGGGTTATCTAAGAATAGCTGCAAAAACAGAATGGTGTAAGCTCAGAAATCCATGCCATAAAAATGAACCCTGATCTTGAAATGAATCTTGTGTTGCATTCCATCACCAGCACTGCGGCCGACACTGAGCACACTCAGACCGAGTCCCACTCGGTGGTTCTGGAGCGTCAGGCAAGAAAGAGCGCCTTGTCCATCACTAGCATCATCATCAAGGCTGCTACCGAACTCCTGCACCAGGCACAAGGATTACAAGGTCAGGTCTTGGAGAAAGGTCTTGTAACCTTCTTTCAATGTTTTATGTTAATAAAATTTCAATTAAATCTTTCACAAGTAACTTTGAGGCAGCTAAGTGCACTGTGAGCAAAAGAAATGCTCTGATAGATCGAAATACATATTCCACGTAGTTTATGGCATTATTCAGAAATTTTCCATCATTTACTTTTGAGGAAGTTTTTTAAGACCAGTCACTTCAACATGGAATAGCTCCTTTGGCAAAGTAGCATGCAGGCCCAGCCAAGGTTGGACTCCGTCGTGTGTACACACGACGGAGTCCAGGCTATGAACGTCTGCTGCCAAAGCGAACAAATTTCTAAAACATGTTTTTCATATTTTTTACCTGATGGAGGAAGCTGAAATTTTGTTTACATATTCCTTGTGTCCAGAATTATGCATACGCTTGGTTAAGAAAAGGCAAATATGTCTGCGGGCGGCGCGTTTACTGAGAATAAACCGCAATTCTCAGAACGAACTCCCCTTGTGAAGACTTACGCGCGCGCCTGCATGCACACCCCACACGGGGCCGCATACGACACGCGTGTATCTTCACACGGGAGTTTGTACTGAAAGTGTTTTCAACAAAAGCATGGATCTGCGGTTTATTTTCGGTAAATACATCGCCCTCGGACATATTTACCATTTCTAAACCCAGCGTATGCATAATTCTGGACACAAGGAATATGTAAACGAAGTTTCAGCTTCCACTATCAGGTAAAAATATGTACAAAATGTTTTCAAATTTTTTTTCGCTATGGCAGTCGAATTAATACCCTGGACATCAGTCGTTTTGCAATGAAGATGACGTCCAACCTGGGCTACGTGGTGGCCCAATGAGCATTATCCTGAAGTGTTCAGTTTTAGAGGTGGCAGAAATAAAATGCTCAACGAAGTTACAGTTTCTAGCCTGCTCTTCAAGCACAAGGATTTTGAGAGTGTCGAGCACAAGGATTTTGAGATTTTCAATCCTGTAACATCTTCTCTGTCCTCTTCAGATGCTGAATTGTCGGAGGTCCTGGGCTCAGCGCATCTCTTCATCAGCCTGTTACCCCTCGTATTGGCCCATATTGGGCCGGTTGCTGTATCAGATCCCAAGGTACGGAAACCATTCCGAGCACGCCATCAATCTGCAATCGTGGATGCTCCATTCAATGGCGAAAGCATTGTGCAGGCTATTGTACAAAGCAAATGCCCTGGGACAGATTGTATGAACAATAGCTGACACAATGATTTCACTATTGAAGGGAGCAGTGATATCATGCTCAGAATTGTCTATTCTCCACACTAAGTGTCTTACAGGAACTCCCCCCGCCCAAGGATAACACTTGCGGAACCTTAAGGAATCGAACATGCCAAAAATTTGGAGACTGCTAACATAGGGCGGATATCTGAGATGGTAGAGGGTTAGTCACTTTCTGTGAAACAACCTTAGTTTTCCTGGGCGCTTTGTTACATGATTTTTGGAAACCGATTAAATTGATATCGATTCAGTGTGGGAAGAATATAAGGTACTGTGTGCCATGCTGACAAGGTATGCTGGTACATTGTGTGTGTGTGCACTGATGAGTTTTGAGCAAAGGGTGCATGTCGGATGTGCTGCAGAAGATGTATAAACACAAAGTTTGTTCACAGAGGGACACATTTGAGTGCAGGCACAGGGTAGAAATTGTACTTAAACGTAGACTACATCATTTGTAATTTGTGCATTATGTTCGTTTGAAGCAACAGAAGTGCTCAAAATCGAAAGGAGGGTGCTTAACTACTAACCTGACAAAGGTTTAGCTCAGTGAATGCTGTATATTCAGACAAAAACAATATGCTGTGCCATGTTTTGAATTGTGCCCAAAATCAGCATCCGGGGCCCGTTCTTATGCAGCCGATTGCAGGTACGTGATGCCGCGCATTTAACCGATAAATGATAGCAACCACATGCGCGTGGGCGTTTTTTTTCCAATGCTTGCGCAACCTTCGCCGAATTAAAAATCGAGCTACTAACGGAAATTTTCAAGAATGCGTGTTTAGACGCATTGTTGGAAATGGCCTTCTTTCATTGTTTTCTTCAAAACGATAGCTTGCCAGAAAGAATATTTTCACAGGGAGTTTAGTGCCATTACTATCTTTAAACCAAGTATGTTTTTGAACAGTAATTTTGTCAGTTACTCTTTGGATTACTGTCAAATGATTTTCTTTGTATCACATGTAGAGCGCTGTGCAGATCTTGGACTTGATCCAGGAGCTCCTGCCCCCAGTGGCCGCCATCAATCTCCAGTTTTCCCCGCCCACTGACTCCGCATCAGCCATTGCCGGCCACGCCCTTGACAACATAGCCAGCCAATCAGGCGAGGCCGGGGGCGGAGTCACCACCTCATCTCATTATGCTGTGGTGGAGAGTGACCACCCTTACAAGGCTGCCACTGTGGCCAACTACAAGGTTAGTAGTAAGCCTACTGAATTCTCAAACTCGATTTTATGTGATTCAGATGTTTCTTACTGTGTCCGCACAGTCTTTAACAATCAGCCTAGGGATTGGTATACGTTATTCATTCTTCTAAAACTGCATTGTACATGCTTGGTGGAGTATGTTGAACTACTGCTCATTAAAATGTTTGTTGTTGTAGATCTTTGCAAGACCCAGGCCTTTGTATGCTTCATGCTGTCTTAAAGGGAAAATACAACATTTGCAAACATCAAAAAATAAAACTACCAAATCATTTTGAAATACCTTGCTGGACTGTTAGTGAATGACAGTGTAAAGCATCCTGTAAAATCATGGCACCTGGTATACTGTCATTTTCAAGAAAAGTGGTATTTTTGTATCAATTTCCAACGCTGATCGGCCAATCAGCGTTGGAAAAAAACTGGCTTTTTTTTCAAATACTGGCCCCAATTGACCATCGCACTTGTTTGCAATCGATTACACACTTATGAACGGGTACAAGCCAGCGTACTGGTTCCCTGACCTTACAATTCCCCAATGTATGTAAACTGCTCTGTTTCTTCTTAAATTGAGTCAGGGAACCAGACTACAGGAAAATGATTGTTTTTCTTGGTTTTTATAGCATTTTTGAACCCAAAACCTCAAAAAAGTCAGTGTAAGTATATTTGCTATATATTTCCAACCCCCCAATTCCATCCATTTCTAAAAATTACAGTAAAAGCAAATGATGTATATTCCCTTTAAGTTGTTTCTAGACAACTGATTCTGAGTACATTATTATGAAATCATTAATGTCAATAAAAATATTGATTAATGCGCCAAATTGTATAAAAACCAGCGAATCCTTGGAAATTGCTTGCCACAGCTCAAATCATGCAAGCCTGCCAGGCAACTAATGAAATAAGACTTAGTTCCACCAGCCTGTGGTAGTTGAGTGTTCATGCAGTCGGCTCGTAAAAACTGGAGCCCAGTAAATGAATTGAGGGGATGGCACATGCTACTCATGGATAAGTTTAAATACTGCTAAAGGTCGAGACACGGTTTCTAACTTTAGGTACAACTGACCATTTAAGAATTGTTTATGGAAGCTTTGAAAGATCTCTACAACCTCAATAATTGACCATAATTTGAAATTTGAACAAAGAAGTTGACTAGAGTTAGGTTTGAACCTGGAACCTCCAGATTGCCGTTCCGTTGCTCTACTAACTCAATTATCCAGCCCTTTGTTCACGGATCCCCGTTTTCCAGTGTCTTTGTTCAACAGCCATGTCTCCTGATTTTCTTGGATTTTTTACGTTTCTTTAATGCCATTTCAAATTGAGAAACATGGTAAAGAGTCTTGTGTGGTTTGGAATTTCCTCGTTTTTTTTTTCTAAATTCCCAGTTGCATGCCTGACTCAAAAGTGCAGGTCAGGAGCCATAAAACAGTTTATGTCATGTAGCCAGGGAATCGCACCCAACCCACGATGCTAGCAACATTAGCAATGCCGCGAACCTCAGGATTAGGAATTGGGGTTCACTCATAGAGGATGCAGCTGAAAGTGTTAATTTCTATGTATTTTGTGTCATTTTAGGTTACATTCCCGGAGACTGTGCAGTGGATGCTGCTGGAGTTTGACCCCATGTGTGGCACGGCCCAGCCAGAGGACGGTCTGCAGCTCTACATCCCAGCCAGGGGCGTAAGCTCCGCCCCAAAGGCAGCACCCTCCGCCTCGTCGACCACCATCAAGAAAAGTACAGGGGAAGAGTCGGCGGATGAGTTGCAGGTCTCTCATTGGCCGGTGCTGAGCCGTTTCCACGGCGGCAGTAACTGGCCCACGTCTGCGGTCATCCTTCCAGGTGCGATCACGAACTGTAACCATGTTAAATTTCATAAAATGCAACGCTGGTTAAGAGCTGTAGTAAATTGTTGGATTATGACTGTCAACACACGTAATAGGGTACACTGTACAAAGCTCCGTTGTGTTTTGTTGCATTTTGCTGCAGTAAGAAAGGTTCACGTATCGGCTTTCGTCGATCTCTTTGTTGCAGTTATAAGGTTGCTTAGAAAGTGCCTTATGAGTTGCTAGGGTTGATGTTGTTTGTGTTTTATTTCAATTGATGTCCCACTTACAATTTGGAAATTTGAAATATTTAAAAGTAGTTTCGAGATCTGAACATATCATACAGATGTACCTTTTATGGAGTAATGATACATTTAGACTTAACAGCTGTAAACGAGTCTTTACAGGTTAATCCCAAGTCAACAGGTCTCAAATCAAGACTTCACCGATTCCTAAGACTGATGACAGAGACACTCCTTTTTTCTTGTTTGTTCACCGTTTTCAGTGATTTGACTTGTGCTTCACTTGTAATTGAGATTTGCCTCAATTGCAGATCTGCTTGGATAAAATATTCAAATGCATCATACCGAACAGTAGTGGATTTCTCTTTCTTCTTTTCCGACTCAGGTAATGAAGTCAACTTCTCCTTGGAGACAGCCTCTGATTACATGAAGGATGAGAAGGCTAGCACCTATGGCTTCAAGTGTGCCATTGTGGGCTATGAGTGGTCAGCAAATGAAGAGGTAAGGCTGCGTCCAAATTGGCAGTTTAGCGGCTGCGGCTTTTTGTTTTGGGCTGTGGCATCCTTTGGTAAAGATCTGTAGGCTTAAAGAAAATGTCTGTTAGAGAGGTATACTTACAGCGATATGTACGAATACTTATACCAACATGCATTCTTGGATGAATTTTTGCCAAATTCTGACTTTCAGAAATGGAAAGAGAGTAAAATCTGTCACGAGCCAATGTGGCCCATCAGGCCGGCGTTTATATCCAGTTTCAGTAGCATGAAACGACTGAGAATATTTATACTCCCATTTATACTCCTGGGTGGAGAGAGACAAGTGAGAGTGAAGTGGCTTGCTCAATGACACAACATGCGACCAGCCGCTGGATTTGAACCCCTGAACCTCTGATCTTGAGTCACGAACCCTAACCACTGGGTCACACTCCCCTAAATGGACAACCAAGTTATTATTTTTTTTTCTGCAATGCCCAGGGCCTGGTTCAACTAGAGAAGGAGCTGGCCTACCTTGGCGGCATGTGCGCGGGATCCCTGCTTCGTAAGGACATCGTCCTGCCTCCAGTGATGGGGGAGGATGGGGAAGAGGAAGTGGAACCCATCGCAGAGGTTGCCCAACAGGTCAGTACAGTGCCCTCTATTGACACAATTTTTCCAGCTTCGGTTTCGGTTGTGATGCAACTTTGTCCTGGAGATTTAAGGAGATAAATCCCTAATTCTATGTTTATTGTTGCTCTGTTGTTGTTTTTGATTGATACCTGAAAGATGCGATGGTTTAAGAAGTGTATTTTTGGCTCAATGAGTGGGGGTGATAAATATGTTCTGTGTTTGATGCCTTTTAAAATGGCTACACAGTAAAACTTTGCCATAACACAAGCAGTGGGTTCCACAAAAGTTTGTTTGGTACAGCGATTGTTTGTTTTGGCGATTATCAGCCACCAAAACTCTAACTCCCCAGGCATTTTCTTCTAGGATGCAACCTCAATTCTGCAAAATTCTCCAACTGCCTCCATGCAAACATTGCATACATTCTCAATCCTGCTAAATCCTGCATTATCTGAACGTGGTCCTTGGAGGGGTTACCACTGCCTCAATCCTGTAAAATCCAGTTATCACTGTCAATATGTTGAGGCAGAGCAGTGACATCCTTGAGCAGTGCGGCGGATTTCAAGTATAATATAGGCCTAAATTCATGCATGGCTGAGCATAAACAATGCAAGGTCCGGCCCAAGACCTTGACACAGTGCATCCTCCAAAATCAGCCACACAGTTTGGCCATATAGCCTCAATCCTGCAAAATCCTCCATTTTGCAAAGAGCATTTTGGAGGATTTGGGAAGGTTAAGGTTGAAACAAAAATCGGAGACAAAGGGGATAAATGTTATAGTCAATTGTTCATCATAAGGATGGTTGTTAAAGTGCTGTTCTATAGTAAATAATGTCTTGTATTGATCTGACCTTTGCCTATTGACCAAATAAATGTTCCAAGTTTCTTTTTTCTTGTTAGGTATTTGGTGCTCATTCAGGGCTACTCGGCAAAGGTTTTGCCCTGCCCAATCCGCCTAGCATCCATCAGGCTCTAGAGGGCAGTCTTCCCCTCAGTACGCAATCCAACGAGAGGGCATTCCTGAAGGACTTTGTGCAGTGTATGCATGGAACGAGCGGCGGTCGACTAGCCAGGTCAGAACATATTTTGAAAAAGAAAAATGAACTTTTTAAGTTTCTTAAAATGGCCTATTTTAGTTTCTAGATAATTTGTGAGCAAATCCAATATCAGTCACAAGTATGAATGATTAATTTTGATTGATAGGCCTTTCTAAATATGGTGGCCAGTGAATGTCAATAGTAATAGTCAACCTTTTTCTCCCACAATATATTTGAAGCACAAATCATTGGCTTTCCAATGATACCAAATTTATTTCTTTAGCTTAATTTCTTCCAAAGATATGGCACAGCATCTTCAACAGTGTCTCGCCGAATTTCACTGACCTGATTTCGAGAAAAACATCTTTCAATAAAAAAAGATATGCATTGCGCCAACAGTGGCAGTGAAAAACGTTCTTCAGTTTGTCCACGCTTTGAGTATTTTTTCCCCAACAAAAATGCATAGTGCAGGGTTCGACCTTAACTTTTATTTTTAACTAGCCAGCCAGGCGACTGAAACATACTCATAACTTGCCTGCGGGCATTTTCACTAGCCTGCATGTTTTTCTTTTATAGAGTGTCTCATAAACAACAATGTGCATACATGTAAAAACGTGTATCCTGAGGCAATCTTGTCAGTGTTTCTAATAAACAGATCTAATAACTTAACCCTAATAAACGGTAAATAAAATTATACATCAGTTGATACAGGTTTGCTTTCTGAATTTAATGATTTATTTCTTCCTGTGCTTTTATCTTTGCCATATCCCAGTAATTTTTTACTTTGCCAGCCGGTCTATTTAAGGAATAGTTTGACTAGGCCGCCGCTGTTTGACTAGCATTTGGCTAGCGGGCTACCGCTAAATTCGAACCCTGATAGTGTGAATCTTGGATACCTTGGCTACTCAAAAAAACATACATTTGTGACTTGCTGTGGCAAAATGAGATATCTGGCAAAATTGAGTAATCGACGCCTGAAGTCGTGTACACCAGAAAAATAATGTCAAAATTTATATAATTTTTTTTCCTAATTTTAAGAAACCAAGGTGTCCAAGATTCACACTATAAGTTTTTTCTAGGAAAAAATAGCCCAAAAGTGGTAAAACTTAAGACCTTTTTTTCACTACCGTTGGCGGCGCAATGCGTATCTTTTGTTTCAAAGCAGTTTTTCTTGAAATGAGGTCGGCCAGTGATTTGCGCTTAAACATGATCTGACATTTAATGTGATCTGACTGTTGGTGACTGGCCTGTGTAAAAGGGGAAAGGGATTGATTTTTTGACTGTCTGTGACTGTTCAGATAGCTGGAGGGCTAATGTAAACTTGGCAATTTATAATTCAATCCTTTGCTCATAATATTGCAGATGGATGCAGCCGGAGTCCTACGTAGACCCCAGACAGTGTGATATTGTGTTCCAGCGTGAGGACATTCGATGCAGTATGCCCACTATAGTCAGCATCATGAGCAGGGACCAGTATGGGAGCCTGGTCTACGTGCCCAATCTCAAGGTAGACATGTGTTAAATGCAGGGCTTCAAAGCTGGAATGACCAAAGAACAGACTCTGTTATCTTCAGCATTAAACCTTAGGGTTGCTTTATATTTTATCTGACAGCAAAATGCATGACGTTGGCAGTTATTCCATATTTTTTTTTTTTACATTTGCATTGCCTAAACATGCTGGCTTTACACTGAAGTTACATATTGTATGTATCTGTTACACAGATGTTTGTGTGAAGGATGAATGGCCACCAGGCACTGAGGTTTTCGGTAACACCATGTGAACGATATCTCTCAGTGAGTTGTGTGGTTCAGAGTTGAACCAGTTGGTTTAATTCTGTTCATCATCAGGAGACTGCAGGACTCTTGCTGGTGTAGTAGTTTAAGTATTAGATGCTTAGTTCAGTGGACCCTTGAGGCTGGAGATTCTAGAACAGGATGCTAAGTTTCGGTGGACCGTCTTTGTTCGAAACGTCGAGTAAGACCAACTGGTTCTTCTCAGAACCACATAACTCACAATGGTGTACCGCAAACCTCCTATTCATTCACCATTTTGAAATTAAAAAAATGAGTGTCATATCAAGATTAGAAAAAGGAAATAAAGCATAAGTAACATTTCTGCAATGTTAGGTTGAAGTTGAAGCCGTACCCCTAGGGAAGCGAGAGAAGACCTACCACGGTGCCAAACTCTTCAAGTCCACAGCGCCTGGGGAGAAGGACATGACGTTCGGCGGCCACCCAGCACCCAAGCTGGACGTACCGTACGAGGCCACCATACGCAAGGACAGCATGGCCTACAACTCCATCACCATGATGAAGGAATACGAGCTGTACTCGTTTGAAGAGTTGAGATACGCCTCTCTCCCTGTCACAAGGTGAAGCTTTTCTTCATTACTTTGTAAATTTCAATCTCCCAAATCTCTGTGTTGAATTTTCTGGTAATGAAACCAAGGATTCCTCAAAAGTGCAATGGAGTGTAACTTTCAAGCCTGAAGAAAAAAGCTGAAGAGAGATAAGAGTGGAAAAAAAAAATCAGTTTTAGAAGTGGACGGAAACCCTGAATTGGTAGTACAGTGGAACGCCGCTATAGCAAACAAGATACGCAGAAATTATTTGTAATAGTGATCGTTCGGTACAGTGATTTTAATCTGCTGGTGCTCCGGTACTCACTTTTCAATAAATATCGCCCTTCAGAACTTCACCCTGCACGCCCTGGTAGTTACTGAAAGATGACTTTGAACATGTGCCGACTATTGAATCATGTTTGTACACAGTTTTTGAGCTTACTACCTACAGCAATGGGTGGCTTTCCTTTTCCATTCCTTGGGGAAATAATAGCCACTTGGCACTCTTCTGTTGATATTTTTCAACAACAATATGTTCGGTATGTTTTGTACGCAAAGATCGGGAGCCAAGCATGATGTTCAGAAAAGCCGAATGTTTGGTATAGCGGTGTTCGGTATAGCGATGTTCCACTGTATAAGAAAAATCCATGGAATTAGATAGGATCTAACCAGCTTTTCCATGTGTTGGCATAGGTGGGATTTAAAGGCATATATCAGAGGGCAGGCGTGGTTGTAAAGTACTCCTGTGCTATCCTCCCCTTTGGAGAATAGAGCAAGATGTTTATGATGAGTGTGGTGTGCCTTTTAGAGGAACTGGTTTGCCAAGTTGATCATTCACTGAATGCTGAACGTAAATGGGACATAAATAGTGAATTTAGGCAAGGCCGTCTACATCATATGTCATTTGATATGGCTAGTTTACGTGAATAACGTACAAAAATATAACATTGTCGTTTATTTGTTCTTGTTCCTTTGAACACTTTGTTGACCTTTCAGGCCTCACGAGAGCATGCTGGTACGAGACAACAGCGACGGAAGCTACAGTGGTAACTGGACACCCAGCTCAATGGGCCTGTACGCCGTACATGTGACAATCGACGGGTACCAGCTAGGTATGAAAACTGTACTTTCTGCTCTAACTGTTGGAATAGACATGCTCACGCAGTGTCCCGTAGTGGTGAAGGAATTTCACAAACCTCAGTTTCATCTTGAACTTTGGCTTCAGGCTGAAGCTAGGTGCTTGAACATCGTTAACTTGGACCACTCTGGCTCATTATTGGTCCTCTTTCTACCTAAACAAATAACTGTGTTTCATTCTTGACTTAGATTTTGTTTTTTGTTTTTGTTTTTTTGAACATAGAGGCTTTTTAAACGATTTTGCATACAGAGCCAGAGACAGCCTTAGGTTTGACACAATTGTCTTTTGGACACTTTCCATTGCAGGCATGCAAGTTTTCCTCGGATTCGCTGATTTCCTCGTTTTTTACTTCTCACAAATGCCATTACAAATTGAAATACACTGTACAAAGAGTTGTGTGGTTTGGAATGTCCTCATTTTTTTCCTACATTCCAAGTTGCATGCCTGGCAATGGAATTTAGTCCTCTCATGTGAACATTGGTTAGGATGCATGATATATTTACATGGCATTTGTTGCATAAATTTGGCTACATTTATCAAACGAGGCTTGATGACAATGTTTGCACTCGGCTCTGTTTTGAGCCCTCGCAGTTGGTTGCATGAAGCCATGGACCTTCAACAAGACCTTCTCATGTACATAAAAACAGTCACTGCTTCTGTGCGTGGAGTTTATAAGGGTCATGCATGCATTTGTATTTCATCAGATGAAGTGCCACAGATTGAAGTGAATGAGCCTCCACAGGGGGTGCTGCCACCAAATCCAACAGCCAAGAAAACCGTGCAGCCCACCAGCAAGGTGAGTTTTGCTAACTGATTGGGTAGAAGAATGGACTAGAAGAGGATGGGGCCCAATTTTATTTCTCTGCTAACCACAGAATTCTGCGCTTATGATCACCATTTCGTGCTAACCGCGCTAGCATAAAAATATCTGTGCTAACCCTGTAAGCACAGAATAGTTAGTTATGGGATGTTAGCATGGGCAGAAGCCAAACTTCTTTGCTAATCTATGAAACACGCTTACTGTAAATACGGAATTTTCTGCTATATAGTAAGCATGATTTTTTTGCTAACGATAAGCAGAGCCAAGAAATTGGGCCCAGATTTGTCTGTAAAAGTCCCTGATCTGGTAAACAAGTCTACATTTGTGATGCGATCAAGCTAAATGAGTCATTTGTCGACCCCAGTCAAAATTTGTTTTATTACAAATTTGAAAAGAACACAATCTCAGCATTACTGCTGTGAAAACCGCGTGCTGGTACCATCTTTAGTTACAAAATGATGGAAATCGGAACACCAAGAAATGTGATGAAGTGATATGATGAAGTGGCCCTATTTTGGCCTGTATCTCCAAATTAAAATACCCGACAAACGACTTATGTAGCTTGATCGCATCACATTTATCAACGTCAAAACAGTACAATGCTGTAAAAAAGGACTTTAAACTTTCAAGTTTCGTAGTCCTAAAAATGAAAGATGCCAGTTATTTTTTCATTAAAAACACTTTTATTCCACGATTTTTGAACTATTTCTCAAAAAATGTGTAGTGACATATCAAAGATTACAAAGAACACCTCACAAATTCTTGTCAATAAATTGTTTATGGCTGATGTTTGTCATTGATCATCGTGATCTGATACACCGTGCCCTCTGGAGACGTGCACACAATAGGGAACAAAAGATTGTATACGTCTGCAAAGGGCAATTTCTATAGATGAATACGTCTCCACAAGATTTTCGGGAAATAGATATATGGATTTTACTCAAAAATTAGGAATTTCCAGGGTGGGTTGATCTGTTGCAAATGGAAGAGTTTTAGAAAAGGGATATTAAGTCCAAATTTCAGCCAAGGAAATTAATTCTGGTTAAAATAAGAGCATTTTGAAACTTCACTTTCAAACTCCAAAACTTTACTACACGAGAACAAAGAAATGTCCCCACAAGAATACACATTTCAGTATGTGTGCGCGCACATGACATAATGGCTTGTAATGATCTTATCAAATTGGGTGGTTAAAAGCTCCATGCTGTCCCTTGATGGTTGTCATCAATTGTTGTCTTTTAGGTGCGTAAGTTTGTGATGAAGCAGAGTCGAGGCCTTCGGATCAGGAGCAGCCCGTCCCTGCACAGCGAGGAGATCGGCATCGTGGAGGTCAACGGGGTCATTACATTCGTGGATGAGGTCAGCCTTTAGGCCCCCCCAAAAAAAGTCTCCGGTTTCTGGTATGCGCGCGCGTCGCCGTAGCCATGCGCGTCGGCAAAATGAAAAGGTTTTTTTTTTCAATACAAGATGATGTTTCAAAACCGCCAAACTCACTGGTTTGACTGGAATCCTGCTGCTGCACAATTTTAACGTGTTTTTAGATGGGGTTATGATCGAGAATAAGATTTATGTGGCCTCTCTGGACTCCCATATATTTGCACTAAGTTTAGTCGGGCACCATTTGCAGTCATCAGCCGACATTTGAAACAAAAAAAAAAAAAACAGGTAAAAAAAAAAAAAAGCCGCGTCGCCGCACCACTTTTGGGGCAAGCTCCATACCAGAAACCGGAGACTTTTTTTTTTGGCCTTATAGGGACTTGCTGGATTCTTCTAGGGATAAAGGCATATAGGATCATTTGCCTTTCATGCATTTGGTTCCTTCCAATAAAAACACCACCCAAAATCCAAAGAAGAATGTTCAAAACCTGAACCTGTTGAAGTTTTAGCTCAGTGGATATTACACTTTTTGAGAAAACAGAAAAAAAAAACATGCACAACCGTTTGATCACAGAAAACGATTTCGTCCATAGCACTCTGTATTTCCAAAAATCAGTCCTTTTTCAAAAATCAGTGTTTTTCTAAATGACAGCAGCCCAGACGGAATAATATCCTGGGGTGTTTGGTACCAGTACAATCTTTAATCCAAGTGAGCTTTTTGACAATAATTCGGTAGGTTACTTTTGAGGCAAATGCAAATGATCCCATACCAATAAGAAACAGAGTTGTGTGTACAGCAAATCCCTGCATGACCCTGGTCTACCTAGTTCTTGGGATCTTGAGCATAAACAGCATTTTGTGTTTTAGCTCTGGTTGAATTTTCTGTTGTTGTTTTTTTGCAATGTGTTTTTTTCCTTCTAGTTTTCTTTATTATAATAGCCAGTTATTGAGCAAATACCGAGCATCGACTTTACAATGGGAATATTATGTCTGCAGAAAACACTAACCTTAAAGCTATAGTCCATCATTTGTAATTAGTGCATTTTGTTCGTTTGAAGCTACAAAAGTGTTCAAAATCTAATGAAGGATACTGAACAACTTACTTGATGGAGTTTCAGCTCAGCTTCAGCTTCATATTCCGAGAAAAACAGCATTCTAGGATCTCAATTTAAAATCAAAAGTTGCTAAATCATGTTTCGAATTGTTTTGAATTGCAGCTTTACGCGATGTTGCGCACTGATCCAACGAATTATAGCAACCGCGCGCGCCTGTGCGTCGTTCCAATGCTTGTGCGCGCAGCGCCGAATAACAAAACGAACAACTAATTTAAATTTTCCTACGGTGCTTCTTAAGAAGCACCGTTGGAAATGCCTTCTTTCGTTGATTTCTTTAAAATGAGAGCTTGCCAGAAAGGATAATTTCACAGGGAGTTTAGTCCCCTTACTATCTTTCAACCAGTATGTTTTTCAACAATAATTACGCCGGTTGCTTTTTTGGATAGCTGCAAATGATGGACTTGGGCTTTAACAGAGTAACACGTACACATAGCTTGTAGTGAAGTCCAGCACAAGTCAAATTACTAGTAATGTCCAAAGCAATGGGTGTCCAAAATAACATGGTTTATTGAAAAACTGGTCACTTGACTTGATGGTGCACTTGTGAGGGCTTTACCACAAATGGAGAATAGGCAATTCCAGCATTATGAAAGGTAGTGTGATGTCCGTGACAGAGCCAATTAACATGATTCTAATGAATGATTCAGAGAAATGATTCAAAACTCCTAGTCTGTAATCGCCTTGACCATTACTAGATGATGGATACATATAGAACATTGAAAAAAATACGTTTTCAGGTTTATTCCCTAATGTCACGGACATAACAAAACCAAATGTCTAATTTCTAAAATGAGATCAAAGCAGAAGTACCCTCTTTTGCAAGTTACTAGTCCAAAGGTCAGAGTTGTAACGAGTCACTGATTTTTGTGACTCGAGTCGAATCGAGTTATATTAAAGAAGTGACTCGAGTCGAGTCGAGTCATTAGGTGAAGAAGGTCGAGTCGAGTCGAGTCACAGAGTGTAGTCGAGTCGAGTCGAGTCGAGTCGAGTCAAGTATTTAGCTGAAGTCAACACTATACAATAAATACACAAAGAAAGTAATTTTTTGGCTTTTTGATTTTACATTCCGGCTACTTCATTTAGTGACACCACATTTGACTCTTAATGAAAATAAAAAGGGGGTGCCAGCTGTCTTAATGAAAATAAAAAGGGGGTGCCAGCTGATCGCCATTCAACTAATGGGGACACTGATCAAACCACGTATGTATATGTATACATTATTCGCGAACATTTCTAACGCGACGTGAACAAAAACCGGCACCGGCGTAAGTCATTGCAAATATTTTTCGCCAAGTTTTGCTTTTATATTTGGGACTCGAGTCTTATTAGCCTTCCTCGAGTCATTCTGATGAGGGACTCGAGTCGAGTCGAGTCATTTGCTCGCAGTGACTCGAGTCGAGTCGAGTCATTTGCCCTTAGGGACTCGAGTCGAGTCGAGTCACCATAAAATGTGACTCGAGTCGGACTCCAGTCGAGTCATTGACTCGAGTCATTACAAATCTGCCAAAGGTTAACAGTTTCCTCTGCGTCTTGCTGATCAGGTTCACAACGAGGATGGCGTATGGGTGCGCCTGAACACAGAGACCATAGAGAAGTACTGTCGGAGCAATGGGCATCGGGAGGGATGGTGTCTGCAGTACAACCAGCACATAGGCAAGACCATGCTTGTGCCCGTCGAGGTAAGGAACACAGTTTCTTAGAAACATTGAAATAGACAACAATTGAATTCATTTTTCACCAGTGTGTGGTTCAACAAAGAAATCGACTAAATTGTGGTTCCCACTCCTTTTCTCTATTTTTTTCATTACTGTTGAAGGTACCCCGGTGGAGTATATCATTTGTCATTTGTGATTTTTTCCCCGTTTGAAGCCACAAAAGTGCTCAAAATCTAAAGAAGGGTGTTTTTAAACAACCTGATGAAGATTTAGCTCAGTGAATGCTGAATATTCTGAGAAAACAATATTCTAGGATCTCGATTTCAATTCAAAAGTTGCCGAGTCATGTTGTGTCTGGGACTTGTTCTCATTTAGCTTCGCCGTATTATAAACAAACTACCAACAGAAATGTCCAAAAATGCCTCTTCAGATGCATCTTTGGAAAATAACCTTCTTTTACTGTGTTCTTCAAAATGACAGCATGCAAGAAAGAATAATTTCACAGGGAGTTTAGTGCCATTACTACCTTTAAACCAAGTATGCTTTTCAACAATAATTCCCTCAGTTACTTTTTGGATAGATGCAACTGATATACTCCACCTTTAAGTTAGAAGAATTTTGATCTTATTTGCAAGGTACAAGAGAATAATAAGTGAAAAGGTAACACTTATTTGTAAACAAATAAAACCTTAAGTGGAACTTACCAGTAGGAATACAGCGTCAGTGGAAATCATCGCTCATTGCCCCAAAGTTGTCACGAACAGTTATGCATTGTACATGATTTGTACACATTCCATTGATATTCACATTCTACAGGGTGGTGCAAAGAGAAAGGAAACCCACATTTGACAGCACTTTTCACCTGCTTGTTGAGCATATTTGAAAAATTCAATTAAATGATACATTGTAACATTGAGCTTTACACATATGCAATGAAAAAAATGATTGCAAATGCATATTCTGTCTTTGATATATGGTAGTTTGAACATTTCATATGCCAAACCTGTTTCTTCAAGGACGGCTTTATTCCATCCGCTTGACTGAGCTCCGGAGCTTGATTTGAAGACAAAAAAACACTACACTAGACTTACGTGTGGACAACAGTGATTTTGGTGACTTGTATTCAAATTAGCATAATAACATTATTCTTGCAATTTTGCTTAAGATTGATTCACCGTGTGTGGTTGAAGAGCTTTACTTCGCTACATTATAAAGAAACAGTTCAAATATGTTAAGTAAGTAGGTTAAAGTTCCTGTCAAAAGTGGGTTTCCTTCTTTTTGCACCACCTTGTAGTGGTACATCTTGCAAAGAATATGGGCGATTCACAATGCAGTGCGCCACCAAGAGCTTGCCACAGAGAGTTCATTTTTCCCAGTGCATTGTGGGAGATGGTTGACAAATTTGCAGCGCGGGACATTTGAAATTGTTCGTTTTTCCAGTCAGTAGTTTTGTAAGGGTATGATTCTAGTATATGTTTGCCCTTTTCTTTTCTTTTTTTCAATATGGTGTTTTTTTGTAAGGCGGCAGAAAGCTATTCCCCAATCTATAACAAATTAGCTCAAGTTGTCTACTGATACTTGTTCAAATGCGCCATGTTATGTCGACCGTAAACTTGAAAAGTGGACTCTCCATGGCAAACTCTTGGTGGCACACTGCATTGTGAATCGCCCGAATTGATGCTGGATTTAGGGCTGTTAATGTAAGTTGCACATCATGTTACAGGAACCCAAGTCAATATACGATGACAAACTGAAGGAAAACAAAGGCACGCTGACATCCTCACCAGTCTCAGCTGCAGCGACTTCGTCAGCAGCAGCAGCAGCAGGTGCAACAGCAGCAGCAGCAGCAGGACCAAAGGCCATGGCCAAAGTACCCACCAGAGTGCCAGCCAGGCCGGCCACGGGCGGGCCGGGCATGTATCAGGTGACCAACTGTGGGGCCTCGGGCCACAACATCAGGTGCCGGGCCAGCATCAAGGCCACGCCTATCGGCATGATGGTACTAGGTAACCAGGTCAGCGTCACACAAGAGGTATGAATGTGAGCACGGTACCTGTCACTAACCATAGTCTCTGTGAAAGCGCTTCTGGTAGTACCCATAGTTCCTTTGGTACAAGTGTTCCCTATTTTATGTACCCTAGTGTTTATTTTGTGTGGTGCCTGTGTATTTTTTTATACCCATGGTTCCTGTATAAGCACCATGATCACCTTATGTACTTGCGTATTTTGATACTTATGGTGCCTATGATGCCTGTAGTACCCATAGTCCCTTAATAAGCACCCATCGTCCCTTTATAAGCACCCATGGTCCTTTTTACAGTGAACCTTTGCTTCTTATTACTCCTTAACTGGTACAGGTAGTACTTATGGGGCTGTTACCTATGGTACCTTTGGATAGCCATAGGGGCTCCTATAGAAAGTACCTATCCCATAAATTTTTACCATTGGCACTAATGTATTTCCATGTTTTTTGTACATCCTTGTATGGTTTGAAAAACTGCTGGAAAATTTAGTGAACGTAAGGTTTCACTAAATTTTCCTTGAACATGCATAACAAAGGTCTGAAGGACTGCAATTGGGTATTTCGTTCAGATAATTTGATCATGCTGGAGTGAGTCAGTTTTAAACAATCTTTAAAACTGAAACAAAAAATGTGAGAACTGTGTTTACAAATTTTGCTTTTCACAACAACCTAGATGGCGCAAGCGGATGGCTCAGTCTGGGTGAAACTGGACAAGGAGAGTATGGCCCACTACTGTGAGAACACCGAGGGGGAGGCGTGGTCCCTGGCCCAGGGGAAGGGCTTGATGTACCTCATCCATGAAGCTGATCTGACCTCCGCAGACAAGGAGCAGGCCAGGAAGTGCGTCAGGCCCTTCTTGTTCTTCGGGGACAACAAGCATGGCAGTAAAAACTCTGGTTTTGACTTCAGGAATGCTCAGGCCACGCCGGCAATGGGTTTTGCCACCACAAGTAAGTCCTTGCATTTGTCCGTACCTCAGAATTCTGTGGCTGTCCTTGGTCAAGCTTGAAGGTACCTCTGTCCACCTCTGAGGTGCTTGGCATAGTCAAGTCTTTGGATGAAGTTTGGTACCCAGTTCCCTAGTGCTAATGAGCGTGTGTTTTTGTGTCACCTAAACGATTGTTTTTGGGGACACTTACCAGCCCTAAATTCATTACCTTATCCCCGTATGTTAAAGTATAGGCTAAGTTTTTGAAAAAAAATGTATAACTTCTACATGCTTTCATGGATTTTAAAGAAACTTATATGCAGTGGGAATACACAATTCTTCATCTGATTACTGAGATCAAAGGTGGTTCAAATATGCTTCCGATGTTTCTTTGTCTACAGACTTTGATTAATTTTCAATGCAACTTGGATGGAGTGATCCTTGGTTGGGGGTTCATGACAACTCGTCAGAAATTGGAGGTCAAATTGACTTTTTTGTGACAGAAATGAATGGGTGTTCACTAATGTTGCTGAGAATATAGGTTTAGGGCTGCTGATGTGATGTTTTGACGGTGTAATGTTAAAGGTCATCCAGGGGTCAATTGAGGTCACAACTCATGTTGGAAAAAATGGGAAAATGCTATTGTTTCATAGAAACAAATACATTCCAGGAGCCAATAATTTCCTCCAACTGAAAATGAACAGCTTCTTCAAGAATAAGAACATAAAACATTTGGGGATCGATCACGAAAAAAGGCGACACATGTGACGGCGGATCACCTTGTCTTTAAGCTTGTGGAATCAGGCCATTCTTTCTTTCACAGAGGCAGCAGTAAGCACAATAAGGTGCACACACAGAACATATGGGGTTCATCAGGATCCAGTATTTTAGACCTTCACCTCTCTAATCTTAGTTGTCTTTTTGAATTGAAATCTCAAACTTCATAGTGATTCACTTGAGAGGGACTGACCTTTCCATAGACTGACACACATGGTCCTGCAGTGCCTATTGTTGCTTTTCGATCTCTGTACCCCATAACCCCATTTCAGTACACACTTAGCAGCAAAAGTATTTACAGTTATGGAAATCCAGTTATGAATGCATGAGTACATATTGTTTTGCTTTCAGATCTGGCTCCGTTTATGTTCGGGGCCTCCAAGCCGAAACCTGCATCCGACCAGAATGGGGAGGAGGAGCAGGTCGGGATAGCCGAGATAGGCCCAAAGATGAGCAACTTAGCCATGGAGACCCCAAAGCACAAACCAGTTGGACTGCCAGGTCACGGAGCTGTTGGAATGGCCAATGGCTTCGCTGGTAACGGAATTGATCCGCTTGAAGAGTTTGAAGTGGGTGGTCCCAGTCCCCCGCACAATGCCGATGTACCGGGTCCATCAGCTGGAGGGGCAGCTGCCGCAGGGCACCAGCCAAGCTTCAAACGGCCGGGCATCGATTTTGAGACAGGAGCCGAAGAGCTGTCCCCATTTCGAAATTCAAACCATCGAGATATTATCAACTCAAACGGCTTGCCTGAACGGAAGGCCTCTCTTGGAGGGGATAGCCCATCACCCTTCAAAGTCGACTCAGGAATTCAACAACCTAAGGATCAGCTTTCAGGAGCTGAGGGCAGGGTATTAGAAAGTAGTCCACAGCGGACTCCCAAAGGACACTTCTCTATTGGTGTGAGTGATGGGCAGGCCTCACCAAAAAGTGGCATGTCCCCAAAGCAAGGACGGAAATCAAGGACAGCCTTTGGAAAGCGGGATCGCACTGCTTCCCCTTCATCAAAGGAAAGGTCCCCAGCACGAATCAAATCCAGCATTACAAAGACGGAGATCAAGGAGAACGCTCAGTCGGCTATTGCCACTTCGGTTGCAGAATGTGCAAGGTGTGTGTTTGCAGCCTTCCTGTGGCATGAGGGATTAGTCCACGATGCCATGGCATGTGCCTCATTCCTGAAGTTCAACCCACATCTAGGTAAGCAGACCTCACAACAACAGAGGGACATCCAAAGAGAGACCAAATTGAAGAACAGGCACTCCATGGACTTCTCCAAGAGTCTGAACGATGGAACCTTCTTTTCAGAAGTTAAGAATTCCAGTCGGGACATCATGAACCAAAATGAAACTGATCCATCTTGCTCGTTAATACATGCGAGTGAAAGGAAAGAAGCTGTGCCGGATACTCTGACTGCCACAACAGAAGAGAGCTCGAAGACTGCACCGGCAATACAGCATCTAGCTGAGAAATTGGCCAAGGCTTCACCCATGTCCCCCCCAAAGCTCCCGCCAAAGCACCACCTCAAGGGCTCACCTTCCCCTGGCCCCAAGGTTAAGAAACAGCAGGGCACAGTACTACTCAAGACAGACAATAGTGGTTCTTCAAGTGACACTGAGTTACGAGAGCGAGCCTCAAGCACTGGCTCGGACTCTGTCAATCAGAAGAATGCGGTCCGGGACTCTGAGAGCTTGAGGCCTACCAAGGAATCCCAGTTACCATCTGTGTTACCGGTCACTCTGAAGCATCTACTGTCCTTCTGGGAGGAGTTGACCCAAGCCACAATCAACATTGCCTCCCAGCAACTTGTTCTCCCCAGCCCGGCTCCGATAACCAAATCACGAAGCCGGATTGAACAGAAAATTCGGGAAAAGGAGAAAGAACCCAAGGGGAAGAAGCGCCGGGAGAAGTCCGTCCGCGGTGGACGAGGGAACCTCTTTGGGGAAGCTGCTGGCGTGCCTGTTGGTGGCAGTGACCGTGAAACAGTCTGTGACCTCTGCCACGGAGTCTTTCCCCACCCTGTGACATACCACATGCGGCAGTCCCATCCTGGATGCGGACGTCATGCAGGGGGACAGGGGTACAACAGCAGTGGACACTACTGTGGGGGTTGGGCAGGGAATTGTGGTGACGGAGGGGTCGGGGGAAGTAGCTGGTACCTCATGTGTGAACGCTGCCGGGAGAAGTACATCCGGGAGCGGCAAGACAAGCTCAAGGAGAAGGTCAAGAAGCAGAGGAAGAAACTCCCGCCGCTGAAGACGCCCAAGATGCTACCACCCCTGGAGGCCCACCACGTCATGAAGGCCAATGCCATGTTCCTCCTGGATCTTGCCAGTGCTGCCGGACCTACCTTCCCAGGGACCAGCCCCATGAGGAAGTCCACCCGCTTCGACCTGCCCATCCTGAGCGAGACGGAAGCCTTGAACTCTCAGTTCCCACCTGTTCCGTTTCAGTTTGTGAAGCTGATGAGGAGGGGGTCTGTATCTGAGTGTCCCACCTTGCCGATGGAGGAGCGACCTCTCCACATGCTGCCGAGGGCTGAAAGTGAGATGGCGGTACCCCTCGTCAAGTCAGCCTCAGTGGACAGCAAACGATTGGGTAAGTTCTGAACAAATTAGTGGATATACAACAATAGGTATAACCATGAAAATTGTCGACATTTAGGAATCAACTCATTTAATATCCGGTATAAGTTGTGGACAAGTTTACCCCTTGTGTGTCGACGTTAAATTCAGGATTCTGAGGGACTTCCCTGGAATATTTCTGCAACGAGTTAGCATTCTTTTTTTCCAAACTAATAACTTCAACACAGGAAGATTACTCGTTGTGGATGAACTGGTCTGCAATCTCTCCTTGATATAAAGATGCATTCCCCTTGCTAGTTTAAGTTAAACTCTGAAAAATAGAAATGTATTTTCAATTGCTATTTTGCTAGCTTTATAAAGTTGTTCACTTTTGAATGAGACATTGAACGCAAAAATTCCACTGCTCTCGCAGGGTGGGTTCATTTGTGTGCAAAATAAAATCCCTTTTTCAGAAGGTTGCAGATGTCCTAACTTGGAAAAAAAAAATTGACATACTAATTGAAAACTAATATTAGAAAAATATAATTGTTTTTAGAGCATGGATCACACATCTTTAATGAGATGACTTTTAGGCATTCATCCTTTTTTCCTTAGTTCGTATGTTGCCGTCAAATCTAGTATATGGACCATATTTCCTAGTTTTATAAAGTTGTTCACTTTTGAATGAGACATTGAACGCAAAAACTCCACTGCTCTCGCAGGGTGGGTTCATTTGTGTGCAAAATAAAATCCCTTTTTCAGAAGGTTGCAGATGTCCTAACTTGGAAAAAAAAAATTGACATACAAATTGAAAACTAATTAGAAAAAATAATTGTTTTTAGAGCATGGATCACACATCTTCAATGAGACGTCAAATCTAGTATATGGACCATTGCATCTCACAAAGCTCCCTTGCCCAAAAGAGATAAATTCCCTTTAGGCCAAGGCGAAAATCTCACTGCCATTTTCCAATCTGATTGACTTGATGACAGATGACGGTCTCGACAACTCCAAGCGAGTGTCCTACTTCCGTTCCATCTCCATGACGGGTCAGGTTGGGTCCCAAGGGGAACCCAAGTCCAAGACCAGAAGACGCAACAACAGCAGCAGCTCATCAGGTAATGAAGCATGGCTTCTACCTTACTAGTGCGAATTGGGAGACTGCCAATTGTAGGGCTGGATAGCTCAGTGGGTAGAGTGTTGGTACAGTGTTCCATAGGTATTCAATTTGAGATCCGCTCCCCCAGTCAATTCTTTATTGAACCAAATTTGCGCAACTTAGTTAGCACTGGTATCCATGCAAAATCTTTAATTCATTATTGACAAGCACTTTCTTTCAGGCTTATTACTTTTTGCGTTTAAATTGACCTCTCTGTATACAAAGTAAGTTGTAATGAATTTGTAATGACCTTGTGGTGTTCACACGTAACAGTCAAAATTCTACTTTGAAGTCTGACTATTGCCCTGCAGAAAATATATCAGCTAATCCCACGGTTGTCTCATTAACCCATGAGTAACTGTAGTGCCTGAAACCACCCTGCCTATTACTCCCTTAAGCACCCGAACCACCTGAGTGCTCAATGGTTTTAGAGATTCTTCCGTAAATAAACACAATGTAATACAATGTATTACTTTTTTTATTTGCTAATGGATACAAGGTAAATTATCCTTGCTAAATCTGGATTCATGCTGTAAATCCAACTCTCCAACATCTATCATAATCCAGCACCTGTTCTTTGTGATTATTATGGAGAGTGATTAATGGAACCCAGCACTCCAAAATGTCACGTGTGGCTGATGTCTACATTGTGTTAAATTCCATAGAATATGTCGGTAGTCTGGTAAAGTTGTGGTGGTTAACCCCATGCGTACAGGAAACGTTTATGGCCGCGGCCGCTAATCCTCATTGGAATGCAGTTGCTAGCTGCGGTATGCCGTGGCACACGACTAGTGGGTAGTTCCACAGCTGCTGCTTTTGTGCAGTCCCGCTACCACACAAAGGCTGTGCAGTCATGCGGGCCACTTGCTCTATGTGTGGAGGAATGTCCCCATAACACCCCGTCCTTAAGGGGTTAATAAAGCTTGGTAAGGGTTTTGGTTGAGATGTAAGGCAGTGTCAGAATTGATCGGCTATGGCTGGAAACTACACAGGCACCTATGGAAGCGGCTGCAGCCTCTTCCCATGGACCCATGTGCTAATTCTAAGCCGTAGCCCTGTAATTCGGACGCGGCCTCTGACTAGTTGAAATATCTGACTTGTTGAAACCATTTCTTCTGACAGAAGATGGTTCCTCGTTGCTTCGCCGGCCCTCATGTCTCCTGGCCAAGCTGATAGAGGGCGGCAGCAAAGGCTGCCGGGCCCTGCATCGTCCCGTCATGTCCTTCATTGTCCAGCGCCATGACCTGGAGGGCTTGCAGCTGGCCATGAAGCAGGCATTGCGCAAGGCATCGTGTAGGGTCTACGCTTTACAGGTAGGGCTTGCATTATATCACATGTGTGTGTTTGAGGGCAGAGATGGTTATTGTGATTGATTGTAGCTGCTTTGCGCCAAAATGGCAGCATTAAACTGTATACTCCACAGGGAGCTGAGATTGTATTTGGAATGTTTAAATGGCCGAATGAGCAGGGGTAATAATGATGTAAAGCCCTTTAATCTTAGTTAAAAATGCTATTATTATTATTGATTTGTAGAAGAGGTTGTCAGTGTAAATCTTACAGTTTTTCCGCTGATGCTTACTGCACCTGCTAAAGTTTAAACGATACCACTTTTTCACAATAAATGTACCAGAGCACTGGGGTCATGATAAATCATGCGTCATAATACATATTGTTAATTTGTTATTACATTGGACCGTTCCGGATTCGGCCATAACTTACGAATGTCGGCAACAAAGTAGGCGTTTTCCCAATGATGTTCTAGCTGTGCAATGAAATGGAACTGGGCACAGGCCATAATGGAGGAAAATGCAAATAACCAAATGGGAGTGGTCTTTATTCTCTTTCGTAATACCCGCAAACTCTCATTTCGACCTCAGCCCAGTTCTGTCTCATTTTGCTGGGACACCTCACATTTGGTTGTACAATCGTTCAGTATATATCGCATTTTTGGAAATAAAATCTTCAGATTTTCATTGTGTGATTAAATCCTCGACATGAGCTCCACCTTTCTCAAATTCTTTCATCAGTGAGATGTGATTGAGTCAAGCCACAGGTGAAGGGAATGAACAGGGATGAAATTAACATCTCTGTCACAGTTCTTTTGAACAGCTTTTGACTTGCACTGACGCTTCAATCACTCCAATTCTGTTTGGTTTTTGTAGGCGCTAAACTGGCTCCTGCGCAGCGTCACCCAGCTGACCAGCTTGCATGACCTCCTGTGGCACTACGTGGGTGCCCTGACCCCACTCAGCCCTGACAAAGATGATGAAGCTGAGGCGGCAGCAGCAGGGCCCGATAAAGGCAAAGGGAAGGAGGAGAAGAAGGAGAAGAAAGTATCTGAGCAGGTAAGAGCGGACAGGTTCAGGAACTCACAAGGGACACAAACAGGGTATCGAGATGATTATGTTAAAATCAAAACTTTAAAGGGAAGATACAACATTTGCAAACAATATTTTCTGTAACATACCAATCCTCCAAATCCATTTATTTCTAAAAAATTGCAGCAAAAGCAAATGTTGCACATTCCCTTTAACATTGTAGATTCTTTTCCTTGATTCTTGTCCCAGCAGCAGGACTTTGACGGCCTGATGTGTGAGCATCCGCTCTCAGACATCACCGTGGCTGGCGAGGCAGTGCATCCGTTACCCACGGCCTTCCACACCTTACTGCAGACGGTGGCCGACATGATGATGCTGCTGCCCCACGGCAGCGCCTTGCAGCAGATGGCCATGCGCTGCTGGTGTTTGCGCTTCCGGCCCGCGGACCACGTTTTCCTGCACCACTCCCACGTCTTCAGCAACATCAACCAGATCCTGTCGCGATCGGACAGCCAGGAAGGGGAGGGGGAGGACAGTGTGGCATCCAGTAACGACTCACTGCCTGCCAGTCTGGTACGTCCGAATCCTAAATATCTTTATAACACAAGGACAGAGCAGTTGTGCATGAGTTTGGGGAGAACTTTTACTACAACTCAACCAAGATGATGACAAGTGTTAAGTTGCAGCTTATAAAATCATGTAACAACCCATCACAGAAAACTGTCATATTAGAACTTCATTTTCTGACATTTTATTTATTTCTCTGAACGAAAATAGTGTTCTCTGTAAATCTCTAAGTTAGTGAAACAATCTATTTATTTATTTATTTATTTTGTGTTATTTTACTAGGGTAGCCCCATCAGTTGTCAATGAACCGTTCTCCCTGGGGGCCCAAATTGTAATACAGTGCAATCCAAGGCTCTGTACAGGACAAATTCAAAATTTGATTGTGCTAGCCCCAGTTGTTCAAGCATTTTTTTTGTGAATAGCACTTGTGTTTCACTTCCTGAGGGCTCTTTGGGGGTCAAGGACCAAATACTTCAAAATACTACATGTGTTGTGCACACTTGTATGGAAAGAAATGCATACTACAGGTTACTACTCAGTAGTGTTTTGTAGCTTTAGGTGAGGTTAGGGTTAAAAAGAGCCACATTTCTTTTAATCTTTAAGTTCCTCTGCTTCCCCAAAGCACTTTGCTTGTTACTCCTACCACTTCAAACTTCAATTTTCCCAGCTATACTATGAAGTGCAAAGGTTGTGTCCGTGTTTGTTCACAAGTTGTAATACAGTGCAGTACAATGTGAAACAATGTATTCAGAGTCCTAATGAAAACCACCCAAACAAAGAACACTGCCAAAGTAGAGCTGTTGCGTGATGTGACAAACACCACTGAGCTCCAATTATCCTCGCCTGACTGTCGGCTGGAATTACAGTGCATTAAAAACAGTGTTATACGGTGCGATACAGTGTGTTACAGTGTAATACAATGTGATTGGGAGTCCTACTTTGTAAAATGGTTCTAACACAGAACACTGCCAGAGTAGAGCTTCTGCGTGACGTGACTACGCCACTGAGCTTCAATTCTCCTTGCCTGACTGGCTGCTGGAATTACAATGCATTAAATACAGTGTTACATGTACATGTATATATGGTGTAATACAGTGTATTACAATGTAATACAATGTAATATAGAGTCCTAAATTGGTATAATCATTCTAACACAGAACAAGGCCAAAGAAGAGCTGTTGCGTGACATGACCAGTGCCACTGAGCTTCAATTATTCTAGTCTGACCGATGGCTGGAATTACAGTGCCTTAAAAACAGTGTTAAATGTACATGCACATATGGTGTAATACAGTGTATTACAATGTAATACAATGTAATATATAGAGTCCTAAATTGATATAATCATTCTAACACAGAACACTGCCAAAGTAGAGCTGTTGTTGCGTGACATGACCAGTGCCACTGAGCTTCAATTATCCTAGCCTGACCGATGGCTGGAATTACAATGCATTAAAAACAGTGTTACATGTACATGTACATATGGTGTAATACAGTGTATTACAATGTAATACAATGTAATAAGGAGTACTTAATTGGTATAATCATTCTAACACAGAACACTGCCAAGGTAGAGCTGCTGCGTGACGTGACCAACGCCACTGAGCTGCAGGTCTCCAGTCGGGCAGCCATGCTCCCCAGCCTGACTGATGGCTCCACTGAGACGTTCTGGGAGTCTGGTGATGAGGACAGGAACCGGACTAAGTCCATTACCGTCACTTGCAACGAGGGTCTGGTACCCAGAATGGTTGCTGTGCATGTAGACAACTCCAGGGATTTAGGGGTACGGCTTATAATTGTTTGCTTAAGCGGTTTTAAGAAAGAAATTGTTTTTCACCTTTTGTTTATTCATTTGACTGTTCCTACCCGCTCACTATTGGATCCTTAAACCTTTACCCTTTTTTGAACTTTTCTTGAGGTGTAGTTTCAGTAAAACAATTTGAAACACCAGAAATGACGTGTAATTGTCACTTGCCTTCAAAAAAAAAGGGTGTTGGAATGATTTTGGTGAAGTTGCAGATTGACTGTGTGAAGTAAAAATGTTGTACTTCGGAATTTATCAACTTAAAATTCTGCAAACTGTTGGACAGTAAGCAGATTTCTTGGCTCAGAAGTCATAGGGCAGAAGTAATTGCTGGACGTTTGTGTAAACAAGGCAGTTCATTTCATACTGCATTAGTTGGACTTGAAGCTAAATGAATTGAAAGTGGCTTTCTGACTTGCCCGATCGCATATTGCTCTCAACAGAACAAGGTGACTGGCATGACATTCTTCACCGGGCCCAACCCAGACTCCCTCCAGCGGACCCTCAACTCCAGCATGGAAGCCCGGCACGTGGGCTGGGTCACCTGCAACCTGGACCTGTGCCCGGACAGACCCAAAGTCATCAAGGTGGAGCTGAAGGGACCGGATAGCCACCTGCGGGTCCGTCAGGTCAAAGTCCTGGGCCAGAACGAGGGCGAGAACCTCAGCACAGGTAAGGAATTTATCATTGCTTACTCTCTATCAGGCCAAAAGCAACCACATGGTAGCTTTAAAATAATTACAATTTGTGTCTTTATCAACAAAACAAGACATGTGTAAAGAAAGCCGAGGTCATTAATGTCACAATCACAGGATTCATTAAATAGCAAAGTGAGAAGACAATAAGGCAAGGCAATAGAAATGGAAACCCATTATTTAAGAGGAAAAAAACCAATAATCGATTAAAGATAAACAATTCAATAATCAAGGGAACTGGAACTAGTCATGAAAGAGGTTCAGAAGACGAGAGGGATCAGTCGTCCACTCTGTTGATCCAGACTGATGTATACATGTATTTGGAGAAGAATATTACAAAAGATGATAATAACCGATGAAAGTAAACAATACAATGAACGAAAAATTAATCAAGGGAACTGGAACTGGTCATGAAAGAAGTTCAGAAGGAAAGACGAGGGATCAGTCATCCACTCAGTCGATCCAGACTGTTGTATATTTGGAGTAGAATATTACAAAAGATGACACCAGAGCTATTTTGGAGAGGCGAGTGATAGATTTGTTGATTTCTTGTTTGGTCTGGGCATGGAACAGAGATTCGAAACGTTTTTTATTGTCGGGGGGTAACTAAACCTCGGCTTCCTACTTCAATAGCTGTGAGTATGAATGTGCAGGTGAAGCCCAGATGGGTTTACGTCACAGACAAGATTGGTGTATTTACGGCACTTATAGGAATGGCTTTTTTCAAAGTTGGTCTCAAACGGCACTGTTAGTTCGACGATTGTTATGTCCTTCTTGTGCATGTTTGTTATGACCAGGTTGGGTTTCAGGGTAGTAGGTAGTATAGAAGGGGGGACTGTATTGCATCCAAATGCGTGCCTACCCTCTAGGTCAGAGTATAGTTTGAAGTCAGGTTTACCGGTTAGAGATTCATCGAGCATTGCACATATTTCTGAGAGAACATTACTGTGGCGGGATGTGTAGTGCCCCTGTTGTAACATCACGGGACAGAAGTTTAATACTTGCTGGAGTGTTTCTTTAGATGAGCACATTGCGCATTTGTCATTAACTGACTTTCCCCACAGGCACAGGTTAGAATTGACTGGTAGGGTATCGACTATTGCGTTAAGTCCAAAACGAAGTACCTTTCTGGGAAGGTTGTACATGATGGATTTCCATGTGATACTGGTGTTTTCGATTTCCATGAGATCCAAAAGTTTACCTTGTTTGGCTAGTGATTCAATTTTTGTCATCCACCATGCCCACTCTTGTTTTATTTCGGCAATTGAAGTTACTGTATTTACCCAGGTCCTTCAGAAATTGTGGTGTCGAGTACCAATTCTGCTTTGGTACTGCATAAACACCCTCTGGGGGTTATAACCTACCGCTGCAAGAAGTCATTGTCATGACAAAGCGCTTTCACCCTCGGCTATCACCCACAAATCACCAGCAACAGCGTCTTGGGAACCTTGTAGCGGTTGTGCAATGCCTAAATATGACATCTCTGTAAAATTGACCCTAGGGGCCAACTTTATGGAACTGTTAAGACAAGATTAGTTGAGTAGAAACAGGTTACCATGCAGAATACCATGCAGTGAGTATTGGTTCTCAAAGGGTTTTGGTTGAGCACATATATACGCCCATAGGCAGAGTTTCGTCTTAGCAAGCTCCGTGACATGGGGACAAGGTCTCATCAATCACTCTTTAAAACTCAGGTCCCCAGCAGTCGGCGCAAGCCTTACAGCAGAAGAACTGCGAGGCTGAGACCCTGCGAGTCTTCAGACTGCTGACATCTCAGGTCTTTGGCAAGCTGCTGAGCGACGAGGAGTCCGGCGAAGACAGGATGGAAGAGAACGGGGAGAAACAGGACGATGATAGCTCGGTAAGAAGCACAGTTTTTGAATCCTATTGCAACATTTTAACCCAGTTCTACCATAAGCTAAACCTGGTCTTACTTTTACATTTTTTCCAATTTGAAAATCTATCAAAAGTCATTGATCACATCAAATCAGATTCGAGCCGGCTGTTAAATTCATATGAGTTTATATGTGGAGTTCAAACTCTAAGCCGAATCTGTAAGTTTGCAACTTACCATAATCTGTACTGCACTAAAAAGTAGCCATTACAATACATCACTAGATAATACCCAGAGTTTAAGATAGCTGTAGTATACATAATGTTGGGGAACAGCGACTTGGCTCAGTTGGCAGAGTCACTGAATGGAATATGCAATTTTCCCTTAGAATATGTGTATGGTTTTGGAATCAAAACTAAATTTCTTTTATTGCACCTGTTGCTGCTATATTTTTTGTTCTGTTCTCAGGATATCGGTGATCCAGATCTCAGGGAACATATGGTGGGCATTCTCTTCAGCAGAAGCAAGCTCACCAATCTACAGAAACAGGTAAAGCATGAGCAATCATCTCAGAACAGCAAACAATCTCTGTTGTTTTGGCGGTGTATTTCTAGGGATCAGACATTTATGTGTGCAGAGCCACGATCGAAGTCTCATTATATTCTAATGTACAAATTTATGCGACCCCGCGCGCCAGCCAATTGAAATCGACTTTAGAAACTGTGACATTATTTCGATCAGAAATGTGGACTAAGCCGTTAATTGGTCAATTTGGATGCCACGTTTTTGTAAGACAACAACAGGTTGTCGAAGACCCGATGTAGAAGGCGCCCGCTAAATGGTTAGAACCTTGAGGTCAAGACGCTGAGTCTTGTTTTGCGTAATTAATCCCCAAATCTGCTCACATATCATAGACCTTTGCTGTGCAAGGGGATATTTCACATACTAGGGTATGTCCCTTGATGTTCTCTTAAGTAATTAAATTTATTGTAATTGAAGTTTATTAGCTTATTTTGATGTCTTGTCTCTTTTGCTATTAGTGTTGAATTGAATATCACACCAATATCCAACAATAAATGTCTGTTGGATTTGCTGATCCAAGCAAAAACAATTGTTGAGCATGGACATAAAAAATTCAAGGTTATTTTTGTTCCTTGCCATTCAGGTTTGCTCCCACATCGTGCAAGCCATCCGCAAGGAGACGGCCAAGATGCGAGAGGAGTGGGAGGCCAGCCTGGCCAGCAAGGCCCCTGCCACCGTGCTCAGCCCCACGGAGGACCCCCAGCCGTTCCTCTCAGCTGACGCTTACTGCTTTGAGCTGCTGTCCATGGTGTTGGCGCTGAGCGGCTCCAGCGTGGGTAGGATCTACGTGGCCCAGCAGGCGGCGCTGCTGCAGGACCTGCTGGCCCTGCTGCACACGGGCACGCCCAGGGTGCAAAGACAGGTGGGTGGCTTGTGAATCGGTGGACTCTGTGAATCTGTGATGAGCTCCCCTGCCACCACTGACGAAGAGAGAGTCGGGCAGAATCTTGAACACATAACCGCTGTATGGGCTCCGTGCGCCAACAAAAGAGGGCGCTCTTTCACCTAGCAATGACGTCCTATGGGCAGGACACTAGGGGATTTGTATTATGTACATGCAGTGGCCGCGCTTTGCGGCAAAATATTGCAGTCAGACAAGATGGCGTCATTCGGTCACCCCCAACTGTACATTCTTTGCCGGTGAGGGGGACTTGTGAACAAAGCGGATACTGGCACTCTTACGCATTCAGGATAAAATTACTTAATACCTATATTCCAAAACAAAAAGTGCATGCATATTACGTGTCCTTCACACAGAGCACTCACAACAATTCTCTGCAGAGGATGAAATGTGCCTCAAAAGCTGCTGGGACAAATATTCCTTTTGAGCAGTTACATGCACTTGAAAATATCGCAGTACAAAATATTACTTGGACTAATATGACTCATGGTTCAAAATGTATGATGTGCCACAGCAATGTCACTCTCTACGCCATATTTTCTGGTGCTTATGGTCAGTGGTGCCATTTTCCAAGAGTTGTTATCCACAAGTTCATATATTATCACCCTTCTCCTCCCCCTCCTCGACAGGTGACCTCCATAATCCGTCGCCTCCTACCGGAGATCCCTCCAGCCCACTTTGCCAAGCTTACCGGCGTCACCGCCTTGCCCCCTGCCGATCTCAGCATCCTGACCCAGTCCACGGCCGACAAGACCAACGAGTCCTTCTCCGAGGACAGCAACGTGGGGATCCTGGACATCTTCCTGGCTTGCATCGCCAAGACCCTGACCGTCCAGACCAAAGTGAAAGGTGCCGGGGCAGCTGGGGTCGGAGGACAGATCCCGGGACTGATGATGAGCAGCAACAGCAGCAGCAGTGGTTCTGGAGGTGGCGGCAAGGGCACGCAGTCGCTGACCCTAGCCAGGCTACAGCAACAACAGCTGATAGCGGCAAACTCAGCAGCAGGTACTTCCGCAGCAACTGAGGAGAGTCCCTCCAAGAGATCCAGCAAGGGTCGATGGTGGATGAGGGGAAGCATGTCGCACAACATTGCTGAGAGGGTCATTGGACTCATAAAGGACATGTCAGCGGTGAGTTAACTTTCTGGACTTCGGAGAGTTGAAGCCGTTCCAGGCAGATCAATACTATTGGTCTTCTTTCTCACAGCTGTAACGAAGGACTCAGTTATTTATAGTTTCTTCAACAGTTGCTTAATTTGAAACTTGTTACAGACTTAAAGGGAATGTACAACATTTGCTTTTGCTGCAATTTTCAGAAATAAATGGATTTGGAGGATTTGTATGTTATCGCAAATATTGTTAAAAATGACTTATTTCCCGTTTTGGGCTTGTAGATGTTGAAAAAACTAAGAAAACCAATCATGTTCTTGTAGTCTGGTTCCCCGACCCCACTTAAGATGAAACGGAGCAATTTATGGACTTTTGGAAATTGTAAGGTCAGAGAATGAGTCTAGCAGGCTTGTACCCCTTCACAGGTGTGCAATCAATTGCAAAGAAAACAATGAATAACTAATTATGAAAAATTAGAAGCAGGTTTTGAAAAAGGCCAGTTTTTTTTCCAACGCTGGTCGGCCGACCAGCGTTGGAAAAATACCATTTTTCTTGAGAATTATAGCGCACCAGGAGCCACGATTTTACAGGATGCTTTAGACTGTCCTTCCCTAACAATACAGTAAGGTATTTCATGATAATTTGATCATTTTGTTTTGTGATGATTGCAAATGTTGTATCTTCCCTTTAATATTTAATTTTTTTTAAACGTATTTATAGACCTGTTTATTTGAGAATTGGTCAAATAACAACAGTATTGAGCCATTTCCTCTACTACTGCAGTTTGTTCATGACAGTTTGTCCAGTGTTACAATACTCGGAAAATAGATGAAAAGTCTGTGCATTTTTTTTTTTTGAAACGACAAACTGTCACACAAACTGGTTGATGTTTTGAAAGTTTTTACTAGAGACATGCATCGGATGTGAAACCTTCAGTTTATCATGTGCTGAAAAAACTTAGTCACTATTTGTTGAGACAGTAAACGATAGTTAATAAAATCACTTAATAATAACTATTCCGTGCTTTGGCAGGGCAAGCTATCGGAGGTGTGGGCTACAGTGACCAAGGGAGCAATAGCCGAGGCAGTGCTGTCACTCACCAAACTGGATGAGACCAGGAGGCAGCCAGCTGAATGCATCAAAACACACACAGTTAGTATCGTACAGTCACAGTTGTGACAGACCAAATAGTTTAAAGACCAAATAGTTTTAAGAAAAATTCATTGCATGGCCCTTTACGTTCTTTACTTTACCGGCTGTATGTCAAAAGTATGACTGTTAAGAGCTAGGAGGGCCTGTTGTTGTGATCTTAGCATAATTTATCTAAGATGCTGAAGGTTTGAGAAAGATTGCTTCAGGATGAAAACAACGTCAAAGCTTTCATTAAGTCAGTCACATGTTAATCGCGAGTCAAGCACAAGTCAAAGCACAAGTCGGATCCCAAATTACTCAGTCCATTGACATAGCTTATCACTAGTCACAAACTATGTTTTTCTCTTTTTGTTGAACCCCCCTCCAAAAAAAATTGGGTTCTGCCTGTAGTCCTCTTTGTACCTGGCTTATGGACTCTTCTACTGTCACTTGTGAATTAGACTTGCTTACCCCAGTTCTAGACACTTTGATACTGCCGTGCAGAACTCAATTAATTTGACTTTTTCAAACTTGGTACGGCGATATCACTGCGTTGAAAACCATTTGTCTCTCTGCAAATTGAGTTCAGCACAGCACCATCCTTTGGCTCGACAGGGCTGCTGCGCTATTGTCGTTCCGGATGGCAATGGCACGGCATTGTTCTAAATGCCGTGCCCTTGCCGTGCCGAACTTAATTCAATTCGAAGTTGAGGCAAACATTTTAGGAATGCGCATGCTCACAATACCCTCTCTCGCGTCCGCATCACGGGGAGTGAAATTGGCGCAAATATTTTGATTGCACTAAAAGTTCATTGGACTGTTTGAACTGCTTTAGCATGGCCCATTACTCCAGATGCATTAAGGTTCAACTATTAAAGGGAAAATACAACATTTGCAAACATCAAAAAATAAAACTACCAAATCATTTTGAAATACCTTGCTGGACTGTTAGTGAATGACAGTGTAAAGCATCCTGTAAAATCATGGCACCTGGTATACTGTCATTTTCAAGAAAAGTGGTATTTTTGTACCAATTTCCAACGCTGATCAGCCGATCAGCGTTGGAAAAAAACTGGCCTTTTTTCAAATACTGGCCCCAGTTGACCATCGCACTTGTTTGCAATCGATTACACACCTATGAACGGGTACAAGCCAGCTAGACTGGTTCCCTGACCTTACAATTCCCCAATATATGTAAACTGCTCTGTTTCTTCTTAAATGGAGTCAGGGAACCAGACTACAGGAAAATGATTGTTTTTCTTGGTTTTTATAGCATTTTCGAACCAAAAACCTCAAAAAAGTCAGTGTAACTATATTTGCTATATATTTCCAACCCCCCAATTCCATCCATTTCTGAAAATTACAGCAAAAGCAAATGATGTATATTCCCTTTAAGTTCAGGGTTTAGAGCAACTGCCTTGCTGAATTTTGTGCGCTCTGGCAACAACTTTAGTAGGCGTGCCTATATCTGGTTTAATATTTATCATTTGTGCTGGTTGTTTTATCCAGTTGTGGTTGTCGTTGTCATCGTTGTGCGTCTTGGAGACAGAGCACGTTGAGAGGCTATCATCCAGCCAATGGGGACACAGCAAGGAAGCAGGAGCTATCAAACAAAAGGTAAAATGTCTTATTTTTATTGTGTCTGAAATACATCGCATCCCTGTCATTTGTATTTTGATGTGAACAAATCTCATTTTGGTTCATATTTTGCAAGGGGATGCCACTTAATAAATGTGTACATGTATTTGTCTGTGAAACTCCAAACTCAAAACGAACAAAAGTTGCAACCTCTAATACTGGTAGTTTTGCTAATGCTTGTTCTAAAAATGAAACTCTGGAAACTTCTCTTCCTGAAACACTTCCTTATACGAGTCCCAATTTCTATATCTGGAACACAAATGTGGCCATTAGTTTTTTCTTATCGCATCTTATTTAACTCTGTTCACTGGTAGCTGAAGATATGGCTGTTGAGGATAACATTCTCAAGGTATTCTTTTGAAACTCTTTTAACCCTAAAGATCCTCATCCAGTCAAATTTCAACGCCAGGGTTTGTTGGAATCTGTTAGGATGAGTACTGCACTAGTAAACTGATTATGCTTTTATGTGGTTAGGCATACCACAAATGAACTGAGTCCAAATGTTCATGTGTACAGTCTAGCGTATGGTGTTGGAATTTGCAGGGGTGAGGAAGGTTCCTAGTAAAATCACCCTTGGGGGTTAGGATTAATGTTTCACTGGACTCTTTCAGATATTTTTTTGGAAAGCTGTCGCCAATTCCTTACAGATAATGAAAGGTTTGCGGAAACACCATGTGCGTATAATTTCTCAACTAAGAGAATGGTTTGAAAAGAACCAGAGATAACTCTGGTTCTTTTCAAACCATTCTCTAAATTGAGAAATTATTCGCACATGGTGTTTCCGCAAACCTTTTTAGTTTCTCGACCATGCAAAGCCTTAAATCTTACTTAATTCCTCAAAAGCCAATCACAAGTCCTTCAGTGTCAAGTCAAATCACAGCTATTCAAATACACAGTGGCGACATCATCGCCTGGTCATTGTTCATCTCTTTTTCTGGTACCTTATGACCTGACTTGCGATTTTGCTGATGATGGACTTGTCATGGACTTGGCCAAAACCCTGAATTTTACGTACATTTAGATCAAATTTGTGTTGTCTCTCTTTGTCTAACACCAGCCCACGTGCGACAATCACGACGACGGGGAAACCCCAGCCATAATCCTGTGCAATGAGTGCGGTAATCTCTGCGCTGAGTGCGACAAGGTCTTGCATCTCCACCGTAGAACCAGGTCACACCAACGCAAGGTAGGCATCATGGATATGGGAAAACATTTAGTTTGAGGTGCTTATAAGTAGGCATTTTGGGTGTCTGGTGTTAAAAGTAGGGTAGATCATTTGTCATTTGTGCATTTTGTTTGTTTGAAGCAAACAAAAGTGCTCAAAATCTAAAGAAGGGTGCTTAACAACTAACCTGATGAAGTTTTAGCTCAGCGAATGCTGTATATTCCGAGAAAACAATATTCTAGTATCTCGATTTCAGTTCAAAAGTTTTGAATTGCGCTCAAAATCAGCATCCAGGGTACATTCTCATTTAGCTGGTTGCAGCTGATTACGTGATGTCATGCACAGAACCAACAATAATAGCAACTACATGCACGCGTGTGTCAACGCTAGTGCGCGCACCCATTCACGGATTCCGCGAATTACAAACCAACTGAAATTTCTAAAAATGCGTCACTTGATGCATCGTTGGAATTGCCTTCTTTTCTTGTTTTTTTTTCTTCAAAATGATAGCATGCCAGAAAGAACGATTTTGCAGGGAGTTTATTGCCATCCACATCTTTAAACAATAATTTAATCAGTTACTTTTGCATAGCTGCAAATGATCTACTTCCTTTTAAGGTTGGATTGTACTTCGTACCAGTGCCAATGGAAATGCACATAATGAATGTTTACTTCCAATGTGCTGCATCAGTTAAAGGGAATGTACATCATTGGCTTTTGCTGTAATTTTCAGAAATGAACTATTTGAGGGGTTAGTATAATATATCAAATATTGTTACACTGACATTTTTGAAGTTTTGTGTTCGAAAAGGTTGAAAAACCAAGAAAAACTAAAATGTTCAAGTAGTCTGGTTCCCTGACTCCACAAAAGATAAAATGGATCAATTCATAGATGATGGAAAATTGTAAGGCAATGGAACCAATCTAGCTGGCCTGCACCTGTTTATGAACATGTAACCAATAGCAAACAAAATTTGGATTGAATAAATGGTAAATTTGGAGCAGTAGTTGAAAAATAGTTAGGTTTTTCCAACGCTGGTCGGCGGACCACCGTTGGAAATGTATACAAAAATACCATTTTCTTGAAAATGACTTCACACCAGGTGCCATAATTTTATAAGATGCTTGAGACTGTCATTTGCCAACATGCTAGTAACGTATTTCGTAAAAACTTGGTAGTTTTATTTTTCGATGTTTGCAAATGTTGTATATTCCCTTTAAGGATGAAATGCTAGTTAGATCAGCTTCCCTTTATATTTCAATAATTCACTGTGTTTTTGATTCTTTTATGTCCCTTTTAGGTTTTCAAGGAGGAGGAAGAGGCCATCAAGGTAGACCTGCATGAGGGATGTGGTCGCAGCAAGCTCTTCTGGGTCATGACCCTGGCAGATTCCAAGACACTCAAGGCCATGGTGGAGTTCAAAGAGGCTGCCTCAGGTAGGATGATGCCAAAGCGTACACATACATGTACACTCTGTAACAGGAAACTCATGTTGGCACAGTGTTATTTTCTTCGCTTTCCACATCTGTGATGTTACCCTGGCTCAAAAGATACCACACTGACTGTTCTTCTGAAAAATGTACTCTCCAGAATATATTCATATGAATTTGATGGACTGAAAAGACTTTCCTTATCCCCGTTAGGATGCCAGTTCAATGCAAGAAAATCACCTCATTTAATGCTAGTTACCATATCAATACTCCTGGGTACACAGAGAGACAAGTTGTGGTACATGCCCCTTTGCTCCAAGTTTGACCCAGTTCAAATAAAAATGGCCACAATCCTGACCCCATAACTATAACTCCATAGGTGTTTTTGCTAGGGAACTTTCCTCATTCCTCCAAAATAATCCACCATTGTGCAGAAACCAAATGTTAATTCTTTGAATTTCGTTTTCATATTGTATCAATTCCCACACAAAAAAGGGAAGAATAGCTGAGTTGTAAGTCTGTACATCCTGCAAAATTGACCTCTGGTGGCTTGTGAAGGACATGGGAGGGTTTAGGGTTAATTAAAAATTTGAAATTTTTACCCAGACTTTTGAACATATTCTATTTTTTTTGGTTATCTACACAAGGTAACACAGCGAGTGCAGCAGCAGGCAGCGCCGTTGGCACCTGCCGCTTCTGCGGCTCCATGGCCACCAGCGGCCTGCTGGCCGTGGGCAGCGTCTGCGACGACCCAGACTGCCAGCGGCACATCCGTAGCGCCTGCACCAAGACGCTGAGCTGTGGCCACCTGTGCGGCGGGGTCAAGGAGGAGGAGTCGTGCCTGCCCTGCCTCCATGGTTGCAGCAGGGATGCTACGCTCAAGCAGGATGCTGATGATATGTGTATGATCTGCTTCACGGAGGCCCTGGCGTGTGCACCTGCCATTCAGGTATTTTTAAATAGTATTTTTACTTAGAGGATCCTTCACAAATGTAACCAGGCTAGATCCCCCAAAGTGTGAAAAGTTGCACGGAGACAATCATGCATCACAACTAGATATTACAGTTTTACTTCGTTATTCTTAAATGAGTAGTACAAATGTTGTTTTCTTTTTCACTTTTGAAAGATTGAAATGCTGGACTATTTAATAAAAGACTGAATTTCACATTGATGGGGTGACAATCATTTCAAAAATTCCACTACGTACAAATGTCCTAAATGTCTTCAAGTTGTCCTGCATAGGAAAGTAGAAGTACATTGGGTTTGGTATCATTTTGAGGCTGATGACTTACGTGTACTCTCTTACAAATCATGCGCAATATTGACATATCGCAGTTTGACAGCCTGATGAATGTCAATGTTATATTGCCATCACGCTGTATATATTCCACAATTTTGCTTGTGGTAGACAAAAGAAAAACTATAAAAGAATGTGGGCTCCTGGTAAAAATTGTTAATATGATTGTGTTTGAGTCCCCCACTAGCGAAACTTACCCCATGATTGATATATGTCTGGCCCATATTTTCCCTGTGTAGTTGGACTGTGGCCACGTATTCCACAAGCACTGCTGCCAGAATGTGCTGGAGAGGCAGTGGGTGGGACCACGGATCACCTTCGGCTTCTCTCAATGTCCCATCTGCAAGGTGAGCAACTCCATACCGATATACACTCATACTTTCATTAACACTTCACACCGGGATTATTTTTGCCCAAAATTTCAATTTTCGCAAAAGGCAAAATTTTCCAACCAACTTCTGATATACAGCCAGAAATACTGATTCGCAAGAGTCATTTTAACAGTATTTGTAAGATATTTCTTGCCGAAAACCTCATATGTTTTAATACTCAGCGTTGTGCATTAGAGTGTTAATTGTAGAACAGTAGGCCGTGCACAACGGCCAATTCAAGATCAACACACGGTCCGCCTCCACAGACTTCACGGACTTTGTGTGTGCATATATACAAAAGGCACGAGGGATTAGCGTGTTTAGATGCACCCGGAGGCGAGTCAATGCAATCTTGACATTTTAAACCGTCAGATGTGCCTGTGTATAAAAACAGTCACGTCCTCCGACGCAAACTGGTTTAGGATGGGAATTCCTTAATCTTGTACATGTTTTGCAAACTTTTCAAAAACTGTTTTAACAGTCAACATCTCACAAAGGCTGCCACCTGCCCACTTTGTTGCATGCGGGAATGGCATGGGACATGGGAGTTTGGGAAAAGGATGGCACTATCCCATTCAGTGTCATTTCTTCTCCGGTGACTTGTTGGGCTTAAATTGGATTTGAAGCATGGATTAGTCTTTGCCGGTTATGTCCGATTAAAAGTTAGAGTTGGGGGACATAAGAGAATCAGTTATTATTGTAGGTTGGGTAATCAAATGTGATTAAGGGAGCGAGCAGAGGATTATGTTAGCAAATCCTCTTGTTAGCAATAGCATGCTTTCGTGCCTTGCTGTTTGGGCACTCTTCAGTTGCAGATTGGTGATTCAAAAAAGAATCCATGCTGACTCGCGGAGAGTTTTGGCTTGGGATTGGGTATGTTCTAGTTTCAAAAACTGTTTTAACAACCAACACCTCACAAAGGCTACCCCCTGCCCACTTTGTTGCATGCGGGAATGGTATGGGACATGGGATTTTGGCTCACATTAAAAAAGTCAAATACAATAAACCGCATACAATGTATCTGCTTGTCTCTATACACTGTAGATGTGGTTACATCATATGCTGTGGTTACATCATATCAATTACCCTGTGAAATTGTTTTGCCTGGTATTGTTTGGAAGACACCAAACAAAGGAGATGGCTTCAAAATATACTTAGCCTCCTTTCTTGGGCAGAAGTCCACTACTCCGCGCAGACACTACTGGAGTCCCTATCACTCATGGCTTTTATCCTCCCATTTCAGGCCGACATGCAGCACAATGTGCTACGTGACGTCTTGGCCCCGATCGTTGACCTTCAGGCTGATGTCCGACGCAAAGCCCTGATGAGAATGGAGTACGAGGGACTGCATAACTGTGAGGCCATCACCACGCCTGGAGCTAGGTTCTACAACGATCCCGCAGGCTTTGCTATGAACAGATACGCATATTACGTCTGCTTCAAGTGTAAAAAGGTATGCCAAGGGGAAGAGTCCCTTTGTTTGAGACAAAATTGAACCCCAAAGACTCTTTTACTCTCCTGCTGTCTGAACAGTCACGGACAGTAAAACAAAAATCAAGTTAGTCACCAACACCATCAAGCTAGTCACCAACAGTCAGATCATATTTTAAGCAAGCACCGTGACAAGTCAAATTCAGTCAACCGACAAAAGCAGGCAAGTGGTAGGCACAGCTGGCGTATCAATCACCTACAGTCAAAGCATAGCTGTATCAAGTTACATAAACACTCACAGCAAGTCAATCCTGCTTTATATAGGCTGGGAGCTCTTAACTGTTAAAACAGTCGTGTGAGAGTTAATGACATGGCTGGGCATTTCGAAGCTACTAAAGGTGTTTTTTTTAACGCTTTTTGATAACTAGCACCAAAGTGCCTGTTCGTGGAATTTTCAATTACAGTAATGACCTGCGTGACTGTCCATATTAATTCTATTCTAATTGTGGTGATCAGAGGTAATTTGTTTGTGACTAGCATTCATCAGAGAATATGCCTTTTGCATTGGATATGACTTATCATGCCTTTTTGCATGGCTAATGTACATACTTGTATATATGCACAAATCTGTACAAGTAAATGTTTTTTACTTTTGAGGTAGAGAGCCTACACTTCGAGATAAGTTCTGCATTGGTGTCAGACGTGTGATTTCAATCTATTTGCCCCAATTTGAACACTTCCCCTCTGTCATTCTTCTCTTAAAATTTATAATAAATAAACTGATGGATATTTTATTATACAAATAATGATTGTTTATGAGTGCAGTGGTAAGAGTAATTTCAAGAGGGGGCAGATGGAATGCTCAATTGTATGAGGAGAAGCCAAGTGGAATGGAACATTCCATCTGTCATCAAATTAGATTATTCTTTCCATTGCATGAATGTTAAAAATTTATTATTTGTTTTGTACAACACCTGAATAAATCCTCGTCATCTGATTGGTCAGAGCCACTGATCGTGTGACCGACTGGTGACCGTGAAATGAAACTTCTACTTACCGTGGACTAGAAGTGCTATTTTGGCCGGGCTGTGAGTAGAGACAAAATAGTTCATTGACATGTGATCAACAACCCACCAATCAGACGGTGGGGATTTATTCAGGCATTGTATAATTGTTGATATAAACTGATGGGTGATTTTATTTGTGGTTAGGCTTACTATGGAGGTGAAGCTCGATGTGACCAAGACCTTGGGGTACAGGGCGACTATGACCCAACGGAGTTGGTCTGTGGAGCGTGCTCAGATGTCTCCAGGGCTCAGGTACGCATATGTTACATGTTTGAAGTGCTTTGTGTATGTAGATGAAGTGTAAGCACGTCACTCACAAGAACACATGTATCGTCCAAATAACTTCAATTGCTCTAATTCAAATTGACAATTCAACTACTGACTGAGTGAATTGATCTTAAGAGAATATAAGTCAAAAAAGTCAGAGGGTCTTAAATTTTGGGCTCCGCTTGGTTTTTCTTTTACATCAGATCATCAAACTTTTTTGGACATGCCTCAGTGATTAACTTATGTGGTCAGTCTGTCAGGTGAAATAAAATGAATTGTGTTGGATTTTATAGCATATATCTTTGCATACACACACAAGCATTTAGTTTTATTTCTGTTAAAAATTGAAATCTTGAGATTTGACATTTTCTTGTTATCTTCATACCCTTAACAGTAACTCCGACATCAAATGTAATGGGTCTCCATCCATTTTTTTTCATATTGAATAGTCCAAATTGTACTTGTTTAAATTTTTTGTTGCATATAAATTTCTCAAGAATGGAAACTTTATAGGTAATTTAACTGATGATATCTGAGTGCTTGCCAGATTAAAAAAATCATAATATTGTTAGCGTGGGTCTCAATCCCATGTATACTGGTGCAGACCATACTTGCTTGGGTCGTCTTGCAAACTTCAATCTGACATACTAGCTGGTTTCACTATCAATGCCTGGATTTGATTGATTTTTGGTCATCCAGACGTACTTTTTTTCAATATCGGGTTTAGCCCTCCATTGAACTAACTTGCCAGTTAGGTCAGTGAAGGGCAAACTCCAATATTAAAACTTTACATCTCCCCGACACAAAATCGATCAAAACAAGTTAAATTTAAACTGACCTTTTTTCTGTGTTGATCATCAGATGTGCCCCAAACATGGAACCGATTTTCTAGAGTACAAGTGCCGCTACTGCTGCTCAGTGGCGGTGTTCTTCTGCTTCGGCCGGACGCATTTCTGCAACGCCTGCCACGATGACTTCCAGAGAATCACCAGCATTCCCAAGCCTGACCTACCACACTGCCCAGCAGGTAGGGTGCTACAAAAGATTAGGTTAGGGAAGGGGGGGGGGTTATGGGGTGTGCCTGCAGATTGATCTACCACACTGCCCAGCAGGTAGGGTGCTACAAAAGATTAGGTTAGGGAAAGGGGGGGGGGTGATGGGGTGTGCCTGCAGATTGATCTACCACACTGCCCAGCAGGTAGGGTGCTACAAAAGATTAGGTTAGGGAAAAAGGGGGGGGGGGTGATGGGGTGTGCCTGCAGATTGATCTACAACACTGCCCAGCAGGTAGGGTGCTACAAAAGATTAGGTTAGGGAAAAGGGACAAAAAACAGGAATGGGAAGGGCCTGTAGATTGATCTAACACACTGCCCAGCAGGTAGGGTGCTACAAAAGACTAGGTTAAAGAAAAAAAAGGGGGGGGGGGAATGGGAAGGGCCTCCAGATATGTTATGTAGTCATCTCAGGTCAACAAAAGTCGATCTTCAGTGATACATTCAATGTCAAAACAGTAGGCCTGTAAGATAGGAAAGTTGCTAATTGGCTTAAATAAACGTGACATTTCAAGTATAAGTGACCAGAAAAATATGGTCACAACACTCATTTGCTCAAAAATATCATTCTGTTACATTGGAAGGCTGTTCCTATTACATGACTTGTGACATAAGTGGTTCCTCTTGTCATTGTGATGACTTGAGTGTTTGTATTTTAGGGGCTAGGCTTGGTCCAAGACTGAACTTGAATTTTCATGCCTGTATTTTGCAGCCAGTCCGTGGACAAATGCGGTTAATTGCTATGTGGCAGTGGAGGTCGCTATCATCAAGAGGAATCAAGTCCAGTCTTGGCCAGCACCAGCGCTCCCCAGGAAAGTCTGAGCATACCTCACGCACGCTGCATTCAAGCTAATGCATGCTTGTGAGATATGCTCAGAATTTCCTGGGTAGCGCTGCCAATATTGCTAAGACTGGATTTGGTTCATCTTGTTGATAGTGACCTTGCTTGCCACGGACCGGCCGTAAAAAGGGGTTTAAAATCCAAATGCAGTAATAGACCAAGACTCTTAGGGGGTTGCCTTGCTTAAAGGTAAGACAAGGGCTCCAAGATTTTTGTGAATTTGGTGACAGGTGGTATAGTAGTAAAGGACACTTGAGGCTTAAAGTTAAACATTTGAACAGTGCCATGTTAAACTAGATGACAGAATTCGGCTAACTGGGCTGAATATTCGTTGAGGAGAGCACTCTAAATTTTTTAAAGTTGCATATTAAGACCCAGTTGCTCCTTGGCAATACTCCAGGACCCAGTTTATGGTTCAGCTCACCATGGGTTTCTGTGCTTGTGATAACCATTTTCTGCCAACCATGCACTGAAATTCTGCCTGAATCTTGTAATGACAGAATGCTTATTGGCTAATGTTAAGATGTGCATAAATCTTTGCAGGTCCCAGGGCTAAGCAGCTTGAAGGCGACGAGTGCCCGCTACACGTTGAGCACCCAGTGACGGGAGAGGAGTTTGCACTGGGCTGTGGGGTCTGCAGGAACGCCCACACCTTCTGATGAACATCCCGAAGGAGGGAGTCACCGATACAGAGAGAGAGAGAGGAGATTTGGTGGCTGTGGAAGGGGACTGTTGCACTCCACAACACTTCAGAATGTGCTTAACCAGTTCACGCCAGGATTATTATGACCAGAATGGAACGAGGCCCAGGATTTATTTCACTTTATCTCAAACCAGGCGGGTTGCAGCCATCACCCTCGGGCAGCACACTCATATTTCCGGCCTCGCTCGCTGCGAGTGAGTTGCTGACAGATATTTTCGGCCTCGCTCCCTGCGTGTTTATCTGTCATCCATTCCAAATACCGCAAACCTTTTGCGTGTATACAAGGCCTCCAGCGCGAACTGGTTAAAAAGAATGTCCCCATTAACTGCATTGTCATCTCCACAGGGTGGAATAACCATGCGCTCTGAGAGATGCTCTCCTCTGATAGGGAAATGAGCACATTCTAATGCACTCCACATGGAGATATCGGTACATCCAACCAACAGGCAAAAAAAATACACTCCAAAGGTTAAGGGTTTAGGTTGTGTGAGCTACTCTTTCCCACAAAACGAAAGTGGTCATATTTTGTAAAGAATACACAAGCCATTACCTCTTAACCTTTCTCAACTACAAATGCTTTGTATTTATCGAGGTGTGTTTTGGGAATTGTTATCTGCTAGTTTTGATGCCATATTATTTTATGTAGTCTCAATAATCAGGGCTTAAACCAAACTTGAAGACTTCTCACTGATTGTGTCCTTGAGCAAGACGTATTTCTCTAAGTGCTTATGTACACACAGAATGAGAAGATGAATTCAAGGTTGTTGATTTCTGGTTGTATACATGTACAACAAGGAGTCTTTAATATAAATTAAAAAAAAAAATTAAAAAAAAGGAAAAATGCTACTCAATGTTGTTTAGACCTCACTGTTTTAAGAAAGTTTGTGCATAATTATTTGCTCATCCAACAGGGGTAGTGGTAAGTGCTTACCGTAAAAGTCCTGTATTACTTATTAATTTGTTTTAAAATTATTGAGCGTAATGTTAGGGACGTACCGGTTAAAGGGAATCATGTATCAATCAGAAATACATAATTGGATTGAAGGTCCATATTTTCAGAACGTGCTTGATGAATGAAAACTTGGAAATCGCCAATTTAAATACACATGCCTGAATGCAGTTGTGGAACATCTCTTTCATGAGCGAAATGATGTCCTGAAGACAGATGTGAGTAGTAGATTTCAATCACTGAGTCTGAAAATTCCTGACACTAGAAAATATACACAGCCGAGTTAGGTGCTGTTTTTTTTTCAAAGTTGAAATCACCCAAATTAACCAATGGAAAGAAAGGGGGAAAAACAAACAAAAAAGAGCAACAAAAATTGAAAAAAAAATTAAAAATCTATAAACCTTTGAGAACAAAGTGAAAAAAAAAATGAAAAAAAAAAAAATTGAAAAAGCACAAAAACAAAACCAAAATTTTATTCCAAACTATTGGTTTAAATCTTCATAAAATGTCTGTGTGAAGTTTATATAAGCCATTGTGTATCAAGGCTGATTAATTTTGAGGTTTGTTTCTGGTAGAAGGGATTTATATTTATTAAAAATGTTGTGACATTCTCTCCCAGTTCCCATTTGTACAATTCACTCAGGACTCCATATCCTGTGAAACTTAAATATTTTAATATATTCTCTGAATTTACTAACGCATTTAACATCATATAATGCTTCCTAATGCAACTATCTGCATTGCACAGTCCTAGATTCAATGTAGCTAGTAATGTTTCTGTGGTTTTTGTTCCATCTTTATGTCAGCATTATGTTCCTGCATAAGTTCCTGAATTTAGCCTTAGCAACAAAAAATGTCTGTATATCAATGAGATTTGTATTGATTGTGCATGTTAATTTTGTATCGGTTCCAGTGACTTGGATCAAAAATAGATCAACAGGCTTTGACTGATACAAAGAGACAATCAAGTGTTAAAAATGTTAAAAGATATAGTCAAGTAGAAGATTGTGCATTTTTGCTGCAGTTTGGCATGCTTGTTTTTTTTTTAATGATGTGCAATGCTTAATTAATTTCAGCCCATTTTTTTCTCCTCAGAATGTTTTCTTTGCTGGATGGAAATGTTTCAAATTGTTCATTGAATTTGATGCAGTATTAACTCAGTATAGTTTCTGATATTTCTCGGACAAGGCTTAACATTTACTTTCTGATTAAAGGTTTTTGTTACTACTATGAAACAGGGTTTTCTCTATAAAACTAGAAAACACGGTATTGTCGTTGATAGTAAGCCTGCAGCAGCAACCTTAACAATGTCTAGAGGTAGCGCTACACTTTTTGTTCATGCTGCTTAAAGTCAGAGATGGATTAACGAAGTAATGGAGAAATATTGTAAAAACATAGAAAGTCATTTGTTGGTTTATTGTTTGATATAATTTGCCTTTATTGATAAATCAAACTGTGTGTGAATGCACAAGAGTGCGAATGCACAAGAGTGCTGTTCATGAAAAATAAAAACCGGAGTATAAGTTCTCATGATTCCTTGATGAATATTTCTCCAGAACTCATTTTATTCCGCAGCAACCTTACTAAGTAAAATTGTAGCTTATTTGACCAGAATACTATGTGTAGTACAGTAGTAGACTCAGTCGGCCAAATTTGGATTTTTATGAAGAAAAAAAATATCGAATATAAATTACTATCTACCAAATGAAATGATTGTATTATAATAAGAGGGAAGATAATCTTCCTGAATGATATAAATATGTACCATTGAGATGAAAAAAAATGTATAAGTGTGGAGGGTATTATTGTGACGGGAATTGTGTGATTATAAAAATTGTATTGTGATCTTAACGTTTTGTACTCAAGTAGTAGGAAAGAATTAAGGAAAAAAAAAGCTATTAAATGATCACAATGGGAACCCATACTTGTAAATCTAATTTTTGAAATGTATACCTAGAGTAGTAGATAGTCTATACATGTACTTGGACATTTTAGGTACCGTTAAATGAGTGCCTACGGAGGTTGATACTTTTTTTCTCTCTCAAATCTATGTATGTATAATCCAAGATGATAATTTGATATCCTGAAGGATTTGTTATTCAAGCCTGGCATGCACTGCTGAAGAGTTATTACCCTTAGCCCTAAAAATCGCCAACCACCAAACACCAACACAAGGGTTTGGTGGAGTCCAGCTGTTTAGTGCACAGTTTAATAGCATTGCAAGGATAAGGAAGGTTCCTAGGAAATCATGCTAGGGGGTTGGATTTGCATAGACTTGTAGTCGAGAGTACATTGCCTATGTTCTTGATTCTTTTTGTTTCCATACCAAACTCAAATGTTAATTTCAAAATGCACCAGGGCAGCTATATGTAGATTTGTGAGTTGGACTGGCTTGTCCGTGCAGGATTCATTGGAGTTTTTGGAAATCTGTGGAAGAAATGTGTCAACGAGTAAAGCCCCGTATTTGTGTGATTATAAAGAGTTACATGTGAACCTGTCAAGTAATGTTGTATCTATCGATAGCCAATTTGTGATCATTTATATGCCGCGGTGTCTTTGTAATTGCCCTGATTTATGTCTTTGGTGAGCGTGACTTTTATGGTTGTAAGACCTAATGACAGAAAACAATGGATGAGTAATGTTGTAATAAGCAATGTCTGAAAAAAATGTAAATATATAATAAACAACATGGTGGACATGTTGAACAAAATTCCGTGTTTTATTTGTGTATCAAAAGCACTGCTGTATGTATGGCTCCCCCCCAAGAAAGGCCTCTTAATATAATTAACCAGAAGAGTGATTAGTCAGTGGGCTTGTGGGGCCCATCATTTTGGGTACACTCTTTGAAACTCTCAGGATCACTTACGGATACCTCTGGTTCAAAACCACTTGATGACATTGTTTTCCGACCCATTTATGGGCGGGGCCATGACATGAAAAAGTGGCGGGCTTTGATATTAGCCTTTTTCGCATTTGGACAGCTCATCCAAGTGCTACATCATGAGAATAAAATAATTTTGCGTCCGTTGGGGATGGGCCACATTTTTTAAAACGGGGGGGGGGGGCGTAAACAGAAATTCTAGCTATAACAGCCATGTTTTTTTTTTCAAATCGATATAATGAATAGGGGTGGGCAGAATGTTTACATGTCAAATCAAACACCTTTTTTCCCCTTTGGGGGCGTGTCACTTTTTTTTCTAAAACTTTTTCAGGTTCAAACTTTTTATTTTCAAGTCTAAGGGATGATGGCAGCGAAGAGCGTAAGAGACACGATTTAGCGACAGAACAACTCTCAGCCGCCAGAGATCAGTGGCAACGAGAACGAACGAAACGACTCGATTTTCTCAACGAACGTATCAGAAAACAAAATGTTTCTAAACAAACATTTTCCAACGTAGACCAAGCGTTGCGTTACTACAACGAAATGACCGGAGAAAACGTCGAGTTACCCCGCGAACCCAAACTCGAAGATTTTTACGAGCCTAGCGTCCAACAAATAGAAAAAGAACTGGCGTTTATTGCGGGAGGAACGCTATTGGTGGGCCTCTTGGCTTACAGATACCTTTAAATTTAAAACTCGTATAAATAAAATGAATGCGTATGGAAAAAAGCTCAATCCCAGCAGGCTATTAAAAATACCCAGATCTATCAAGGGTGAGAGAAAAGAGGTGGTCATTACCCACAATCCTAGTAGTATATCGGCGGGGCAAACGCTGAGAGTTAAGTTTCCTCAATTGGGCGTAGACGACGTGATCGTACCCGGCACTTGTAAACTAGCTTTTAGTTTAGAACTCGAAGGTGGAAGCGACGACAATAGAACCATTTTTGGTAATTTGGCCAGAAATTTAGTCAGCGAAATCAGCGTCAGGCTTCAAGGTCACGAAATCGTAAGTTATCGTCACGCCGACGTGTATCACAACTTTAAAGACAATTGGATCAACAGCTCGACAACTCGAAACATGGCGTACTCGGGCATAGAAAAAGAAAACGTGTCTAAACTAAGAATGGGAGCTGGAGATGCTAACGCGGGCGCCAACAACGGTAAAGATCAGGCTATCGCGGATGCCTATGGTAACAGATATTGTATTCCCCTAGACATTGACATACTGACTTCGCATCACCCTTTTTACCCCAGCGGTTTAAAACAACCTCTGACGTACGAGATAAAGTTTAACGATCACGATAAAGTAGTCAACAGTTCAGATACGGCGGCGATGTATTCTATCTCAGACTTGTCTCTCGAATACGAAGTGGTGACCAACAG